TATCCAAAGCTATTACTCCAGCATTGATATCTGACCTCGCTCCATAATTTCATGCGGGCATTCTTGAAAAGACAGGATTTTGTTTGGTCTGGCAGCTCCTTGGTCTCAACATATCCTGTGTACTAATATTCAGTTTGTGGTGGTGGCCCTAGGAGGTTATATTCCCTTCTGGCCTGCTTATTTCTCCCACTGGGCTGCTTTCTCGAGATCATTGGTCCGGCGTGTTCTCGTGTACCAAAGTAGGAGCACCTCTACAAGCTTATGAAACATCCTTGCGCCTGTCAAAACAGATCCTGCCTCGGCCACCTTGTAGGTCTTGGTAGTTTCACAATTGAAACGCAATCATACCCAGCTCACCTGAGCTTCCACTCTGCATCTTTCTCGAAGACATCCTAGAGTCCCTCGCATTTTTCTGGGGCCCTGGAAGGTCGTAGAATTCAACCGAGGTAGCGCCAGCCACAATCTAATTTTTTTCAGTGATTACCTCGACTGATGGATGGTCACGGCAGTTCAATTAGGGCGAATCAAGGGGGTTTGGTGTTATTTGTTGACATTAAGACCTCGGGATATGCATGTGATTACTAACGTCTTTGCCAACCAAAAAAATTGTCAAACTCTGCTCCTCAAACCCTGCCGTGTTCCGGTGGGTTTCGGATCAAGTACAGAATACAAATTGATTCATCTTCGGATATTTCAGAATCATCTGGCTTGGACGCCATGTCTCTACATACGCGCTCAGTTGTTTCTGCCATTTGCTGTTTGCTATGTCATCCTTGTTTCATTTCATTTCATTTCACCAGCACGCTGTGAAGGATCACCTAGCACTACACGGTCTGAATTTTCAGTGTCAATGCCGTGGCGCGTCCTTAGAGGGATATTCTACTTCACCCACATGGGGTTTCGTTACTTTAGAACAAGTGGTCATTCCCCTAAGCCGCCCCCATGGACCGTCGGCACCCAGCTTTGGTATTCGATGGATTAAACTCGAGAACAGTGATATCAATCGGCCAAAAGACTATGTCCCCAGAACTGAATTTGTGGGCGAGCAATCTTGTAACGGAGACCAAAGAGGATATCAGGATATACAGCCAGGGCAAAAAATTAGGTAGCCGATCTCACGTTTCACCCCAACTTGGTCATTATTAAGGTTAGCCCGTTGCTGCAAAATAGGTTGAGGCATCAAATACCCAAAATGACTCTTTTCATGTGAATACGATTGGCGGGAAATGGAAATAAGTAGTGAAAGAATTCCCCTTGATGTTCCCCCAGGATATTGGTAGCTCGCCAACAATCAAAATGTACAGCTTGCTGTCGGTTTGGACCCCGGTCGCCTTCTATTTCCTCAGAGCCTCTGCGACCCCAAGCCCACACGTTGGACCCCTTTTCGCTCGCCAGATCGATCGAAATGACAAAAATTATTACATCGGGTATCATGGTGATGATTTTGAGACTCCTTATGCGAAGTATTTCAACGCCACACAGCCCACTTTGAGCGAAGAATTCATTTCAGGTCTTCAGGTATTGAGTCCCAATTTTATTCTAAAGTTTGGATTTTTATACTAAGTATTGGAGGAATCACCATATCCGCACGACCTCGCGGTTGATATCTCCGATGCCCCGAAAGCATTGAATCAACCTGGATATCTTGAGTTAGAAAATGGGTTTTCGCGACTGCCGGATGGGTCGTTGTCACTCACTATTCATACTGAAGCCCCTAGTGACTTGACTGGAGAGATGTAGGTACTACCAATGTTTATGCTGAGACTAATGAGACTAACTTGAGTAACAGGCTGGATTGGTGGTTTTCCTGGCATACAAACGACACTCGAAAATATAAGCTGTGGAATCCGGGCGCCCATCAATATGCAGCCATCAACCCTATTGCTAAAGAGAAGTCATCTCAGAAGGTAATTATTAGTACCTCTCCCCAACCCAGGAAAAATCCCAATATTAAGAATTTCTAGTCATACTCAGAGCGCTATTGGAACGTAACCTCCTTTGTCGATGAATACATTGGTACAACCCCTTACAAATTGTCCATCAGCTTCTTCGAACCCTCCTTGATGGGATTTTCGAAGGAGAACAACGAATCCGGCGTACTAGGCATGGTCTCTGCTTTCGTCTCGCTATTTCACTACGAAGACCAAAACATCGCACAAGCCAAACAGGGTCTTGGTCCGTTGACCGCTGTGCTTGTTCATCAGCTCCGCAGAAAGCCCAATGGTAGAGGAAATGAATTTCGCTCCAGATTCTGGTTTGGTAATCTGCTAGTGGCCGGCATGTCTGTTGCTGGGGGCTCGGAGAAGTTGGCACATGATCTATCGGTTCATTGCTTCAATGAGATGAGTCATTTGGGCACGTTTTTGCCTGGTTTGTTTGAGGAGTTCAAGATGGATGTCTCGGTTGGGTATTAAACTGCTTGCAATGATTGTTTGATTTGGCTTATGCACACGGCAGGCTCATCAGCATCGACCTGTGAGTAGAGGAAAAACCTGGAATTATTTTTGGAGTAGACTCCAGAGCTCCTAGGCTCGATTTACCACATTTGATGCATTTCCTTCTAAGTTCTATTTGGCCATATATGATGTTGAGGTGGCCGCAAACTGTATGAAATACCGAGCTTTGATGATTCGTAGACCTCAAAATATATCCAAGGTCTTCAAAGCGGACTGGAGTGACATTCCACCAATCAACTTCCTAGGTTGCAACCTTGGAAGAATGCATAGACGAGTTTCTCCAATAGGGCCTCTTGCCGTCAACTCTAAACACCCCATCCCATGGGTGCACCACATCTCCGCGATCTGCCGGGATTGACGTGCTGTCTCATATGACTGATTTTTCGATGGAGCAGTGCCGGTCTGTCGGTATTTACAGTGGAGCCGAACAGGACAAGGGAAAGAAAAATAATAAAAAAAACCCCCCAAATCTACCCGCCGTTCTAGAAAAGACGGCATGGCCCGAGAATCTTCTCTTCAAACATCAAACCCTCTCTGTACGAAAAATGCAGTACGCAAAGAAAAATCACAACAGCAAAAAGATATGAAAATGAAAATGAAATTACGATTACTAAGTAGCATCTCCCCTCGCTTCGGACGGGATCTCTCTCCTTTCCTATGCATGTCAAATATCCAACGTCCATTATCCGTCGGTAAAGAGCGAAGCACAATGTTGACGGGGAACACACTTGGCATTGAGATTGGCTGGCCAAGTTGACGAGAGCCAAAAAGAAACAAGAATTTGCGGTCGGATACAGTCGGCCCATCGAAGAAAAAAAAAAAAATAGTGCTTAAGTGAATACGGAGGGCCCTTCTTCCTTCACTCACCTCCTTAAAATCCCCACTCATCTGCATCCTCGGAATACGAGCTTGTCATTGGCGGCATCAGAAACCGAAGCACCAAGGCCTCACACAACGACCCTCAACAATGCTTTTTACTTTGTATTCTAGCTGCTCCCTCTGCGTGATTCAATTTGCAATTCTCTTATGACCAGCAAGAAACAAAAAAAGGCGCACAGCTTATCCGGGGGTGATGAAGCGCCGCGGAACGAATCCGCCCCGGAGAGATCGGGTCTGCATAGTGCGCCGCCAGCAACGCAGCGGCCGGGGTTTGATCTATCGAGTGATGCTGGAGGCAGAGCATCCAACTCAGCGCCGGCTCTTGGAGGTGGTAGTCCTTTCCCGACGTCGAAAGTGGCCATACCCCGCCAGCCGCCGGGGCCCACACAACGCTACAGTCGTCGCGTGCCCCGGGCATGTGAGTCCTGCAGGCAACGCAAGACGAAGTGCAGTGGTGACACCCCCGTTTGCCGCCAATGCCGCGAACTTCGGGTCGCCTGTCAGTATCCCATGGGGTGGAGAGAAAAGATGAAGCAGTGAGTGTTGCGGGGGCCCGCTAGACCCGGCTCGTGGAAGCTGTCAGCTGATCGGGGTCATACCATTCACAGGGACGTCGACAGGCTTGCGGGAGAAGTACAAGAGTACGAAAAGTTTCTGCATGATCTTCGAAGTGCAGCAGAGTCGACAACCGCGCACTGGGTAAACGTACTGTTAGAAAAGGTACGTTTTGATGTACCTCTTTACTCTATTGATATGTGTCCTGAGGAGTCAATCTTCAGTATGATCTGAAAGGAGATGTCAATGACAATTCCTCGCTTCCTCCGACCTCTCAAAATGGGTTGGACGGGAATCAAGCCTCTCCGCTGTCCTCAATTGGTTCATTGGACGCGATTGACCGAGTGGATGAAGACCATAACCGGACGGAAAACTCACGGGCCACAGGCTACATGGGTAAAAGTTCGGAGATCACCTGGATCCAGCGCTTGCAACGGGAAGCTGAACAACGGTCCCATGGCAAGTGCGGGTCTCTGGAGCCACGCCCGGATGAAGACCAGGAGACGAAGGAGAAATTCTCACTTCATGTCTTGAACTATCATCTGGACGACCTCAGCATCTCCGTGCCCGAGCCGGTGCAGGAATACAGCATGCCACCCCGAGATCAAGCAGACCACCTTCTTGCCACATACCTTGAAACGGTGCATCCATTCTTCCCCATTGTCAGCAAACCATTATTCAACGCGCAATTCCGGTCTTTTTTCGAAAGTTCAACACAGTTTCGCGGCATCAGACCCGGCGACAAGTGGCTGGCGATCCTGAACATGATCTTTGCCATAGCCGCCAAGCATGCAGACCTCACAAATGCACAATGGCATGGATCGGGGACGGATCACCTCATTTATCTGGCCCGAGCTCGACGTTTGAGCATGAGCAGCCAAGATTTATTCAGCCATCCCGATCTTCAGCAGGTTCAAGTGGAAGGCCTGATTGCGTTTTATCTACTCTCCACCAATCAAATCAACAGGTTTGGCCAAGCCCCATCTCCTATTCTTTGATCATATTCTCATCATCTTAATAGGGCCTGGAGAATCTCAGCTTTGGCCGTACGCTCCGCGATCACGCTAGGGTTGAATTTAAGAAACAATAACTCGATCACCCCAAACGTCTCCAAAGAATCGAGGTATAAAGTCTGGTGGTGTATCTATTCCTTGGAACATATGCTAGGGATCATGACGGGCCGACCATCATCTACATTGGACGGAGGGTCCGCTACCCCCCTCCCACTACCTTTTGACGAAGACCAACTGAAGACCGACCCGACGGCCATGGAAATGCTTAACAACCCACAGTTGCGCGAGTCGAGGATTCGCAATGTCATGGCAAGCTCGTGGGATCGTGCTCAAGGGGCTACTCGGGACAATACGCTTCCATCCGATCAATATTGGGTTAAAGGTCTTCCGGCAACGTTTGGAGTCTGCTACCTCTACTATTGTGACTTGACTGTGATCACACAGGAAGTTCTACACAAGGTCTACTCTACACATTGCGTTCTGCTGCCGTGGGCGGAGATCGAGAGTCGAATCGATGAACTGCGATCCCGGTTCGACCTGTGGCGATCCAATCTGCCGTCCTCACTGGAATTCACAGAACGGGCGGACTATGATAGCCCTGATCTTCTTCGCTGCAAACTATTACTGGGATTTCATTACTACAGCTCTCGGATCACTCTTGGCCGACCCTGTCTCTGTCGACGTGATGCTCGTCAAAACGGATCCTCGCCAACGTTCAGTCACACGATGGCCCTGATAACCTTGGATTCTGCCACCTGCATGATCAATTTGATCTCCGATGAGCCCAATGTTCTCCAACTCTACGAAATGTGTCCCTGGTGGTGTATTCTGCGACAACTGATGCAAGCGGCCGTGGTCATTCTCCTCGAGCTCTCGTTCGGCAGCGTCCACATTCCCGAGGATGAACCAAAATTTGTGCGACTGGTTAAAAAGTGCATTCGTTGGTTTTTTGCTATGCCTGAACCTAGTGCCCAACGTGCCTGGCGGCTCTGTGACTCTATCTTCCGAAAGCTGGCGCAAGGAATGAAGTACAACACCAATGATATCCCTCACCATTCTTCCCCGCGATATCACCCTTCTAGCCTTTCCGCTCCCCCCATGGCTTCTCACCCGTCCCCGGAAATCCTCCAGGACTATTTCAACCTGCAACCGGAAGACATGACCCTGTTTGGCTCACATCCAGCAGCCGAGGCCCCTCTCTGGACGAGCTTCCTGAGTCACCCAACCACGGGGCTGACCTCCTCCGTGCAAGACCCAGTGGCCCCGGCTGATCCCTACCTTCCTTATGATCCGTTGGGCGATGACTTTATTCGGGCCTTTTTTGCGGCTCCCGGTGATGGTAGCAGGGATAATCCCTGACCTTTCGCTGTGCCGCCCGGGGGATCTGAGTCATGTTGGTGATAAAAAAAAAGAAAAAAAAAAAAAAAAAGAGCTCTCCGTGAGAAGGAACACAGAATTGACCATTCGAAAAGGCTACAAGGCACATTCTTTCCATCGTGCAAAATCATATGACTGAACTGGGAAACCCCAAAGAACTGTCAAAGCAGTTCATGCCTTCTGGGTATCTCTTACTATCGGAGATATGATCTTGTGGGTGGTTTGGCGAATCGCTGGCAATGGAAGCTCCGGGGATAAGAATGATCTCGGTTTTAGAGAGCTTTACATACATACAAAATTTGGAAAAATGTCAGGATCTAAAGACACAAGTGCCCTATAGACAAGTATATAAGTATACCACACCGATGGGGAATTCGACACGGGTTCGGTTTCCGTTTCGGGAGATTTGACGGCCGCGGTTACCCCAACAGGTGATGCGGGGTATAATCACAACCTTCCAACTCTCGTAGACTACAACACCTACAGGCAATTCACCTGTCATGTCACACTCCCTTGCCAAATCACCGTGTGTCAATTGCCGAGGTACGTCGCCCTGCCCCTTGCGTTCACAGCGCTAACGCTTCCCCAGAGCGACACCAGAGATGTTGGTTTTCGAGGCTGCCACACAGACACCCGAGTACTGATGATAGCTAGGTGACCGAAGACGGCCGAAATGCAGTCGATGCGATATCAAGGGACTCGATTGCGAGCCAGTCCAGCGAAAACACGTGTTCCGACTGGGCTCAACCGCAAATTTAGATGCAAATTTCAGGCATGATCAAATATGGGTGAACAGCCAGCCACGGAATTGGAGGCAATCTGCAGGAGCAGATCGAATATCGCAATGTCGGTCTACTTTGACTAACTCGGATGAGCACTCCAACAGCCCACCCACATCAGGGTACCGTGTCGATAACGTTCAGCGCAGCTATGGATCAGACACGTTGGACCACCATACGCAACCAGAGAGCGGTCCAGGTGCACACGTCCCGCTAGATATTCACTCGCAATCCGATGGATGGATAGCAACTCATTCCCACAGCCCATTCAGTGATGCCGCCTGTTCCGTACGCTCCACACATGACAATGCACCTGAAGGGCAAGACCGACGCCCGACGAATCCTAATCAAGACAGTCAGCCCCTTGGGGACAATTATCAGATAATCAGAAGTAATCTCTCACAACTGAACCAAACGTCTACAACATCTTCTCTGGTTTCAGACACACAGGCCTCGCGTCAGTTGCAAGAATCTTGTTTGATGCGGTATTTCATCGAAGAGCTGTCTCCATGGGTACGAATATGCAACACCTCAACATTGAGTCTTGGATTAACGAATTTAGTTTGACCATTGTGACGAGTTACGCCATTTCCAACTGGTGGTGCCTCGTCGGGCGGAAAATTGTCTTGCTCTGCGAAATGCAGTGTTTGCCGTATCATCGCGTCATCTTTGCCGCTTACCACAATACACGACATCGCGAGGGATCATGTATCACGGGGAATGTTTACCGGAACTGACCAAGTCAACATCGTTTGAGTACCTGTTAAAGTGTATTCCCGAGTTGATTCGATTTCACGAAATCCAGGACCTCACTCACCAAGAGAATATCATGGCCGCGACCGTGATCTTACGGCAGTACGAGGAAATGGAAGAAGAGCTCGAAGAAGGGGAGGTCGGCAACTACGCCAATGAACGAGTAAATTTCTTGGCCATCACTCACACAATCATCGACACTATGATTTCGGCCCCACTCGACCATCCCTTGGCCACCGCAGCCTTTTGGATTACCATCAGACAAGATGTTTACGTACGTAATCGATTGAACATTGAGCGAATTTTATATCGTCTCACCAATCGAGCTTTTTAAATACCTAACGCTGACATGCGACGTCAATCGATTTAATTCTAATCGAGTACAGTGCGCGTTGACGAGACAGCAGACGCCCGAGTTTCGATTTGGCCCCGAGAGTCTGAAACCATCTGTTGCCAATACCATGGTCATTTTCGCTAGTGAAGTAGCCAAGTGGCGGTGGGGAAATAAGACTTCAAATCAATGGGGTATTACTGAGCACCGCTTGGAAAATCCTAAGGTCTTGTCCAACTGACAGTCTTCCCCCTATAGAATTCCTCAAGAGCAGGCAACATCAGCTCGACTCCGAATACATGCATGAGCTAATACCACTCCTCGACCAAAAGGCCGATAGAGCGAGAGGATCTATCTTCCCCACGATATGGTATATGGCCGAATCTCAAGTAACAGCGGTTCAACATTTCAAATTAGGAGAAATGATCCTAATTGCAGAAAGCCCTTTTCTCGAGTCAGTAGCCACCCGTCATCCCAACTGGAACGATGATTAATGTATGCTACAAAGCTGACTTTGCTCCAATCACTAGGAAAGCACGCGGTCCAGTACATCGCAAAGCGGAGGCCCAGGTTCGGGAAATTGTACTGTTTCTTTGTGGTATTGCAGTGGGTCACCCGCGATGTCAACCTGCCCTGGTGAATGCTGTGATTGCAATTACACTTTACGGTGAATACTTCACCCACTCGGATGAGCGAGACGCACTCCTCGGGGTTATCAACCAAACCATGAGCCTTCACGCCTGGCCAATGCGCAAAGCCTACCAAACCCTCAGCAGGCAGTGGGAATTAGCCGATGCGGTATAGAATCAACACCAGAGGCTTCACAGAGGGTAGCTTTCTTTCGATGCTGTTCGCTATAATTGCTGTTTCCAGAATATATGGAGAATGACTCCAGAAAAGCATGCAAAATGAAGACTTCCTTACATACTCAAGTGGTATGGTGAGTAACTATTTCAGCCGTTCACTGGCATTCTAAGCCATGAATCAATCTTATCTGTACTTCCTATACCTTTCCACTGACAAACCATCCTATTCGGTATCTAAACAATTATTCATTGTCTTGAGGCTTGATTGGTTGAATGCGACAGCCTTTAAACAAAAGCTGGTTTGGTATTTGGGTATGTAAGATCGTGAAAAACTGGCAAAGGGCGACTATTGTTGAGGGAAGTATATCCCATTGTCAGACTAGCCCCACCGTTTGCTCATCTGCATCCGCTCTTCTGCTGTACGCTCGGGTAGAACTGTGCTCTGTCGTGTTTTGCGAGTCGGCGGAAGCCGTATGGCTGTGATAGTTGGATACCAGTGGGGTGCTTTGCGCTGTTGGGAAATACTCCGTTGATGGATTGTTGGTGAACATCATCGATGAGCGCTCCGCCTTGAGGTCGGTATTCGAACTTCCCTTGGAGGCTGCGGCGGGAAAGACCATCGACTCTGAGGCTCCAGATCTCAACAGTTCCCGAGCAGCGATCCGCCGTGCTTTCGCTCTATCTCGCACGCAGTACACTATGCTGATTCCAGAAAAGAGCGATATAAGACAAGACCCAAACACAATGGCCGCAATGTTGCCCTTCCGATTCCAGGCCTTTCTTTCGGCGCTGGACGTGCTTGTTGCGGTTGCAGTACTTGTTGTAGTCGAGCTGGTGTTTGTAGTTGAACTGCTCGATGTGGAGGTGGAAGTTGTGGTCGATGAAGTTGAAGTAGACGAAGTAGTTGAAGACGTAGAGGACGACGCGGTTGACGTAGTTGACGTGGATGTGGTGGTGGATGAAGTTGACGAAGTTGAAGAAGTGGATGAAGTTGATGTAGTTGATTCAGATGATGTCGAAGTTGTGCTAGTGGTGGATGTCTCTGATGTTGTAGTGTCGGTCGTGGATGTTGATTCCGTGTCGGTCGTTGTATCCCTCTGAAATATTTCACCATATCCACGTCTTTGGGGGAGCAGGGCTCTTTCGGTGGGTTCCGGTGCCAATGTTGATTCCGAAATGGATGTGTGAGCGACAACCGAAGTGTTCTCTGCGGGATAAGAGTGACCCAGTACCCGGGAGCATTGAAATGCCCAGAGGGCAAGAATGAAGACTTGCATGCTTGTGCTTTCTCTTTGCCTTTTTGTTGAAGCCTACAGGCGAGAGAAAAAGCGGACTGGACTGATTGATTCACTGCGGGAGAGAGGGGGAAGAAGAAGGAGAAGAAGCCTCGGGGCGAGGGTCTATCTACACAAACAGCAAACGAGGGTTGGCACGAACTTCCCACTCAACACTTTTTTTCGATGTGTGACATGGATGAATTTATAGGAGGAATTGGAGTCTTATGACTGGCTGTAAATGAACACGTAAACTCGACTGATTCGCGTCTAGTTCCATAACCAAGGTAATTCTCAGCCTCAAATGGCGCTATAATTGTACTACGAGTACTGCGCCGCAGACTATTTTTGCGAGATGAACGGGAACTCGTACGCACCCGCCGCGCGGCATCTTTCCCCCACAGGGCTGAATTTTTATGAGCTACCTCAACTCTAAAAAAGAATCTTCAGAAGATGAGAAGTACTACTTTACCTGTTGGAAATCCCTATTCAACGGTCGAGATTAGATGAGAAAATTCGAAGGTCAAAGCCCGCTTTTCGCGCTAGGCCTAGTGGATAAATATTGTCCCGCCAACGTCTAAAATTATCTCGCAGGATTTTCTAGGGCTGTCTAGTCTAGTCTACTCGTAGTTGAGTCCCACTAGGTTATGCAATCTTTGGGCAGATAATCAAGGAGAATGTGAACTAGTGCTCTACTTAATGAACTGCACCTGAAAATTGTTGTCCAACCTCGGAACATGAATACTAAGTATGTACGAGTAATTTCAGCCTGATAAACTAGGTGCCGTCGCCCCATCTCGTCGCGGTTTACGTTCTTCTCAGTTCTTCTCAAGTTGTGCGCTGCCCAATTAGCCCTGGGGTCTGGTCAAATAGGCTGGTATTGATTTAATTATTCAACTTCAGAACCTCGGAATTGTCTGGATTTGAGAGGGTTTCTTTAGATCTATAGCAATACACATCCATGGATCAATTGATGATCTTTTGTTTTGAGCGGCTCCAAGATCGGTCTCCGTGGCTGTTCTAAAGCTTCAGCCCTCGAGGGTTTCCATGGTCGTGTGCCAAATTTCCAAGGCTGATAATAGACACTACTTAATTAAAGCAATTTATCAATACTACTTAAATAGTAGGCAGGACTCCCGGGCTCTGTCACGTACCAAGATCTACACTCCAAAGGTCTAGAGGTCTACGTTAATGCTGAAGCGAACATTCTGATACAGTCGGGATATATTTCCAGCCCGCAGCTCAACATTAGAAACTCCAGCGCCCCTTTAAAATTTAATTTGACATCGATGACCAACCTTGAATGATCAGATCTAGCCCTACAGGCAATTCGACAATGGGTTACATTCGGAAGGTAATTTTTATTGCCAGGGACAGAAGAGCACGAGGATCACTTGGGCATTGCGTAAGAGTTACAACGTTGTGATTTCTTGTGATACACCAATGTCAAATCAAATGTCGATAATTAGGTCATCTATAGATGTCGGCCCCCTAAAAGGCAGCGAATATCAAGGCGAGGCGCCTGAGATTGAAGAAGACAAACAACGTGACAAGGATTTCGGGACTTGCAAACCGGTAAACAACTCCCCGGCGCCTTCTATAATCTCACGGTGAGACTGATCTTCTGTCAAACACCGGGTCACAAGAGTTTTAGTTCCAAATACAATCATGTAAGGATCAACAAATTGGTTCGAGAAATCAGATGGTCCATTTCCATCCCAATCATCGGCCTGCCTCCAAGGTTTGTTTTCTAGGTTGAACTTCAGAAGAACCTTGTAACCGCCCTGGCTCGTGGGTTTAACTCTTTGGTTTATACCCTCCGCGGCCTGCAAACCTACACCTTCATGGGACCTCGGGATGTGAAAGGGTGAGGAAACTGGGAATCATGCGACTCTCCCTTATCTAACAGCCTTGAAATGAAGCATGGCCAGATTCCAATTGAGTTTCGGAGACATTCAGTAGGCAAAGTACAGTTAAAGAGTGTCAATGATATCCACAAGGTCAGCTGTTGAAACCGGGAAGCTTGGCTCGGTGAATAAAAATGCACATTAAAGCAAGAGACAATCGCATGCCATGGCGCACAGATTCTATCTCAGACGCGCCACGATCGAATAGATATCGAAAGCCATGATCAAACGGATTTTAGCATATCATCTCGTGGCTGTGTTGTCTTTGATAGCTTCTGTAGTAGCTGTCGGACAACAAGACAGACACGAGGTGAAACGACAGTCGACCGATCGATTGGTTTTTGCGCACTTTATGGTAAGGAAGAAAAATTCAGCTTCGATTAGCCTCGATCATATACTGACACGAGAAAAGATCGGAATCGTCAGCGACAGGAGAAGTGCGTCCGATTTTGATGATGATATGAAACGCGCAAAATCGTTGGGCATTGACGCATTCGCTCTCAACATCGGAGTGGACCCTTATACCGACCAGCAGCTTCAGCTAGCATACGACTCCGCCGCGAATAACGACATGAAAGTATTTTTGTCTTTCGACTTCAATTGGTGGCATATTGAGCAGGCCACCGCGATAGGCCAAAAGATCGCCCAGTATGCTAGCAGACCGGCACAACTTATGGTGGACAATAAGGTGTTTGTTTCATCGTTCGCTGGCGATGGGGTGAATGTTGCAGCCCTGCGTGCAGCAGTGGGTAGGTCAATATTCTTTGCACCCAATTTCCACCCATCCTACGGAACAGATATATCCCCCGTGGACGGGCTTTTGAACTGGATGGCCTGGCCAAACAACGGAAACAACAAGGCCCCAATGCCGGGTCACAACGTCTCCGTGGCAGATGGTGATCATGTGTATGTCAATGCCTTGGCTGGTAAAGCCTATGTTGCCCGTGAGTACTTATTGATTGCACATAACGTGATATTGTGTATTCTAATCATCTACTAGCTGTTTCCCCGTGGTTCTTCACCCACTTCGGACCAGAGGTCTCATACAGCAAGAATTGGAACTTCCCCTCCGATCTTCTGTGGTTTAATAGGTGGAACGAAATTCTCGCTCTTCAACCCCGTTTCATCGAAATTGTCACTTGGAACGACTATGGGGAATGTCACTATATTGGTCCCTTGAAATCTCCCCACACTGACGACGGGGCTTCGAAATGGGTGAATGACATGTAAGATAAGCTGGACTACTGATCTGTCTCCCTTCGTATCACACTTTCCAGCTGATCTAGCACAGGCCCCACGATGGATGGCTGGACATTTCGAAGCCATACATAGCTGCATTCAAAGCAGGTGAATCTTCACCCAATAACCACATCACATCCGACGAGTTGATCTACTGGTATCGACCGACACCTCGGGGCGTCAACTGCGACTCCACCGACACTTGTATGGTGTCTGCAAATAATGGAAGCGGCAATTACTTCTTGGGTCGCCCGGATGGGTGGCAGTCAATGGCAGATTCTGTTTTTGTGGTCTCTTTGCTCACGGCTCCAGCCACGATCCAGGTAAACAGCGGGGGGAGTGAGTACAACTACAACGCACCCGCCGGTGCAAGCGCACAGGAGGTGCCAATGGGGGTAGGCTCTCAGAGCTTCGCCATTATTCGTGGAGGTCAGACCATTCTTTCCGGTACCAGCCTGAAACAAATCATCAATGGTTGTGTTTGTGGATTATACAACTTCAACGCCTATGGTACGTGTCCACATGTACGACACTTAAAAGTTTGTGATTCTAAACAGCATCTCTAGTGGGAACTCTTCCGGCTGGTTTTAGCGATCCTCTCCAGCCAGATGGACTTGCCGCTTTCAGACAGGGCCTTCATGTTGACTGTCAGGCCATTCCATCACTAGGTACTGCACCCCCTCAACCTCCCCAACAAGTCCTTTCTGTCCCGCACCTTCGACTGTGAATGACACTGTCACTGTAACAGAAACGCTGACTTCTTCATCTTGTCCAGTTCCGGGTAGTGGAAGTGGTGGGGGCGGCGGCGGCGGAGGAGGTGGAGATGGAGGAGGAGGAGGAGGCGGCGGCGGCGGCGGCGGAGGAGGAGGAGGAGGTGGAGGTGGTGGTGGGGGCGGTGGTAGTTGCATTTCAGGAACAGGGCCTGGCAACTATATCGGACTCTGTTCCTTCTGTTGCAATTTTGGATACTGTCCTCCGGGCCCTTGTACATGTACCGGATATGGAGACCCGGTTCCACCACCACCCTCTACAGGTGTTCGGGGAGCTCCTCTGCCTGGAGAAGATGATTCATATCTGGGTCTTTGCAGCTTTGCCTGTGACCATGGATACTGTCCCCCGACAGCATGTAGGGCACTCTGAATCCATAGATCTATGTGAGCCGGAAGCAAAACCGCCATCCTCCCTAGCACACAGCATCAATGAAAAATTCAACAATTTTGGCTGTTTTCTTTTTTTTTTGGAAACATATTTATTGCTTCTACAAAGTGGTATATTTGTCGTATACTTGGTATGCCATTTTTCACTGAAATAAATGATACTGGCTGATACTAGCCGAGTTGAGATTTGAAAATTCGAGGATGGTCCCAGAACGGATCTCAGACCTGCAATAAACACACCATGAGAGACACTGACCCAGCTAGCAGGAGTTTGGGAGATATTCTGATCTGAACAGCATCACCGGACTTCGAGGTAGGCGCAGCTGCGTGTGTACTGGAGGATGCTCCGGTTTCGACTGGCGATTCACCGCTACTTGAGGAAGTCGGTTCCGGATCAGTCGAAGTGGATGTCGTTGCGGCTGTAGAATTATTGATAGGACCGGCAGTGATTGTCACAGGCAGTGAGCTCATCTGGTCCTGATTGAGAGTCCGTGTATCAGTGCCAGGAAAGTTGGCTCCAGTTCCAGTAACAGTTGCGGTGCAGACCGCACTGGTGGTCCCGGTCACTAGGCAGACAACGTGGTTGTATCTGAGAAAGGATGAGAAAACAGTCTATCTACTCGAATTAAAATGTGTGAGGGGAGACTTACATATCACTGCCTTGATCTCGAATCAAATACTCAACACTTGTCGGCGCAGTGGTTAAAAAAAGACCAGGACCCAAGCCACAATTTGCCCTGTCAGTGCCTGGGGGACAATTGACACTATAGGAGGTAGTCGCAGAATTCTGATAACAATTAGCTCAGGGGTTGACTCTTAGCAGCGTATGGGCCCAACCTGTGCTATAATAGAAGCCACCATCGGTTGCGGATCAGCGTCTGGAATAAACAGGGAGATCACATCATCTTCTCTGGCCAATATGACGGTTGCTAAATACAAGAAAAGTATCAAAGCCATTTCGGAAGTCTTTGGGACACACCCAGGTACGTTCATGGGAAAGTAAAGAGTTTTCAGTACTTAAGTGAATCAGTCAACGGAGGGAAAGAAATATATTGCCAGGTAAAATATGGCCGAACCACCCATTGACGATGAGATTGACCTCACCAGGCCCTATTTTTGACATCATTCTCTCCCCACAGTCTATGCACTAAGCACTTCTAGTCGGGTTGATATAGTGGAGATCGAGTTTACCTAACGACATGGCGATGTACGTAGTATACCCTTGGATACATGCAGCAGGACATTCACCATGTATAACTACCTAGTAGGCGCTCACGACTAGAGTGTGCACTTTACACTCGACTGAATGAAATCTGAAAGAAGACCAAGTCCTCTGCATGTGAAACATAACATGTGGATTTTGTTTCCGAAAACTGACGTACTGTCGAATATGGCGGTTTTCAAGCCCGCCGCGGAGTTGTTCTCCATGCTCGCGCTATGCGATGGGCTCATCAAAAGGTGGGATTGGCTCTGTATTCACCTATAATATAGCCAAAGGGCTATTTGTCTGCCTCAAAAATAATCTTCTGGCTCTTCGCCTGGTTGAAGTCCTTGTATCTACACCAATCCCAGGTCAGTGAACTATCATTCAACGAGCGCTATCAACTTACGCCTGGACTGCCTGCGATAGCGGTCGGATATCATTAGACATGAATCTGCACAGGGTCAGTCTGCTTGTTTTGTGTCACTGAGCTTTCGGGGCTTTACCCGAGCATATCTTGCTTTCGAGCCAATAACTCCATTGCCGGAGCGAAGATGCTACGAACGGGACATCGCCCCATCTGTAGGCGAAGATTCTTTGCGTATGCTTCGTTGCCGGTCCATGGAATCTCTTGGTTATGCACCCCAACACTGGAGAGATGTCCCCACGGTCGCAGCATGTCAAATCCCATTCTCAGGGCGCTGCTGTGTCCGACAACTTCGATGACAACGTCGGCGCCTCGATCTTCCGTGATCTTCCTTACCCTTTCGCGAAGCCCCTGTTCATTCTCTGCGAAATTCCACGCCTCTGCCCCCATTCCTTCCGCCAGTGCCAGTCGGGATGGCACACTGTCAATCGCGATCAAATGCTTTGGTTGATACTCGAGTGCACTCACCAATGCACAGAGCCCTACGGGCCCACAGCCGAAAAGCAGAACTGTGCTTTCTCGGATTTCTTCGGGATCCAAGGCGCGGAACGCGTTGGACGCTGCAAAATAACCCGTTGGGAAGATGTCTGCCATGAGAACGAGTTTGCTCTCATCGATCTGCGAGGGCGAGTGGAACAGGGTCGAGTCTGCCAAGGGAACTCGGACATATTCGGCCTGGCCACCGTCCAACACCGCAGAGCCGTAAAGTTGGCATTTGGAACATCTTGACGAGTATCCGCGAGAGCAGTAAAAGCATGCACCGCAACTAACCGTGAAAGGAGAGACCACTAGGTCTCCTTGCTTGAATTTCGTGATTTCTGAGCCAACCTCGGCGACTGCTCCTGTGAACTCATGTCCCATAATGAACCCTGCTCCAGACGGCTGATGACCTCGATACACGTGAAGTTCACTATATAGGACGCAAAAGCATCATGTCAGATCATTTTTCGCCATGCTGCAAAAATCATCTATCTTCACCTTCCACAGAGTGCTGTGTATCTGACTTTGAGAATCACATCTGTAGGATCCTGGATAGACGGGCGAGGTCTCTGTTCCACTGCCACTTTTGAGGGTCCTTTGAAGATCACTGCCTGCATTATGGAAAACAGCTGTGTTAACTTGTGGTTTAGCAACGGTAGTTTGGGACAGGTGAAGGGTTTAAATGGGGGGTTGCGGGGTTCAGGTTGTAGACCTCGGCTCGGCTGTGAAGCATCGACAGGATGTGAAACTGGAGTTAATTTCCCGTGGTGACTATAAGGTGAGAATGTGTTTGCTCGATTCAATATCACAGCATTTGATTGCCGTTGATATCAACTTGCCCCGGTGAGCTAGAGCCCTGGAGGTCTTGAGCAAAGATATCCATGGGTGTATAGAGATGAGAGAGCAAATGAAAGCAAAACAAGCATGAAGGAAATAAGATAACAATCTTCACAAAACCAATTCGAATAGAAACCAAACAGAAACACCAAAAGAGGAATATATGAGAGGACCTTGCTAAGCTAGAGTTGACATACTTACCCCAACGGTGCCTCAGGCATCTTCTGGTATCCAAAAATGTTTCTGTCTGGCCTATATACACCTTCGTAACCGCGTCCTTGTCCTAATCTTCCTCATTTGATCTTCTCGTGTTAACATCTTTGCATCTTCGCCTCTTGACATGTTGGCATCCTCATCTTCTCATCGATATTTACACTACATGCTTAGGGACAACGACCTTGAATTCCTTGTACACCGAGAATTACCGCCCCATCCAGCCTCCGTCAACCGTCAACACTTCTCCGCTCACGTATGCACTCGCCCGACTGGCTAAATAGACGACGGACCCCTTGAAGTCATCGGGATTTCCCCATCGACCAGCCGGGATACGAGCTAGAATACTAGATGCACGATCCGCATCCTCCATTAAGGCAGTGTTCATATCGGTCGCGACGTACCCAGGTGCGATGGCGTTGACATTGATCCCTTGCGCCGCCCACTCGTTAGACAAGGCTTTAGTTAGCTGCGAAATTCCTCCTTTGGCTGCTGCATACGCGGGAACTGTCAACCCCCCCTGAAAAGACACAAGCGATGCCACATTGATGATTCGACCGCGTTGGCCGGCCCTGTCTGGCTCTCGTTCCAACATGTGGGCACCAACATCCCGGCACAGGGTGAATACAGTCGTCAGGTTGACTTGCAACACCTAGCACATCACAATCAGTTGTGGGCGACAATCTCCCTGGGGCTGGTCATGCATACCTCATCCCAATCCTCCAGGGGAAATATGTGGCTGGGGTGTCTCCGCTGGATTCCAGCGCAATTCAAAAGAATATGAATGTTATGTCCATCCTTCAACACCCTGGCGACCAGAGTGGATACAGACTCTTGGGAAGACAAATCCGCGGTGTAGATATTTGCCTTGCGCCCGTGGTTTTCGATCTCAAGTTTTGTTTCCTGGTTGTTGGTGTTTCTCTGTCCGAGGTCAGTCATTATCTATACAGCCCTAGCCGAGAGAGGGGGGCTACCTGGACGAGGATAATATCTGCACCGGCTTCAGCCATGGCAAGAGCCATCGCCTTGCCGATTCCTCGTGTTCCTCCCGTGACAAGGGCTGTTTGGCCCGAAAGAGAGAAGATATCCATGCCTATTGGATCGCGCTCGTATGACATGTGGCAGAATTTGAGATTCAAGGTGATCCTTATAGCATTGCCTTGTTGTTTAACACCTATGTAACCCCCACGCACTTCCCCGCATCGGTTGGAGATAGATTTGGATGCCAATTATCAGCTCATACGGCCTTTTCTTACTTTCTCTTTCCGGATTTGAGGACTTTGTCAGGTTCCCCTGGTATGAGACTCTCGGGTTGAGCCATATTATTTCATTCTCGCAATTCACAAAGCTATCTCAATTGCAATCAGACACCTACCACTCACGAATCGAACCATCCGGTCCGAAGAACTCCTTCGGCTGCCAGGGCTCTGTGTCTTTGCTGATCTGCCGCACTAGGTCCTCATCGATATCAATTCCCAGACCTGGCTTGCAGGGGGCATCCACATAGCCTTCTTTAATGTCAAAGATTGACTTGTCGATCAAATAGCTGTTGAGGTCGATGTCTCCGGCTTCTACATTATAATGCATGCCAAGTGACATCTCCTGAATGACAAAGTTGGGGATGGACACAGCGACCTGAAGAGAAGCTGCCAGAGCAATGGGACCAAGAGGGCAGTGTGGAGCAATGGCAACATCATAGGTCTCGGCCATGTTCGCGATCCGCATTGTCTCTGAAATTCCCCCTGCGTGTGCGATGTCGGGTTGCAGAACATCCACTGATGAATCCTCCAAGAATCTTTTAATGTCCCAGCGGCTGTATAACCGCTCTCCAAGGGCGATGGGAATGCTGGTTTGCTCGGAAAGCTGCTTGATTGCCTCGGGATGCTCGCACAGCAAGGGTTCCTCGATGAACAGAGGCTGGTACGGCTCCAGTGCCTTGGCTAGCTGCTTGGCCATCGGTCGGTGCAGGCGACCGTGGAAATCCAACCCGGCGTCAAGACCCAGGGCTTTCACTTGTTTTAACCGTTCAACGCATGACTGTAGAACGGCAGGCGAGTCAAGCCAGTTCACATCCTCGGTCGCGTTCATTTTGATGCATTTGAGCCCTTGGGCTATACGAGCCTTACTACGCACCATTCTCGTTAGAATATCTCGGCGATTGCACCAAGAGGAACTTACGCTGCAGCTTCCACGTCGCTCGGTCGGTCGCCTCCGATCCAGGCGTAGACCTGGACCTTCTGTCGCACCTTTCCGCCCAATAACTGATGCACCGGGACATTCAACTTCCGGCCCTTCAGATCCCACAAAGCGATATCGATCCCTGAAAGGGCCGACATGAAGACCGGACCACCGCGGTAGAATCCGAGTCGCCAGATTGTCTGCCAAACATGCTCGATATCACTACCAGGGTCAACAGTCGTCCGAAGTTGGGGGGACCTAAACCTACTCTGCCTCATATCCAATTATTCGGGTGATTATCTCGTCCAAAGCCCCCTCGACTGCCAGTGAATGACCTTCTAATGTCCCTTCTCCCCATCCAAATCGTCCTTCTTCGTCGGTGATCTTGACAAACAGCCAGCGAGGCTTAACTCGGAAGTATTCGATGGACTTGATCTTTGCCATTTTGGAGGGAGGTTCTTCGTAACACCTAGTTGTAGCTACAGCTAGCTACCTGGGGCGCATATTATATATGGAGTTAGAGCTGGGGAATAAACCCCACACCCCACTGGCATCCCACGCCAGAGAGCTTCGGGGGAAGTCCGGTCAAGTTGCTCTCCCCCACGCCAAGACAGGAGCTGCATCGTTCACACAGAGCTTACTCCGTATGATAGGCGGGAAAACATGAAGATCGTCATTGCGGGGGAAAGAGAAATAAGTCTTGTTCTGAACACGTTGTGAAACCCCCTCTCGAAACCTACATCAACGTTCGAGCGGCTGTAACAATATATCTTGGGCTCAACAGCCACTACCTTGATATTTGACAACGTCCATGGATTTATGCATGTAAACCAATATTTTTCGATGTTTCACTTCATTGTAACTTTAGAAGTTTGTACATAGGTAGGCATCGAGACGTATAGGAAAGTTGTATATTTAGTGTTGCTGATAGAGTGAGGAAACAGAACGAACCGCTCGTCTGGGCGTACAGAAGTCGTCACCGGACTGGTTGCGAGTCTCAGTACACATAGCGGAAGTTCATATTCTCTTTGTCTGTCAAGTCACTGAATGCTGTGCGGTTCATCTCTAACTGTCGCATGTACTCATCGTCCTCCCTGTTGTGTGTATTCTGCTGAGAATCGCGACGTCTGTTCTCCCACGCCAAACCTATGGCGATGAATACAATCAACCCGATTTCGATCAAGTTGGCGACCACCATAGACCAAATGCCGAGAGTGTACTGCGGTGCTTGACTTGATTTGTAAAAGAATGGACCGGCTATGTTTCCAGTGCAGACACCCAGAAAGATCATCGAGTTTGTAACGGACTTTTTGGTGTGTCCAGATATATTGGATGTGACAAGCGAGAGAATGATGACGAAGGATGCATTGTAAGAGCCTGTCAAGTAGTAGCAGATGAGTCGTGCTACGCTATCAGACTGGGGTACAAAGTTCAGTCCCAGCGAGCCCGCCAGGGTGGGCAGAATAAATAATATGGCGACCGCGCACCGATTGTTTTTCGGTAATGAATCATTGATAAAGACGGCGGCGAGAATCATCACGGCAATGAAGCATCCGTAGGGGATCTGCATGAGCGTCGTAACCACTGAACGGTCAGCATATATCACTTTTGTTTTTGGTTGGGCTTTTAGCCTTCAATCAGATCCAGCAACTTACACGTAGAGTAGCCAAAACCCTTGATGATCAATGTTCCAAAATTTGAAATCCCACCGTTGGGAATATTCCCACTCTTTTCATTGCCATTTCTTCGTCAGTGATTGTCCTACATGCTCCTGGATGAACTCACGAGGCCAAGAAGAAAAAAGACCCAAACTTTCCAGTCTGTGAGCGCTTCGAAGATCTGCCGTGGTTTCATATTTCGATTCTCGATGCCTGTTTGATTGTCCTTCAGTCGCTCGACTGCCATTTTTCGCTCACGTTCGGAGAGCTGGGGTGCCGAGACCGGGGAGTCCGGGAGGAAGATGATCATCACAATTCCCCAAGCACAACAGAGTGCGCCGATGATCAGAAACTCATACTTCCACGATGCCAAGGCCCCTTGAATCTGACCGATCCCATACCCCAAGAGCCCACCCAGGGCAATTCCAAACCCATTGGCTGTGTACCACAGGCCAATCCGAATTGGCTGTTGACGCCGAGTATACCACATCGCTGTAATAAGCATAAATGCCGGATCACTTCGATCAAATTAGCGATATTGCAAGAGCCAAGAGATATCGGAACAGCCTAACCTGCAAGCCTCTGCTGCTCCCGAAATCACTCGCAGAACTGCAAGGTGCGTAAAGTTCTTGGCCGCGGCTATGTACGAAAGCGCTCAGCCCCTATTCCTTGTAGTTGGAGACGCCCAGCTCACCTTGCAGCATGAGGAAAAACCCCCACATGAATATGTTGATCCCCAAATATTTACCTATGGGGAACTTTTGCATTAACAAGTTCGTTGGAAAGCTCCAGGCCAGAAAACCAAAGTAGAACACGCTCGATAACCAACTGTATTCGGCTCCAGATAGGTTCAAATCCTCCTGGATCCCAAAGATTGCTGCATAGGACAATGTGGTTTTGTCGATCTTAGTCCCAAGTTAGCCTCGATTTGGGTGAATAATCCGAATAACTTACATAGTAGAAAGCGTAGCAGACGGATAAGAAGGGAAGAATCATCATGTCAATCTTGCGAACCAACCTCTTCTCCTCGCCTGGCTCGAAGTCATCGTGTATATCGTCGATATTATCGAACAAGGCAAGGGCCTTGTCTCCATCACGAATTTTATCCAAGTCTGTTGGGATATTTGAGCCTTCTATGTGGGTTGATGCTGGCTTCTGGGCCATGGTGTTGGTATGCTCAAACATCATCGATAGTCCCGTAGGTTGGCTACGAGCGAGTCAATGCCACAACGAGCACGATCTCATACTTAAGTAAGGATATACCCTTTGAGACTGCCTTCAGATACTCCCCACAAATTCCCCGCAATTGAGGACTGGACCGGAATGATGGAAAAACATGCCCCAGTTGCAATGACCCCCACGCTCGGCTTTATTCCGCGTCTCGAGGGTCCTATACATCAGTCGATAATTGCATGATCCTTATCCCAACATATCCTTCACCATGAAACTAACTCATGACGACATACTCCAGCACAACCATCGGAAGTCTTGCTGGATTGCAATTCATGGCAACGTATACGATGTCACCGGTGCTGTATCAAGCTCTCTTCCTAGGGTGATATTGGGCTGACAGTAATAGAATTCCTCAACGCACACCCCGGGGGAGCAAAAGTCATTTTGCAATCAGCAGGCAAAGATGCCAGTCAAGCCTTTGACTCTGTACACGCACCAGACATACTGAAAGAGTTACCGGAAGCCGCTCTGCGGGGCCAGATTGATATCTCTGAAGCGAAGGTGCAGAAGCCCAAGTCGAACGAGGAGGAACAGTCTCATCTGGAATCTCCGCCTTTGCATACCTTGATCAATCTCCATGACTTCGAGAAGATTGCCGAACGTCATCTCCCCGCTACCACCTGGGCCTACTACTCGTCCGGCGCGGACGATGAGATCAGCAAGCACAACAATGCTCGTTTATACTCAAAGATCGCACTGCGGCCGCGCATTCTTCGGCGAGTACACTCCGTCTATACTGCTACCTCGATCCTAGGATTTTCGACATCTTTACCGGTCTATATTTCACCGGTAGGGATAGCAAAGCTTGCCCATCCAGATGGCGAATGTGCGTTGGCAGCTGCGGCCGGGAAAGAAGGATTGGTTCAGGTGTTAGCCAACGGGTCGAGTATGCCGATCGAACAGGTCATGAACACTCGCACATCGCCGACGCAGCCCATATTTCAACAACTTTACGTGAACAAGGATATCCAGAAGTCAGTTGAGGTGGTCCGTCGTGCAGCGCAGGCCGGGGCTGGGGCCATTTGGATCACAGTCGATTCGCCAGTGGTGGGAAAGAGAGAACTGGACGAGCGTTTGAACTTGAGCATTTCGGTGCGTGATATTTGATGGCAAATTCCATGTAGCTTTTGGCACTAATATTGATCTTCACTAGGCCTCGGATAGTGATCAAGAGGGACAAGGGGTCGCCAAAATTATGGCCAGTTCCATATCCCCTTTCATCGACTGGGACATTCTGACCTGGATTCGGCGGATTACAGATCTCCCTCTGGTCATTAAAGGGATCCAATGTGTCGAAGATGCGGTGATCGCGTACGAACATGGTGTTCAAGGGATCGTTCTTTCTAACCATGGCGGACGCTCTCAAGATACGTACGTGATTCTGAACCTCGATGTCTGACCTGATTTGTCTTCATGCTAATCAAGTCCAGCGCCCAATCCCCTCTGCTGACTCTTTTGGAGATCCGCAAATTCGCACCACAATTACTGGATAGTGAGATGCAAATCTTTGTCGATGGGGGGATCCGCCGAGGGACTGATGTCCTCAAGGCTCTTGCACTAGGCGCAGATGCCGTGGGACTCGGCCGACCATTCCTCTACAGCTTAACCGCAGGGTACGGGGAGAATGGGGTCCGCCGGATGCTAACAATTCTCCGACAGGAGATTGAGATGAATATGATCCTCCTTGGGGTTAGCAGTTTAAATGAACTGAAATCCGAGATGGTGAATGCCAGTCGATTGGAAAAACATATGGTTGGCAGTATAAAACTATGACATGAGCGTCCACACATTCTTATTTTTTAGCATCTATAGATTGCTAAGACGTTCTAAAGTTTGAAGTGTCCAGGTATAGGGGGTATCGGTGCAATGAGATTTATTCTAGTTCAACTTGAATAAAGTAGAATGTTGGAATATTAGATATACTTTAGTGCCTAAGAGACTTGGTAGCTCCAGAGATCTATAGATCGTGAAGTTGGACTATGAGAATCTAAAGATAGAAATATTCTACACATTAATGTCAATTCGTGGAATTCAGACTATTTCTCTAGCACCAGGCCAATAGGCCCCGAATATCCTTACCCCAAATCCTTCAAATATCCTCGGATCAAAACCCCCACGTCCTGAATTCGGTCTTCCTCCGAGATGCGGGGGACACAAAACACCGGGGACCACCGCATTTTCTGCTGCCAAAATGTCTGATCAGATTGATGTTTTACTTTATGGACTGGGGGCGTAAGTTGATCCCCTTGTCAAAATTATCTATGAAACCTCTAACTATTCCTCAGGATTGGCTCCTTCTACGCCTTCATCTTGAGTCGCTCCAGCCGGGTTAGGCTCACGGTTCTAGCTCGCTCAAATTATGACGCAGTCCGCACCAATGTAAGATACCCAATGCAAGAGATGTTCAAAGCTGATACAAGTAGGGGATTACCATCAACAGTGAAAATCACGGGAAACATACCTTCCATCCCCACCGAGGTATGTGCGTCACACCAGTTGACTTTCCCAGCTCATTGGCCCAACAGTGATACGATCCGTCACCGAATGCGGTCCGGTAGACTTTGTTGTGTGTGCCCACAAGGCACTTGATCAAGTCGAGGTGGCAGTACAGCTGCGATCAGCCATCAGCAAGGAGACCACGATCGTCGTGATTCAGAATGGAGTGGGAAACGAAGAGCCTTTTCGAAATGAGTTCCCCAGCAACTCGATCCTGACATGTGTGGTACGTTCCCCTGGTGATCGATATAGATGAATGAGACTCTCATTTCAATAGACTTGGGTCGGGGCCACACAAACCAGTCCAGGCGTCGTGAAGCACACCAAATCAGAGGATATGCAAATCGGTTTGTTCCACAACCCGTCACTCGATGGTCCCGTTGAACAGAAACGACTGTATGCATTCGCCGATCTTCTCCGGAATGGCCAAACGCGATTCCAGATTCTGGAGAACATGCAAATCCAACGGTGGGAAAAGGTGGTTTGGAATGTAGCGTGGAACTCCCTGACAGCAATCACCATGGTGGACACACAGACCTGGCTACATTCTTCAGAAGATGCAACTCCATTCACACGCCAGTTGATGCAAGAGGTCATCAATATCGCTCGTGGTTGCGGAGTCCCCCTGCAAGATGAGCTGATTGACCAACTGATGGATAAAATCAATGCTATGCCCGGTATTGGAAGCAGTATGCAGACTGATTGCAAGAATGGTCGACCCATGGAGATCGATGTCATTTTGGGATATCCAGCACGCAAAGCCCGTGATCTTGCAATCCAGGCTCCGTTCCTACAAACCCTCTACGTTATCCTACGTGCGGTGGATGGCCGACTGAGGGCTGCACTGTAGACAAGAGGAAATATCCAAAGATTGATCCTAGCTGGTTAGTCCTCAGGGTATTCAAGGATCATCACCTCGGCATAGCGAGGTTCTGGTTTTCATAACTTAGCACGACGCACTGATGCACGATGCGAGGTAGTCACTGATGCGGTGTATATAATATGTGTGAGATTTTGTCAACTAGATGTTCGAAATATAGCAAAGTGGAACGCGCCGTTTTTCATGCAGACGTTAGATTGGGAAACCTCAAAGAAAATAAACGCCGTCTCCACTTATAATGCTGCAAGATGGAATTGGAAAGGCGAGTGCCAGCTGGCTCTTCCCACTGTCTATGTCTGGGCGTGCCTGTATCGAGCGAGCCTCACAAAGGCCATCGTCCGAAAATATAAAGAAGGCCGCCTGGTAAGATGATGAAGTGAAAGGGAAAGGTCGTGATTCATGACAAATAACATAAACGTCAGTGCGGGCTTGGAGGTTGTGGATTTGAGATCTCCTGCAATTGAATGCTAGTGGTCTTATCAACATCCACTTCCGGGTCGTCTTCCACAGAATCTGGGGGTTTGGGGGGACCCGGTTCCTGATCAACAGCGAATCTCCAGCGGTTGTCAGCACCCATGAACATACGGAACCCATAGCGTTTGTTGAGTGCCGAGATATGTGCATGTCGTTTCGCACTACTCCAGGTGTGGGTGTCCGCGAAATCGTGAAGCATCTGGCTATGTGATATCCACGGAATGATAGCGCCAATCGATCGAGGCATTCTAGGGCCCCGGAACCTGCCACGGCGGGTCCCAAAAACCAAGAGAACGACGATGGTATCAAAAGCGATAATAGTCAAGGCAATAGCAAGTGATGGAGCTGACGGGGCCATATGCCAAGTACTGCTGGTGATGGTGGCATTTGTAGCCAAGACTGGCTGAGCAAGCGGCTCCAGGTATATATCACGCCAGATAGAGAAGTAAGTACTATAGACCCACTGGTACACGGTTTGAGTCATGTCGGTCAAAAGACCCGAGTCCAGAGAATCAAAATCAGGATCCTGACGCTGATAGAGACGGGCGACCAGGAAACCTGCCCAATCGTACGAGGAAATGTTGTAGGTGCCATTCTGCATGGTAGTGTTGCCGATGTAGCTACTAGGGATAGCAGCAAAGACTTTGTTGAACTGACCAAGGCTGACTGTGGCATTGTCGTACATGGTTCCTTGGTGGATAGACGTGTTAGGCAAAGGCTCGTGCCAATTGATTTGACCTTTCTGGTCAAAAGCGACAGAATATTCCTGCAATTGGGCAGAGGGTTCACAGTGCAAAGCAATGGTATTGTTGTCTGTGATGGGGGTGTCTGCAAGATAGTCCCAACGACCAACGACAAGCACTGTCGAGGTCTGACAGACATCCGAATGATCCAAATCATCAGGAGAAAGAAAGTGAATGGACAGAGCGATGCCTTCCTCTTTGCTTTTCAGGGGTGGCATGCGTGCGAGACATTCCATGGATGAATTGTCAAATAACCTGTATCGCCAAAATTGGTGGCCATTGGTACTATTTTGCACAAGGTCGCTTGTTGAGAGGGCTTGACACTCCAGTTTAGTGCCCACGCCAAGGGTTGATGCACCATAAGTTACATCTGGACTGCGGTTGTTCACGTGAACGGGAATGAAGGACTGGTTTGGACTAGTCCACGAGAGCATGGGGACTCCACTGGTGATGCTGGTTTGAATCAAATCATATTCCGTGAATTCAGCTGCGAAGTCGTTTCGCCAGAAGGTGGATTGGCTGTAGTTCATTGTCAAATCTTTGGTGTCCAATGTTGTGGTTGTCATTTGCTGGGTGAACAGTCCACCGGCAACGACTGTCAGGGCCATGTTCATGACGCAAGCAATGGAAACCAGACCCAGCAGGATATGACGGTCACGAACAGCCTTGATAAAAATCGCAAAGGGACTCTGAGACGAATAGTTGAGGGATAATGAGGCCCGTGCCGAGGCATTGCCCCGTTGAAGATGCACCCAGGGCTCCAGGACGCTCAAGTTTCGATGGATGGAGGTGCACAACGATCCAACAGAAGATGCGATGATAGATGGTAAGAATGACAGGACGACTTGGAATGCGCTCGAGTCTGACTGTGTCAGATGGCGAAAGCGACCATCACGTAGGAGGGAGGCGACGACCAGGCCCATGAGAATGATTACTCCAGCCAATGCAAGGAATTCTACCAAAAAGAAAGGGATCACCAAGAAATGCGGCATAGGATCAACATGGGTCTGGAGGTTCTCTCCAAGCTGTACAGGGGAGCCTGAAGCAGGTTAGTCTTTTTTTAATACAAAGACATGGCAAGGGGCTTCAGTGAATCTGTGTGACATACCATCTTCTGCAAGAATCTCCAAGCGGTTCCCAGAAGGACCCGGTCGCCAGTAACACCGGGCATCTTTGAAGATACGACGGAGTTGACGAGTGGAGAACTGATGGAATTCTGCCACTGGCTCAGCCAGAATGTTAGAAGGGTGAAATACATCTGCTGTGATGCTACACATCGCACCAATCGAACCAGGATCGCTTTTGAGGAACAATTCACGTGAATGGTACATGTACAGGAGGTATACAGCAGTCAACGTCGCCAGGATGAGAATGAACTCGGACCACAGAGCGGCGAAGTCAACGACTGCGATCGCGACCTGCTTCGACAGGCGGGTGGCTGCAATTATCGTTGGTTTGGTTTCTGGGTCGAAAAGGCGACCGAGGGTGAATACAAACGTCTGTTTCACATCCCTTTCGATTTTGGATATAAGCTCAGCCTCTGTCATCACAGCCGAGGTGTCCAGTACCAGAAGAGGCTGAAGATCACCCAGTTCCTGGCTGATGACTGGTAACTCTGTGATCGTACGGTCCCCTGTGGTAGCGTTCTCGCGTATAAACAGCATGTCACTTGTATATGGGGCGCGCTGTGACAGCAGGGCCTGGAAGTGCTCGATGTTGAACTCAGTCGCCGTCAGATTCCTGGTAGTACCGCGATCAATTTTGATAGATGTGATCGAACTGTTGGAATGCATCAACACGCGTGCCTCCGCCTGATGATAGGTGATGTCACAAGCGAAGGCCGCTCCCGAAACGGAGTAATCAGTCGAGGAGGAATTGGTCGTGGCATTCACGCCAATTATCATGCCATACAGGTCGTAAGGATCGCATCCGGATGCCGTGAAGGCCTGTGTTCTATTTGGAAAGGCTTCTTTGGCTGCATCGCTAATCACCGGCTCCCAATAGCGGACTTGAAGGTAATCAGTGGCCGGGAAATAGACGCTCTCGTATTGAAACCCCAGAGTACACTGGTCCGCGCCTCCGTATGTAGCACCCAAATCGATGCCCGTGGCACTCCAGGAGATCATGGGATATGCGGCCTGAGGGTCATCGATAGAGACAGTAAGCTTGTCACCAACGAGAACGTTTTGACACGAGAGTTCCGCCCAGTACAGCGTTTGATCCAGAGCCCACATTGTACGTTCATCCTGAGAGGTGCCTGGAATTTCCACGGGTGCCACGGCGAATTTGGAGGATCGGGTGCGCCGCAGTTGCTCGTCCGAAGAAAGTGGAGAGTCGACGGTGTTGTTGACCTGCGTGGACATCCACCGCTCTTGTGTGTCCAAATTCGCCAAGTGCGGCCAACTTTTCATAGATCCATGATTTGTCACAGTGACCTCCCGTAACTCGAAGACTGTGCTTTGCAAAGCGGGGAGAATCATTCGAATTGAGAGGGTCACAAACGAGACCCATAGCACGACCCAGTGGCGGCGGCGGGCGGCATTGATCGGCGTGAGAACAGTCTGACCGAAGTTATAGTTGATGAAAAGCACGGTCGCCGGAGCTCCCTCGGGTCGAGATAACTGGAAGTACGGCTCCAGGCGGAGGACATCGAAATCGGTGACGGTCCATATCACGACCAGGACGAGAGAGACAATGATGGGCAGATAGTTGTAGGCAAAGGATTGGATGGAGGAGACATCGTCCGTATATTGAAAGAAAGCCAGTCCTCCTTCTCGGTCGCTATACTGTCGCAGCCCTTCCAGACACAATACAATCGTCAACATCAAACATATGAGAGCAACAAGATAGGGCGGTCGCAGGGCAACTGGGCGCCAGCCTCGGGACTGTCGGGATGGGGGCGAACGAAACCGAGCGAGACGAGCTAGAGATTCACATTAGCAAACCCTGACGAGAGAGAGGGATCGATGACATACGGAGCCATGCCCCGGATCCCCCATCGGACATGCTGGATGGCCCAGGCGTTCAAGTCGATAAGAATTGAGTGGCATCGCCGATCAACCATTCAGACGTGCTAGAGGGGTCATTGTGTAGACGATGAGAGTCCGGGGAAATCGTCAAAGCCGTAAGAGCCCAGATGTTGAAGACGGAGAATTGGATGTGGCTGTGCTGACGCGGCGGGCGGGAAACCGGCTTTCTCGATCCACAACTCACCACCGTCGTCATGTCTCGGCATCTACGTCCTTACGAAGAAATTCACTAAACATGGAGTACGGAGCATTGAGCACGGAGTGGATTCTCAATAATTGCAGGAGTGGGAAGGGAACTTGGAATGACGATGGTCCTCTCAACCCTCCAACAGGGAGTTCGGGGCACTAGATAAGCAGGCCTTGAGAATATCTTCACGCCATGCATTCCGGGATCCGAGACTTGGGCGGTTAACCTCAGATAGGCCCGAGGTGCGTGAGAACTTCAAACCTCCATGCGAACCATGCTGAGAAGATCGCCATACCATTCTCGAAAGAAGCGTTGGTTGGTGGTCGACATGGCATCAAAAGCGATCTTGGTCTCCAATTCTTTGTGCTGGCGATCCTGAATCCACCTGCGCACCAATCTATCATGATACATGATTCGATCTCGGATTATTGGCTCTGCCCGGCGGATGTTGGAGGGCAACCGTTTTTTGGCGCCCCGGTAGTTCGCTTCACGCCACCATGCATCGCGGGTGCGGTACAGGAGATCACGAGTCTGGATTATTTCCGCGCGCGCACTGTCCCGAGGAGGTAGGGGAATGTTGAGACAGCGTTGTACATCAGGGCCCTCAATAACGCGAAAGGAAGCTTTGTCGGTGTATGACAGATCGTTGTACGCATCTAAGGCAAAGTTCCTAGCCTGGGCTAGCGTCATGCTGGCACACGAGTGTTCCTGATCCAACATCTCCAAAACCCATACGGCGTTGGTGGAGACACATCTTGCCGGCACGAGAATCTTTGCCATGACCATTTGCCTGCAGGACTGAATCACTTGGTCCACACCACGCAGGGCATTTCTCGCCCGAGCCATCCTCTGTAATGACGAGTTTGTGGGAGCCGTGGGCGCCGTGGGGGGTCGCATTGATGCAGCAGTACTTCGAGGTCGAGGTTAAGACAACAAATGAAGACAATAGTCTAATCGATCGCTGGATAACATCAGAACTGTACTATTCCATCGATCCCATTGGAATTTGTTCTGCTCGTCGGAGTCTGCCGTTGGGTTTGGGCTGCACCTGTGCTGTGTTTTGTACACCTTTCGGGTCCCTCAAATCACTGGTCTGGAGGTTTGTTGACTGTCAGTCTCACCTCAATCTTTTCACGGGGATCCAGGTCTCCAAGTTGGCGGGCTTGCTAGTGTCACCATTTTCCAAGACCGTAGTCAGCTTTTCAAATTGTCCATCTACTCAATCACGAATTGAGACGCATTTAGCGCCACCCAGGTCTTGGGACTTCGTTGAAAGGGAACAAGACCAAACAGCACCGGCGGTAGAAACTAACCGTACTGATGCTGAGCAATCTGCAATCTCAGCATCTGAAAGGCAGTGGACACGAAGAGAATCGCCAGAATGAGAGATCGCGACATTTTTGCCGGCAGAACGAAGTCCGCTTTCTCACCGTCTACAGTACATTCACATCTTGATGAGCTTCCTTTACTATTCTCGCTGCTCTACTCAGTACTCAGTACTCAGTACTCCTTACTCCGCACCTATTTCATTCCTTGCCTAGCTTGATTTTTAGCTCCTCTGGCCCACTCTCAAAACCTGCAGGAGACAACGCACTCGTCGGATCTTCCACTCCTCGACAGCCGGGGCCCACTTTTGATTTGCGCACATCGGAAATGCCGACTCAATCCCTCTCCTGCATGCACTTCCCCATACTCAGACTGTGGGGAAGTTCGGTCGTATTTGAGGCTAGTCTTGCCCTGGGGAATCTGTTGTGATCCCCCACAGACTCCGATAGTCTCGCTTTGCCGCCATAATCTTGCCCGGGTTTGCAAGGTGTGCTCAAAATGACAGATGCCAAAGAATCACATTCCAGCACTAGTCACTTGGAGACAATGCCGGAAGTCGAAAGATCCTCTCCGAGCTATGATGAGCCGAAAGTCCAGGGGGACATGGACCCCAACAACCCTCTGGTACGTCCCCCAAAACTTTTCTCTGGGTGCATTACTGACCCTTGTCCGCAATGATCAGAATTGGTCGATGACTGCCAAGCAGTGCACATATCTGACGATCTGCCTATTTACCTTTCTGGCCAACATCAACTCAAGCAACTTCACTGTTGCCACACAACCCATAATTAAAGAGTTTCAAGTGACTGAGACACAGGCCGGGGAGCTAGTTTGTTTCAATGTCTTTCTATTTGGAATGGGGAATATCTTTTGGGTACCACTCATGCGGGTAATTGGCAAACGCCCAGTATACCTTATTGCGATGCTTGGCTTGTCCATGATGAATGTCTGGTCCAGCCAAGCCACAAGTTATGGGGAACTACTTGCCTCGAGAATCCTCTCCGGGTTCGTCGCTGCCGCGGCGGATGCTACTGTGCCTGCCGTGGTAGCTGATATGGTCTTGCCTCAAGACCGAGGCCACTATATGATGTTTTTCCATCTCGCTATGACTGCAGGCCTATTTCTGGGCCCTTTAATCAATGCATATTTGGTCCAGGAGCAGGATTGGCGTTGGATGTGCTATTTTCTTGCTATTTCCGTCGGGGTTGTCTTTATCCTTGCCATCTTCACCATCAGGGAGACATCGACCCGGCCTCGGGAGTCCGCCGACCCTGTGGTCTTCTCCTCGAAGCGATCCCAATGGCAGTGGATGTCTCTCACGGCGGGGTATAACCCACAAGCATCATTCTTGCAACCGCTTCGAGACATCGTCGCTAATGCTGCTTATCCACCTTTGATTTGGTGCTCCTTAACCATTGGTATTTCGGTCGGATGGTTTGTCACTTCAAGGGAATAAATATCTTGATCGCTTGAACTGACAACAATGATAGGAACATCGTCGTTCAGCTCATGTCTTCCCGGACTTTCACCCAGTCCCCGTACGGATGGGGGCTCGGTGACTTGGGTCTGCTCTCGCTGGCAGCTTTTATTGGATCTATCATCGCATTCTATTTCGGTGGGCGACTCATTGATATCATTTCAAGCCGAAGTGCTACTCGACATGGAGGTGTCCGCCGACCGGAATATCGGCTACCGGCCATTATGATCCCGGGGGTGATTGGACCCGCCGGGATACTCATTTTTGGGCTTTGCGTCGCCCACAAAACCCACTGGATCGGCCCTGCAGTCGGCAATGCCATGCAGGCTTTTGGCGTTGCGGCTATCAGCAATGTTGCCGTGACTTATTCGCTGGACTCGTATAAACCGGTACGTACTTCGCTCCCTGTTCCTTGGGAGACGCTCACTCACAGCCAATCAGGTGACGGGCGAGGCTCTGGTGATTATATTCGTCATTCGCAACACGATTGGCATGCTTGTATCCCTCTACGCGGCGGAATGGATAGAACGTCAAGGCCCTGCGGCTGTCTTTGGGGAGATGGCTGCCATTCAAGTGGCCAGCATCTTATTTGCCATTCCCCTTTACATATGGGGAAATTCCTTAAGAGCCTGGACCTCGAGGTACGGACCGATGAAGCGGTTCCAGGCCGCGTGAAGTTTAAAGATTGGTTTCTCATTGACTCCCTCCCTCAATGTAGTCGTTATGTTCTGGTACAGATAGAGAACGGTCTTTTTGTGCACATGATTTGTGCACATGATCCAACGCCTACCTGGGGACACAATCTCGTTTAGAAACAGTGCCCCTTGGACATTCATGTAGCCTTGAAATTGGGAACGCAACAGTTGACCATTGGAACATTGGAAGACTGCAAGCTCCATGGATTTTCCCGGCATCTCATCCTGGGAGAAAGCCGAACAGCCGTGACATTTGGAGAAATACCTCACCATAGTATTGCAAGAGATAACGTGATGGAGAGTATTCAGCGAAGAAACTGAAGAGGCGAACGACTCAACCCTGGGAACTTCCAGGTCCATTGCCTAATCCGGCGTATCAACTCTGATCGGCGGGATCGTCGTCGGCACCACATTTCCCCATGACGATTGTACCCTGGAAGAGGGACCTCTGGAACAACTTTATCCACGGCAATGGACACTCACTGGCTGGAAGTTCTCCGCAGCATCGAGCAAGTCTCCAGTCTGCACGGCGTTTCTTCCAGATGCGTCGCATCAGTACGCCACCCCGAAAGACAACATGGGTCCAAGTCGTTAGGATACCTGATCCCCTCGAGATCCTAACGTTTTCTGACTTCAGATTTCCAGGTGGTCCACTCTCCTTCTTTGTCTGTGCCACTGGTCTGGTTCAGGGCCCTTTGCCAACCAGGGTAGCGGATCGACATGAAACCGTCAATTGAGTTCGCCAGGGGGTGTTATGGTGTCAGAATGCTTCCAGAAGCCCGTCACGAGTCCTGACGATCCTCCATCTTCCAGGGATAAGGCGAGAAAGAGAGGATCGTCGGTTTTGTGATCATGGCCCAGTGCCGAAGGTGCAACTGTGGACAGCGGCATCAGCGCCGAGATCAGATATAAAAACCCTTGTCGATTCCGTCGAAATACTTCCATTCAGCAGATCTGAGATCCTTTTACATCTTCAATCTTTCCTTTCAGAATATCCTTCATTGCCCAGCTATCGTTGACCGACGGCTCATCCAATCTTTTTTCAACTCTTCTTACCTTCATTTCACTTTTTCACAATGAAGACTTCTTTCGTTGCCCTTGCCATCGCCCTATCTGGCTCTGCCGTGGGTGCTCCGTTCTCCAACAGCACCCGTGTGGCATCGAGCTCTTCCCCAACATCGACTCCCGCTCATTTGTCGACCGATCCTCCTCTGCCTGACCCCTTCGCTTCTAGCACCGCATGGCCTTGGGCCTCTGCAAAGCCATCTTCCGGGTCCGTGTCTTTCTCCCGGTCGTCCATCCCAACTGGGAGTGCTGTAAAGCGCGAGGATGCTCTCTCGATCCCCACCGACCTCCCGTCGCTAGTATCGGATGCGCAGTCGGCGGTTGGAGCTCTTGCCTCTGCGGGCGCCGGCGCCCAAAAGCGTGACGAGGCACTATCCATCCCCACCGATTTGCCATCTTTGGTGTCCGATGCCCAGTCTGCGGTCGCTGCATTGGCTTCGGCCGGTGCTCAGAAGCGAGATGGCGCTCTGTCCCTTCCCACTGATCTTCCTTCTCTGCTCTCGGAAGCCCAGTCCATCGGCGCTGCCGTTGCCTCGGCTGGTGCTCAGAAGCGAGATGACGCTCTGTCCATTCCCACTGATCTTCCCTCTCTGCTCTCGGATGCTCAATCCATCGGCGCCGCCGTTGCATCTGCTGGTGGCCAGAAGCGTGCTCAGCAGACGATCCCAATCCTGACTCACACTGGCCTGCCTTCACCTTCCAGCACCTTGTCGACCCGTCCCGCTTCCTCAGTGGCTGGTTCCTCTGGGGTCGCCTCTTCCAGTGCCACGCCTTCTCACACTGGAATCTCTTCTAGCGGGACTCCCTCATCTGGCCGTCCCCTTCCTACTGCTACTCATGCATCTTTCTTCGGTCTGATCTAAGAGGGTATTGGCTTGGCTCTATGTTTTCAGAACTGGTTCTGATGTTCACTCGTTTCCTGGTTTCACTCGTTTCAATCGTTTCTTTAGATGGATCTGAATGTATTCGTTAGGTTAGATTGCTGATAGAATATACTAAATTGTTTCAATGTCGAAATTCAATCTCCATTGTATCGTAGAGGGGAAATGAAAGTTTCTTGCATTCCACCTATACTCAAGTGACAATCACTATTGTGTTTGCCAACTTCTCGACCTCCCCCCATCCTAGCTTCTTCTTCTTCTTCTTCTTCTTCTTATCTTTTTGTTTTTCCTTCCGCCACGTCTCTTTCATCTTCCAATCTCAGTCCTATCCCCGATAACTTCTCAAATATGTCGTCATACAACTCTGTCCTGTCTTTCCAGGAAGGGCTCCCGGACGGATTCATGATGCGACCCTTCAGTGAGTCCGACGTGCTCCAGAACACCGTGGAACAGCTTTTGCGGAAACTGCAGGAGTCTCGCGATGGCAGTCAATGGATCATCCTTGTCGCTCTCACGTCGGCAACTGTCGAACGGCTGGCCGATACGGAAAACCCGATGGAAGGTCTGACCTACCGAGTTCAATGGGATGGCTCAGCAGCCCTCATCAAGGTGGTCGCTGGGCACACTCATCTGATGGTGACGGATGAGCTTACCAGAGCGATTGAACACCGCATCTCCGTCATGCATAATCCTCCGATTCACAAATGGAACGGCCATGCTGCGTACAGGCCCACAACAACCAACGGCAAACAAGCCGATCAATCGTTCCTCCCGCTTTCCCGATGGTCGACTACCTCGCAGGCTTGGGGTTTCCCTACCCTCGTGGTTGAGACTGGCGTGCCCCAGTCACTGCTCCGGCTCCGCGCAAACGCCAAGTGGTGGTTTGCAAACACGAATGGCGAAGTGCGGATCGTTCTGATTGTCATCGTCTCCCGGGCGGGGTTCCGGATCGAGAAATGGCAACTGGCTCCCCCTGGTCTTGCACGTCCCCTCTCTGAGGGCGATATTCACGCTTTACGCCAACAGAACCCTCCTATCCCTCCTCTCTTCGAGCAGCCCGCCGCGGTCCAGCAAGCATATGCGGCACAAGAGATCGAGGTGACGGAAGAGAGAATTGTGGGTGGGCCTCTGGTGATCCCGTTTGTCGCTCTGTTCGGCCAATTCCCAAACCCTGGACAGCAAGACATTGTGCTCGGAGCGGAGGGCTTTCGTTTTCGCGGTTGAATCCTTTGAAGATCTGAGCTTCCTCTCGAGCTGAGACTATTATCACACGAAATTCACAATTATCATTCGATAGCAGAATTTACAGCAGTACTTATTCTTATGGACCACCACCAAACCAAAACTTTAGAGCTTAAGTAGGACTTCAGGACCACGATAGTCGTGATTGTGACTAGAGATCATCACTTGAGCACTCGTGGACGTTCTCCACGTATTTGCGTTTTGCTTCCATGGGACTGACGCTCAACTTTAGAACTTTAGAAGCAGAAGAGTCGCACTATGACTTGAAAACGTAGAAGTACTTAGTAAGTACACCTCCATATCTAGGTATCCTGAGTAATATTCGGAAATTCCGGACCTTTGCAGACACATGTGAGCTGAAGCTGATCTTTGTGGGTCCGAGTTACCTATTCTATAGTTGTATTGAATGCAGGTTTATGCAGGCGATGTACTTAAGTAGCCTACTTAAGTACAATTCAACTTTAGAAGATTCCCAAAGAGGCGTTTTGCTCTAACCCTTCTCAAGTTCTGGATTTGGAGGCTCAGCCTACTGAGTTGTGTTTTTTTACTTGCCGGTCTCCTTAAGTAGCGGTTGATTGCCTCTAAAACTAGGACTCGGGAATATATATCCGTTACATCACACTACTGGAGGTTTTGGTTTGAGTATGAACGTCGAAATTCCCCATTAATGGGATATCTTGCACAACTGAGCAACATTGGGTCCCATTGATGGTAAAGATAGCAAAAAGAAGGAAAAATCATGAGATAAAAATGAAATGAGAACAGTTACACCTGAAGGGAACGCGGTCAGTTGCCGATGCCAAGCCTCGGAGCTTCAAGCTCTCTCTCTCCCCTCCGCTCACTCTTCTCACCTCACATATTCCACCATGGGCATTTTCAGCAAATTGATCAAAACCTCCGTCGCAGGAACTGTGGCCTCGGTCGGTGTGTTTTGGGGCGCCACCCGCAATGACATCTTCCAGCAGATGGACACATCCGATCCCATCTTCCAATCCGCCCTCTTCAACAAGTGGAACCCAAATCGCAACCCGACTTTGCACGATGTGTGCGTTCGTCAAATGCCCTTGGACAAAATCCAGCCCTCGCTAGTGGAGGAGAAGGGCAAGCTGGTGGAGGCCTTCTGTGCCGGTGTCTGGGGTGGCCTGGGTGAGCCCCGGTTGATTCCCTTCCATACAAAGTACAGCATCCGCTGATCCGTTCGCCGTTCCTATTTAGGTTACATCCCCCAGAGAGCCTTCCTTGACCGGAAATACCGAGGCCCCGAAACCGCCAGTCATTTGTGGAATCGATCCGACCTCCTCGCCAGCACCTACGAAGTTGGCACAATCGTGACGGACCACTTCGAGGTGGTTGAGAAGACCGAAGACCGAATCGTGGTCCGCTGCGGAGACTCTCCCCGAAACCGCGACGTCCGCGCCTCCGACGGCTTGTTTGAGATCGCCGCCGTGATCAAGAAGGAGCAGAATGTGGCCGAGTTCAGCCTCAAGAGCTGTTTCTACCAAGGCACTGGAAAGGCAGAGGCTCCCCCCATGGACGAGAAGATTGCTTGGGCTCATCGCCAGTACACCAAGCTTCTGTTGGAGACCGCGGTTCTCAAGAAATGCATCAAATAAACCTTGTCGAAGGAAACACTGTCCGTCTCAAAAGAGCCATTTATTGTCGGGACACAAAATCCGGTCGCAGGTGCCACGGTGGGACATCCTATGTATATATTCCCCATCCTGGTCTATCGCTGAATAAAACTTCACGAACAAGGATCTGACTTCCAAGGTTGCCACCTGAGACTCTTTCCTCCACGAGGGTCTCTGCGGGCGCCGCATATCATATTTTCATCTCACTGTTTACTATGCTAGTGTACATGTGAGATCTTCGCCTCAGGGGTCTCCTTGAGAATGACTGACTTCAAAGCTCTAGTATCATAGCGAAAGCTTTAAACGACACAACTTTTACCATGCGAGGTCGCTCTTGGCCCACAGAAGACTTGCATATGCACATAAGGGTATCAATCTCTTTTCGCCTCCTCATCGAGATTAACTGCCACCGTTGGCTCTTTCTCTGTAGAATCAGTCTCGCTCGTCATTGTGATTGCTAGGACCGTTGGAATTGCAATACAGAGCGACCCCATACAGAGACCCCAGTCCATGGCGAATTGGGTCATTGCAGGTTTTCCCATTGCGTTGAGACGCCATGCCATTGCACCCCCCACGCTTTGGAAGGTCTTATACGCCCCCACGAGGACAGCGGCCACCGCAGGGGAATTGGACTGGGCTCCTATGAGCCAATAGCAGAACGACTGCCAAAACGCATCGTACGCGCCGTAGAAGATATAAAGGAACATGGGACCCACCGAGGTATGTCCATCGGTGTAATCAATGTCTTGCTTAAGACCTTGCTGCAGACGGGAATCAGACCATTTCTGAAACGCATAGCCGCCTCCCCAGATCCCCATTCCGGTCACAACCAAGAAAGCCCAAGCTATGCGAGCTCGCATGGGGCGGGTGAGCTGTGGAATGTCAAGAAGCATGCCCATCAACAAACTTCCCAGCATTTGCGCAATCCAGTACAGTGCACCATTGAGAGAGCGTGTGCGGATATTGAAATTCATCCCGTTCACAACGTTCTGCTGATATGAATAGAACACATTGGCGGAGAAGAAAAGTGGAAGCATGCACAGCACTCGCCAGTCAACAATCGTCTTGAGGGACTGACGAGCGACCTGTCGCCAATTTCTCTCGCTGTCTGTTTTCTTCTGTAGATGAGCACTTCGCACGTACGACGGTGGGCAGACCAAGATCCCCAGGGACCAGCCCACGGCCATGATGACGAGAAAAGCGGTATACGTTCCGTTCGAAACGGTGCCGGTTTTCGAGTCATAATTAATCCCAAAGCTGGCGAGAGATCCCACACCGCCGCCAAGGTTGAAGATGAACCAGAATACTGCTATCGCACGCCCCTTGTGCGACTCGGAAACATAGGTCGTCATGATCGCACCCTGGGCTACCCATAAGAACGAGGCGCCGACACCCAGAATGGCCCCGGAGGCGATAACAAAGGCCCCGTTATTCGTTGCTGTTTAGAGAATCATTGTCAGCTTTACTGTGCGGTTCTGCGGCTTGGGAAACTCACCGTTGAAGCACAAAAGACTGCCAGAGTACAAAGGGTACGTCCATCCTCCAAGCAGTAGGCAAACTCTAGGGCCAACACGGTCAAATATTGGGCCCACCACGAAAAGAGCTGTCGCAGCCGTCGCAGATAACAGAGCAACGTTGGCATTCGCGGTCACGGCTTGATCGACCTGGCCAGATCCTCCCATTCCTGTAAGCGCATTATACATCTGCCCAACGTCAGCCAGTCTGATTCTCCTTCCGACACATGCGCCTTCACTCCTTACCCCTGGACAGCAGAAACAAATGAAGCTGATCAGTAGGATCTGGAACCAACAGTGGGTCCATAATCTGTATACGGTTGAATGGGCAATTGACGAGCCAGGATTCTCATCCTGGGCATTTTGCTCATCGGCTCTCATCTCCGACATTTCCTATGTACGGGGATCTGGAAGAACAAAAAAACAATTTTTTCCCTCGACTTCACCTGCGGGTAAAAGCCTACCTCTTATGTGATCATCCCGCAAGGCCTCCCGAGGGGCCTGTCAGCGCAAACCCGGTCCCCGAGTGGTGTTGCACACGAACGTATTGGGTTGGGATGAGCATTGTGGTATCCAGAGTGGAGACACGTCGCGGGAGATTGAGACTCAAGATGCCGCTGTCTATAAAATTAGCCTCGCATTGGCCTCGCATTGGCCTGGCATTGGTCGCATATTGGCGGGGAACACGCTAACCCCCACACTCCACAATGTGTCTGTGGGAGAACAGCCCTCTCTGCAACTCTACCACGTAACCTACGTTACTATCTGAGCCGAGATCCGATATCCGACCTCTTTTCTCATTTCCGGCATTCGCTTCCCATGATGTGGGCTCTTTCATCCCCATTGCGCACTTTGTCTCAACTCGTCACAGTGTCAGCGATATTATAACCAATGGACCTTACCAACTTGGCAAATCTCCAAACGGAGGGTGTGAACCCTGAGACGGTGCACATCGACCAGGTTTCGACATTGGAGATGTGCACCCTGATCAACTCCAATGACCAACGGGTCCCCCACAGTGTGGTTCCTTGTCTGCCAGAGATTGCAGCAGCGATTGACGCCTTGGCCCCGCGTGTGTCTCAAAGCGGGCGAGTGATCTATGTGGGCGCGGGAACCAGTGGAAGGTACGGACTTTCTGGGCTGCATGTGAAATCAGATTGGCGCTGAACCAGCAATAACGGATAGACTTGGTATTTTGGACGCGTCGGAGATTCCTCCGACCTTCGCAGCGCCTCGCGGGCAATTCTTGGGCTTGATCGCAGGCGGCGATGCAGCAATCAAACAGGCCCAAGAGGGCGCCGAGGATGACGGGCTAGCAGGAGAAGAAGACATGCGTCGGTTGGATCTGAACCCCGAGCTCGACAGTATCATCGGGATCGCGAGCTCGGGCCGGACACCATACGTTTTAGGCTGCCTTGCATTTGCCAAAAAGCTTGGATGTATGACAATCGGTGTGGTTTGCACCAGTCCCTCGGCCATAGATCTTTCGGGGGACGCCGATTTCGTCATCGCGCCACTAGCTGGCCCCGAGGTGGTCACTGGAAGCACAAGACTGAAAGCCGGCACTGTCACGAAGCTCGTATTGAACATGCTGAGTACAGGCACTATGATCAAGGCAGGGAAGACATATGGAAACATGGTAGGGGTGGACCACTCTGTGTATCAAGCTAGGCTACAGGTGCTATAGCTAACATATGCTGCAGATGGTCGATATGGTAGCTTCGAATCTGAAACTCAAAAAGCGGTCCCATAACATGCTGCGAAGGGTGAGTGCGAAATGCAAGCCGTTATCAGATGGAGAATTGGACTCTCTTCTTGTGAAATGCAACCACAGTGTCAAGTTAGCAGTCTTGGTTGCTGAATCACAATACCCAGTCGATGTGTGCGAGAGACATCTTGAAGTTGCCAGCGGAGTCTTGGCCAAGGCATTAGCCGACATCAACCGCCTCAAGGAGAAAACTATCACCGAAACCAGCCAGTTGCGCCCATTTGTTTTATGTGTTGACGGAGGTGGCACCAAATGCGCCGCTGTTGTGACCGATGGCACAGGGGCCGTGTATCGAGGCTTTGCCGGACCCTGCAATCTGTATGAAAATGCTGCTTGGCCCAGAAGATTACCGTGATACTAACTGATCAGCAGAACCGATCGAGCGGGGGACGTTTCTGGCGTCATGGCCACAATACTTGAGGCAGTCAAATCTGCGCTCAAGGGCGTAAGCACTGATCATGGTAAAGCAGGCCCATGGCAGAAGTCTCTCCAGACCTGCTTTAGCTCTGTGTGGGTTGGACTAGCTGGCTTGGATCGAGCTGGATTTCAAGGGCAACTTGCACCGAAATTGGCGGATGCTTTCGGGATTGATAACCCAAGGAATCTTCGAGTGACCAACGATGTTGACCTGTTGACTGCAGCTGTGCCTCTGTCCCACCTTGGATCATCTGTGTTGGTCGTCATTGCGGGGACCGGGAGTGTTGCAATGCGATACAGGTGGGACGCAGATCAGAAAAAATACCAGCGTGTCGCTCGGTCTGGTGGCTGGGGACATATTCTCGGAGACGAGGGAGGTGGATACGCTATTGGCCTCAAGGCCATCCAACATACCCTTGGTGTATTTGAGAATGCAGCCTTTGCGCTTGTTAAACCCGACGGCGACAAACTAGCAATGGCCGTGTCCACCAAACTGGGCTTCAATCTCTGCTCTGGTGTTGGCATGGATTTGTTGAACGATCTCCTGACTCAGAGCTGTACACGAAACTTTAAAAGGCGTATCGCTGGTGTTGCTGAAGTTGTTCTCAATCTGACAAGCGAATGCAGAGTTGCAGCAGGGATTGTTAGATCCCAGAGTGGCAAGCTAATCAGTGACACTTTAAGTCGGTTGGTGAATCCAGACGCTTTCGAATATCAGGCATCGGAGCACTCGGTGTTAATACTAGCAGGAGGGCTATTGAACAATGATTGGTATCGAGCAGGATTCAAAGACCAACTCGATTCTCGCCAGTTGTTCTTTCGCGAGACGGTAGTGGTCAAAGATGCTGCCGCTGTTGGTGCAGAATATCTTAGTCGCTTGGCTTAACACAGCGCTTATTCTCTCACCTTTGCTTGAATTGGAAGATTTCCATTTTGCTGCTTGTCGGTAAATCCCCAAGAGTAAGAGAGCCGGGGTTGAATTGCCACCTTACTACTAGATTACCTGTCTATAGTTACCTGTCTATATGCATCTGTAGAGGAAACCTTGCAACTGATGTAGCTACGACGACTCCAACTCGGAAAATACACTTTGATTCAATACTCTTTCATATGGACATCGGTACTGCCTCGATCACTGACTCCATCCCGGGGCTTTGACTCCATATCCCGGTGATCTCTAAGCCAACACTTTCTAACAGCTGCTTCCATTGCTTTTTCGACCGTTCCATTCCCGCTCCGATACCCATCATCTGAATATCGATTGACGCTTGCATAAGGGGAGTTTCCATGTCCGAGAGCACAAAATCCACGATCAGAATGCGGGAATAATCCCGCGCCATTGCAGAGATGGTATTACGCAGAATCACTTGACAGATATGATCTGGCCAGTCGTGGAAAATGGCTCGAAAGTAGTATGCACGAGCTCCCTTGACCGGCTGAGGGTCCAGGAAGCTGTAAGCCATCACCTCGATGGCGTCCGCATCCTTCGAGACCCCCAAGGCACCCGAGACCACGTCTGGCAAGTCCTGCAGCACTAGCCGCCCGGGCAGATGACCGTATTCTCGGCGGAACTTAGCCAGATCATGTCCCTGATTCCCTCCGACATCGACCAAGAAGGTCGTATCCTTGAAAGGTACGCCATGGCCGAGCAAGCGCTCCACGGGATACACATCGAACCACATTGGCCTCCCATCCCGACGACTGGTCATGTAGGAGTTGAATAACCGCTGTTGTTCCGGGTGACTCGCCAACCACTCAAACTGGCTCTGTCCAACTGCCCACTGCATAGGCGACAGCGCGTAATCCTTGGGGTTGGAATATCCATGTGAGCGCATATACTCTGGGAGCTTGCTAAGGGTGGGTAGCGTCAAATCGAATCTGTTTTTCCTTCAGTGTGAGCGCTCGAGCTGAATTGACTGGGGAATCCTATTCTCACATGCACGCAAGGCCATCTCTTCCAATGGGCTGAGTGAACGCCACGGTCTTCTCATTTGCAGTGTACACCTCCGGGGCTGACATGCTGCACAACCCCAACGACACCATGACACGCATCAATCGAACTATACGAGTTAGCGGGCTCCACAGTCCGTGATCCCGGGCTTTCTCTCTGCAGGGAGTGATACCAATGAGTTCTCGTTCGGCACCTGTATACTCCGCCAGCTGAGTGGCGGAAAGATCTGTGTCCCTCACTAGCAAGCTAAAGATACCCAATTCAATCACAATCCGTACAGCGGCATTTTGCGGAGGCTACTCTCGTACATCCCGGTCAGAATGGAAACCTGGCTTCAATTTGTGGGACTTCCTACCTGGTAGATCAACCGCAACACAGTCTCTGTTGGTGATTCCACCGCAGATCGCAGCTGCTCGATCATGTGCAGTAGCTCATAGTGGACTTGGGGGGAAGGATTCGAGGCGTCTTTCAGTGCGACTTGACCGAGACGGTTTACTAAAGACCGCAGTGGCGTGTTGATCGTCATATTTGCCAAAACAACAATGGTTACTTGGAATTTACGAACAGGAACATACTCTTATATGTACGGGCGTGACATCCTTGTCTCGGCGCCAGATTCCAACGGATGCAATTCCAACCGAAAGCGGGCAATATACATCGCTCCGTTTGAATCCGTTTTAAGAGACGATCCCAGCTCCACAGGGTGTACCGGCTTGGCGTACGGTGTGTACATTCTGATTTGGACCGCTGTCTCCCCCACTTTACAAAGGCACTTGGGGAGTTTATTCGAGTTTCAAATTGACAGGGGGAAGAAGATCATTGGTTTGTGTCTTTTTTCCTTTCTTTTTCCCTGTCTCTCTTTCACTAAAATAGCCGCCCCTGGAAAAGGATCAACACGGAAACAGAATGGACATGGTGAGGTGAGAGAGAATGTTTGTCTATAAAGATAGACCATCACGACCAAGTAGTGCCGACTAGTGACCTGTCAGACTCTAACATATGCAATGCATTCCCTCCCAAGTCCCCCTATTTCCGACGCAGACTCACGATGGAAGCCCGCCATCGCGACAGTGAGTCTGGGAGCGGCACATCTTCATCCCATTGAAGCCAAATTGGATGCCGCTGTACAGAATGGCCAACAGGGGCTGGAACTCTTTCACGATGATCTCGCACAGCTGGCCCAGACCCTACGGTCGCAAGCAAGTGACAGTTTGTCCCGTACCGACCGAGACTACGAGATCGACGCGGCGCACGTCCTCCGCGATCTATGTGCGGACCGTGATCTGCAAGTCTTGGCTCTTCAACCCTTTCGACAGTATGAAGGACTTCGAGACCGAGCCCGACATACAGAACGGATCGACGAACTCAAGCACTGGGTGCAGTTGTGCACCATCATGGGGGATTCGCTTTTTATCCTTATTCCATCCTCCTTCTTAGACCCCGAGGAAATCACTGGCGACCGTGACCAGCTCGCTGCTGACTTGGCCGAGGCGGCCGATGTGGCCTTTCCAGTGCGAATTGCCTATGAGGCACTGGCGTGGGGGACCTACATCAATACTTGGGAGGACTGCTGGGATGTGATCCAGCGAGCCAACCGCCCCAACCTGGGAATTTGCTTGGACACCTTTAACATTGCGGCCCGCCTTTGGGCCGATCCCACGAACCCCATGGGTCGTCTATCCGCGCGTGCCGACCAAGATCTCCAGGAATCCATGACCCGACTAGTTCGGGAGATCGATCCAGACCGGGTCTTGATGGTTCAGCTCGCCGATGGAGAGCGGGTGGACCCGCAGACTCCCTTCCTTCATACGCCCGGGTTGTCCACGCTTCTGGCTTGGTCGCGGAATGCGCGTCTGTTTCCGTACGAGGAGGAACGGGGTGGATATCTTCCCATTCGTGAAGTCACCGAGGCTTGTATCCCGCGTCTTGGCTATACAGGGTGGGTCAGTATGGAAGTCTTCTCGCGCACCCTCGGGGACGACAGCCCCACTGTCCCCAGTGAGCACGCATCGAGAGCAGCTCGATCCTGGCAGCGGGTCCTCAAATTGCTGACTGAGACACCAAATAAATCCAGCAATTTCTCTACGAGTACTCGTCTGGAATGAAAGCCGGATTTTCGCTCTACTTGTTTTGAGCCGGAGGTATCTTACAGACATTCGGGTAATAAATTGAACCTTCTATCTTTCCAAAAAAAAAACCCCTACTTAAGTATAGAAACGTGGTCCTTGAGGGCTTTAGGACTGGTAAATGTTCTTTCTTGAGGATATTTACTCCGTGGCCGGCACCGCACCATCCCAAGTCGGGATGTACAGGCGTCAAGTCCGCGCGATCGATTGCGGTTGCACTAGTGTAATTGAGAAACCATCGAAGTACATTTTGGATTCCAGGAATGTTGGATCAGCACTACCCAAATACCCCAAATCTAAAGACATTCTAGAACCTGACCTACATACTGTACTGGTAGATCTTGCCCCACTTTGCTGGATGAAATGGAGACTTGAGTACGAGTTCCAGGTGGCCGGTGTCGTATATGGGCTACTCCTCCATTGAACATTAGTCCCAGTGAAACATCAAGATGACAAGACGAAAAAGTACAGATCGGAATGTCCTGTTCCGATCGAGCGGTCCACATTCTTCACGTCGGGTTCCAAGGGGGGGTTCTGCAGGACCGTTTTCAATGACTGAGGATCTCTCTACGTGCAAATATCCATATGTTCCCTGATGAATCGGATTCCTCTAAGCATTCCGGATCCACGGATGCTTCCCCGGCCCGCTCCCGTTCGAACCTTTGGAACCGGAAGTCTGCAGAGCCCCCTTGGTCGTCCAAGAAATGGGTACTTGAGTGCATACTCCGTACTTTGTATACTGACAGGATTGTGGAATACTGATTGTTCTCTGTTCTTTTGTCGGATTCCTGGACTCCATGTCTCACAGTATAATATACGGGGAACAAAGTACAACCTACGTACGAGTACTCGTCGAAGGCCCCCTTGCCCTGCTATTCAGTCATTCAGGGGCAAAGTCTAGGTCCACGCCCTTGTCATTTGGACACGATCTCCTCGTAATATTTATTACACTGGGCCAACGGCGCAGTTTCTGGCCGAATCAGGTATCGGGGTGTATTGAACATTGTACGCTGTGTAGCCTGCCGAGATGTCACCCAGACTGACAAAAGTTGAACCCGGTAGATGCTGACTGCCGTCAGTCACACAGTAATAAATCGGAACATCGGGCCTCGAGAGGTCTGAGATGACCCAAGCTTGCGGGTGGGAGAACGACTGGGGACATCTACCAAATTGCTGGAAACGGCATGCGACCAAGTCACCTATTGGCAGGGTTATTTCCGCGCTAGACGTCCCCAACGGGATTGGAATCTGAACCATCGGACGTGTCTCGGGCATCCCTGCAGTGCAACTTTTTCCGTTAGCTGCGATCAAAATTCAACGGAAGATGTGAATGACTGCATGTCGATCACGCTTGGTGTCAACATTTGATGTTGCTTGAATTTCGCTATTAATTATTCCCTCGACCGATGGAGATAGTTGTGGTGAACAGTAAGATCTCGGCTACAAGCGCCACTGTTGGCTTTCAGCTGAGGAAATTGGACTTTTCAGCTCTGATGTTTGCCACAGACGTATCACTTGCTGGGAATTAATATCGGATTATATAGTACATGGGGGTATTTGCAGATAACAAATGATGACCTGTCTCGACGGTTGCTACGGGTAGTTAGGGCGTTGGTGGAATAACCACGCTCGGAGCTCCCACACATACACACACTCTCTCTCTCTTGGTTTGCAGCTGAATCAATGTTTTGCGATACGTGTATCATTCTCCAGATGCGGAAAGACGCTATTTCCCTCCGAATGCAGTCAGTTGAGCCAAATATGAGTATTACTCAACCGGCTTGGCAGAGAGATTCCTTTAAATAAGACTGAGTGTCTGAACTTGTGAGAAGCACAAAGCTGCAGTGCCACCAGTACCACATTTTCCTTGTATGAACCCCTCAGGCTCATACTCACAATGGGCATCCATCGCGATGCTCGGGCCGCCCAAGCTGGCTCCTCCGCACTCAATCCATTGGTTCAAGAATTTGGGAATCTTCAAGTCCTGGATGATCTGATTCGCCTGCGGGCTGCCGATACTATTCAACATTCAATTCTTGCATATCCTCATTCAGAAACGGATCCTGCTTCGTATGACTACTATAGTGGTCAAGATCTGGATGTCCTGGTCGACCAGGCTGTCACGGTTCTCATGGAGGATGGGTTCAAGCAGGTGAGGGCGTTCCCTAGCACTGGTCCATACGGGGTCCACTGACAAGAGACCTGCATAGATCAAGCAGGAGGAATCAACCGTGGCACTCCTCACATTGTCGGATTTCGATATGGTGATCACGTTCTTTGCCCTAACTCGGCTTGGTTACACCGTCATGATGCTTTCTCCAAGGCTCTCGGGGGAAGCTTGCGTTTCATTACTGGAAACAGTTGATTGTTTGACAATTATCTATGGCAACTCAGTTGGGATTCGCTCAACTTTGGGTGACATCCTGCGCCGAAGGCTAGTGAGTTGTCGTCCGATTGTCAACTGTGAGCGAATCAGAAAGACAGAATCTCCTGCTTTGGTTCTTCATCAAAATAGAAACCCAGAAAGGATCGCTCTCATTCTTCATTCTTCTGGATCAACAGGGACTCCCAAGCCACTTTTCCTTACGCACCGGGCGATCATGACTCACCCTCTCAGAGGCCCTGGACTCACTTCGTTCAATCCTCTGCCATGGTATCACCTCCATGGTCTATCTACTGCCTTGCAGGCGATGTGGATGAGAAAGACTGCATACATGTGGAACGCTGCACTGCCGTTGACCGTTGACTTTGCAATCGCTGCTCTGGAGGAGACACGACCGGAGTCCTTAGCGGCAGTTCCGTACATGCTCCAGATTCTGATCGATGATCCTCGTGGCATAAAAGCGTTGCGAAAATGTCGACTGGTCACTTATGGAGGTGCACCCTGTCCTGATGAACTGGGGGACCACCTGGTCAGTAAAGGGGTCCGTTTTGGAGGTGCATTTGGCCTGTAAGTACGTCATGACACTGATTATATGCAGTGTGCTAACTTCAGATATAGCACAGAGGCTGGGCTCGTTGCTGAATCCATATCTCGCCCCGAAGGTGATCTCTACTGGAACTATCTACGCTTCTTTGACAATATCCGCCCATATGTCTGGATGAAGCCAGTTTCAAAGATTGAGCCGCTTTACGAATGTGTTTATCTTGCTGGGCATCCAGCACTCACAACGTCAAACTCCAATGACCCGCCCGGATCCTTTCATTCAAAAGATGTCTTTACGCCTCATCCCACAATCGCAGGCCGTTGGAAGTATGTGTCAAGACTGGACGATCGCATTAATTTAGCAAATGGCGAAAAGGTCTTACCACTTCCTATCGAAGGTTGTATCAAACAGCACCGTCTTATTCACGATGCAGTCTTAGTTGGGGTGGGAAAGGCTGCCCCTGGTCTCTTGGTTGTGAAAGCCGACTCACCTGAAGCACGAACTTTGTCGGAGAGTGAATACATAAGCTCGATCTGGCCAATAGTTCAGGAGGCGAATTTACGCGCAGAAGCCTTCTCTCGAGTTTCTCGTGACTTGATTGCCATTCTACCTTACGAGGCAAAGTTTCCAAGAACTGACAAAGGCTCAATGATTCGAGCTCAGGTTTATGACCTATATCGCGATCTCGTCGAAAGCCTCTATTCTAAGGATAGCACAGTGATTGAAGGTCTTGAGCTGACGGTGGATGAGACGGAAGCTGTTCTTTCTCAGATGGCGCGTGATGACCTTGGAATACCAATATCAACTGTTGATGCCAAATTCTTTTCAGAAGGCATTGATAGTCTCAAGGCCATTCATTTCCGACGTCTAATCCTTCAACGCTTCCACTTTGATCAGAACAACGTACCCGGCTCAAATATCATATTTGATGCAGGAAACATATCGGTATTGGCGAGAAGTATTTGCGGATTACAAAGAGGGCTCAGTCTAACAGCAAGTGAGGATGGGGGATCAAGCATCCTCAATCTGGTTGAGAAGTACTCCGTGTTCCAGAGACATGTTCCCCGACCAACTGCCGTCGGCACCAAGAGTGTGGTGAGTTCTAAAGTTGCACGCATATCACAGGGTTCTACATTGAACCCATGAAAGAGTCTAAAGCTAACGTCTTCTAGCTGTTAACAGGAGCGACTGGCTCTCTTGGAGCGCACGTGCTGTTTGAGCTACTGAATGATGATTCTATATCTGCTGTCTACTGTCTTACGCGAAGAGAAACCCCCTTGGAGGATATCATTGACAGTCTCACCAACAAAGATCTCAGTGTGTCACCTCAACAACTGACCAAGATTGTTGCTCTTAAAAGCTGCTTGGACCAGCCCGGCTTTGGTCTGGTAGTGGATGGCTTGGTCTTTCAACAGATGCTTGAATCAGTCTCCCTGATAATACACACTGCCTGGCCTGTGAACTTCAACCTTCCGTTATCGGAGTTTGAGTCTCATGTCCAGGGATTATACAATCTCACACAATTCTCTCTGTCGGTGCAACGACAGAAGCCCGCGGTGATGCTATTCTGCTCATCAATCTCAACTGCCCTCGGCTCCCGGCTTGTCGAGGTTCCTGAAGAGCCGGTCGGCCTGGAAAGTGCTCTGACGGGGTATGGTCAGTCAAAACTGGCTGGAGAGCGTGTCGTGAGCCAGGCGAGACACTTTGGAGCAAGAGCATATTCCCTTCGAATCGGACAGGTCTCTGGTCACTCCAAGAAAGGTCTGTGGAATGATTCGGAAGCAATTCCTCTAATGATCAGATCAGCCCTGGCCATGGGCTCACTGCCTGAATTGCCTGGGACATGCTCTTGGCTTCCTGTGGACAAAGCTGCCGCAACGATACTGGAGCTGGCCAAATCATGCGCTGTGTCGGGTGGAATTGGATACATTGCAACTGCGAGCTCTTCAACAACACCCTATGTTGATGAATCCATCTTCAACCTATGCAACCCGAACGAATTCAGTTGGGGTTCATTGCTCGGCACATTGAGAGATGCGGGATTCCGCTTTGAGACTCTCCCCTTCCATTACTGGTTAAATAGACTGCGTGAGAGCGAGGCAAGGGGCGAGGAGCTTATCAACCCAGCTGTCAAGCTCATTCAACATTACGAGAGTGTATATGGCAGTGATGGGGTTGCCGTGCGGAATGGACCGAAGAGATTTGTGACAACAAAAGCTGAAAGGTGCAGTATCACATTGCAGAATGGGCGACTAAGAATACTTGAGGACGGAATCTTGAGATGTTACGCCGAGGACTGGTTGACGAGGTGGACAAGGCGAACGACCACCTGACAGATTCATGCTCGAGTGGTGTTTTCGTTTACTTTTCCCCTTAGTTAGAAGCCCTGGAGGAAAACATGTAAATATTTAAACTGTTAAAAGAACTGTGTATTAAGTATTTAGAAATCTTTTTTCAAGAGTTTGCGGTGAAGATCACACCCTGGAAGACAAAGAAAAGACGCGAATCAAAGGCTATCGGCGGCCCTTCATGAAGCCTGCTATACAAGAATTGAACAAGACGATTGCCACCCAGGAAGTTCTGCCAGGTTCAAACAAGATTCTACCTGGCTTAGACAAGAACGGCAACGACCATGGCGCACGCGACAGCTGGAAGCTGCGCGAGCACACGGTCGGCGGCGCCTGTGAAGACGGGGCTAACTCCAGACTCGGAGCCGCTAGGAACGAAGACCCCGGATGTGGTGGAGCCACTTGCCGGGGAAGCATCAGTAGGCGCGGGAATCAAAGCGCGGGAGGGATCGTATGGAACAGATGATACGACCGCGGATGGAAGGGCAGAGGGCTGCATCCAAGAAGAGCCAAAGCTCTCCGCAGAAGGGACGACGGACGCGGAGGGCTTCACCCATGAAGAGCCAAAGCTCTCCGGGGTGAGGAGAGGTCCGGCTGGAGACCCAGCTGAAGTGGGCTCAACAGCAGCCGGTGAAGGCACACTGGGGCTTGCGACGGGCGCGGCGGTAGATTCTGCGGGGGAGGTGTAAGATGGGGCGGCAGGGACTGTGGTGGGAGCTTGCTGCGAGATTGGGACCGTAGCACTCTGGTCATCAGCGGGTGGCGCATATCCATGGCTGGAATGAGGGCGAACAGCGGTGGCCTGCACGACGGCAGCAGAAGACTTCTCTGCCTCGGGGCAGATGGTTTCAGTTGCAGTGACATGAGCAGTGACGGTGCGGGTCTTCTTCGGGACAGCCTCCGCCTCCTGAGTTGCATGGCTCTCTTCCGTCGAGGCGGGTGCGGGAGCAGGCGAAGGGTTCAACTCTTGGATGGTTCCGACAGAGGCGTTGTCAGATGGAGATGTGGTAGACTCCACAGCCGGGGCAGTTTCAGTTGAGTGGGTTGCGACTGCGGGCTCGGACTTGACTTCGGTGGCTTTCTCAGTTGGCTTGGTTTGGACTGCCTGTGTCTTGGACACAATGGTGGTAGGAGCTTGGATAGACTGAGACTCGGATGAAACCGAGGCAATTCCTTTCACGCCAGTTTGGTAAACTTTGACCGAGTTGATCTCCCAGTAAGTTTCCTTGAACTCGCTTGGGTTGTGAGCAACATAATTGTGACAGCTCTTGAAGGAGTCTGCATCGGTTGCCGGACATCCTGAGTCGCCAAACACACCTCCAGCCCAGTCGCCACAGAAAGTGGTGTCGAAGATGAAGGACTGTGACTTGAAGGCATTTGCAACATCGCACGATTCTTCCACCAATGCCATGGGAGTACCAAACTGGGTCACATCCGGTTTCCCGCTCTTGATCGATGCCGGGATCGAGTTGCGGGGGAAATGCCAGATCTTCAGGTACTCCGCGGTCCACTCCAACGCATAAACACCACCTCCTTGGCCGTTGAATGATGTACCATAGCTGCCCTTGTGGCCCTCAATAACACAGCCAACAGTGCCGAGGTCCTCACCGCAGCCCGTTGCGTTCACGGTTCCGGTCATGTCCGTATCAGTCAGACTGCAAGTGCCAGCTGTATGCATAACAATCTCATTGTGGTCCTGCAAGTTCACACCTTCAATGATGTCAATCTCGCCATCTCCGGGCCACTCCTTGCCCACGGACCAAAAGGCGGGCCATGTACCGCAGACGCTACCGGGCATGTGTGCGATGTCGGCAATGATCAGCGACTGATCGTAGTATTTCTTGCTGCCAATGCGAACCGAATCACGTCCCTTTCCATTGGGATTCAGCTTAGTCGTGTGGTCGACACCCAGATATACACTGCCAGAATCCGTCACCTTGACCAGCCCAGCGCTCTCCGCTGTTTCCTTGTCGAGATAGTTGACGTAGCCGTTTGTCGGGTCGGTACCGACGTGGAAGTTGAAAAAGTCCAGGAAATTCTTTCCCTGCCAGTTCTCCACAAGGGAGTAGCTGCCAGCCGCCACTGGGGAGGCCAACAAAGCGAGCATAAGCGATCCAGCGCTCAATGATCGTGTGGAGGAGATCATGTTGGATATAGGCGGCAAGAAGGCTCCAGCGCAAAGTATCGTGTAGAAGTCGAAGAAATAATCAAAATAAAAAAACGAGAGTAAATTGGATAAACAGAACAATAAGCTAAAAGAAAGGCAGACAATCTCAGATCGTCAATAGGGAGAAAGGAATGTGAGCGTGTCGAACGTGTGGGAGTAACAGTGGGAGGTATTTGGGTCAAATATCTTTCACATAGCCAGACAAGCCCATACTTTTGCTCTCAATGGAGCAATGGGTCCTGGGGATCCATTGATTTGTCCAGTGAGAGATTCTCAATGGCCACCCCCTTTGACGATGATATGGCACCCATGGCTGTAATAGGCCACAATGGCGGTCCGCGAGGTCCTGTGGCGCTCTAGGCCTGCATCAATCCACAGGTGAAGATCCATCCTTCAGGACAAAGGGCCGAGCAACCCCAAGATAGATTGGTTGTTATCCCGGCGGTTAGGGGTAGTGTCAACCTGAAACGGGCATCTCCGCTTTGGGAACGCCCAAACAAACGGTGAAACAGGGGAAATCCTGTCCTTGTGTTAGTAGCTTCGCTGCAAATTCAGATCATAGTGATGGAAATTTTGTGTTGGCATCACGCATTCTCAATTATTCTAATGTTCAAAGGGTGCAACATTTGAGGCGCCAGGTTGATTATTTACGCGTGATTTGCCGCCTTCCACCGCTTCACGCCAAACACCCGTGGACGTGTTAGTGCAACAGTTAGTGCCACAACGGTTAGTGCCGTATTTGTGTTGCATTGCTGCGGACATTCCAGCCTAAATAAGGGAATGCCGGTGCCACCATACATGTTGATTGGCTATTTCAATTTCCCTTTCCACACTGTGGGTTTTACAATCTATATACTGAGATGGGACAACTTGATTATACTCGTCCCAGTGTCTCTACAGGTAGAGCTACTGAGATACGAGTAGATGTTGACCTGTGAGAATTAAACTCCACGAGCAGAACAGGTGGTCCTATCCCTTAGATCCTCCGGAGTCATTGTTCGGCTTTTGTTAAAATCATTCCCCACTGTTTTGACCAACCCGCTAGAATTTCCTGGGGGCCTAAGGAGTGGGATATATATCATACACTCCAGCTCCCAACCTCGGAAGGTTAACTTTAGAATCACGTAACACATCTCCAGGGCCAATTGCCGTAAGTAGGATTTTCCAAGGTTTCCAAGTTGCAAATTACTTAGATATCCATTGGTCTTGCCAGTTTGATTGTATGGATCATGTGTGGTCTATCTACTCTGTAACAACTCGCAATGAATTGGTCCGACCACCTGGGCAGCTTCTAAAGTTTGGACTCCAGCTCTAGAGGAGGTGAAATGCTCTCCAGGGCTGTTGCTGTACTTCTAAGTTAACTTTAGAAGTACTATGTGAGGACAAGGATCCAATGCAATTGAATCCTTCAATTGTTACTCCGATGAAGTAATGGATTTTACTGGATTTTTGGGAAAAGGAAGTGTGTCACCTGACTGTCGTATTCGTATCTTTACCCCTCGGAAGTGGCGATCTTCGACTGTTCCTTTTCATATTCGCCAACAGCTCTACGAGTACTCGTAGAGCCAAAGGTACTGACATCAGCTGTCTTCCAAGGCTTGTCCGTGATATCTATCTATAGACGCAGGCATTGGGGCAGAATAATTGACGCCATGGTGACGCGACGCTCTCACAACAAGTCCCGACACGGTATGTTTGACTCCTTACCGCTGCTGGATTTCGACCTAAAAGCGCAAATTAGGATGCTCGAGCTGCAAGCAAAGGAGAGTAAAGGTTTGCGACATCCATTGTGTACCTTAGAATATATCCTCTGACCGTCCTTCAGTGTGATGAGCAACGGCCCACTTGTGGTCACTGCACCCAAAGACAAACAGAATGTGTGTACACCGCCGCAGGCCCGTACTTCTTTGCTGGCAAGCAATCTCGAAGAGCCAGAGCAGCAGATTTATCCTGTACTTCAAATCATAGCCCCCAGTGGGAGGCATCTCTGAACCATCTGCAACCAGCAGAGGAACCGACAAACTCGGCTTCCCTGGATATGGAACAGCTGGAGCTGGTATTCCAGTGGATTCAACACACCCACAAAAGTTTAGCCAGAAATGAAGAGACTCGAAAGGTTTGGGAAAGAGTGGTTCTAGAGGAAGGTCTCAAAGCCCCGTTTCTAATGCATGGGATCCTAGCTCTTTCTGCGCTGCATCTATCATGCACCCGAGAGAATGAACAGAGCAGATGGCTGGGTGTTGCGATATCCCACAAGAACGTCGCTTTATCCCTATTCTCCGAACAGCTTTCCAACATTAACCAGTCCAATGCCAAAGCGATGATGGGCTTTGCTGGACTTGTCGTGATGTTCGGCTTAGGAAGCGCACTCACCCCCGGAACGGAAACCGGCCCTAGTCTCGGTGCATTGATCGAGATATTCACGCTTTCGCGCGGAGTGCAGACTGTCGTCAATGAGGAATTCCGATTTTTGCTTGAAAGCAATTTTGCACCGCTTTTTCAAGCAACGCCGCCCGATGTATCAACCCCAGACCATGTCGTGGATGCATTTGATCATCTGATTGAGTTGAACAATCGGCTGGACCAAGATTTAGACCATCATGATTCCAAATGCTATGAGCAGTCGATCAACCTACTGCGAAATCTGGCTGCGTTCACTTTAGCGGAGCCTACAACAATGACACTTGTCGGTGGGTGGGCCATCCGAGTATCGCCAGAGTTCTTGGATGCCCTGAGCTGCCGTGACCCGTTTGCGCTCGTGATACTGGCTCACTTTTGTGGGTTTTTGAACATGGCTCATGAAAATTGGTGTATAGGGCCCTGGGGCTCCCTGGTTCTGGATGAGATTTGCCAATTGCTGCCACAAGATTGGAAGCACCAAGTACAATGGCCAGTTGAGCAGACCCTGAGGATACGAACTGCCCAATTGAACGACCCAACTACGGAGACATGACACCGTACATCTTGGAGTTGGCCTCAAACCCAACTACTAGCCAATTCCATGTACTCCGAGGCCAGGCCGATATCAAAGCAGGATCAAAACGTCACTCATCATTCAAAGATGTCCATTGGTCGCCAAACAAATATTACCAGGGCACCAGGGTTCATTTCTAGGATCCATGAAAAGCCCTGTCAGTTGATACATTCTTGTTCATGCTAAATTTTGAAATATCACGGGCGGCTCAACTCTGGCTAACAGCTGAACAGCATCCAGTAATGTCTCGGCTTACTGCTATGTTGCATCATAATTTAGTCGGAGGTCAACTTCACTTCGCGGAGACCTGGTGTACGATCAGCTCGATCCCTGTGGCAAGTTATACGCCTCGTCTCTTACTTGAGCAGGATAGAGATTCAACAGGAATCGCCTCGGTCGCCGCCATTGGGTAGTAAGACGAGCCTCTTAGGGACCCATGGCGTGGGCCACGTACAGAGGGTTCGGAACGGCACACATGGTCAACGCAATGAATTCACGCGACAGAAGGTAAGGAGGTGAGATGAAGATGGAATAAAGAGACCGAGCTACCATAGCAGCAATCGCGGCCTCAACCTCAACCCTGTGAAATAGCGAAAGCCTATGACAGGACAGGCGAGAAGTGGGGATCGAGAATAATGCCCTATTTTTGTGTTGTCCTCAAGTAAAGAGATCGTATCTCGTACTTCGCTCTATTATAGGAAAAGCGTTGAGCCTTCATCAGCTATCTGGCCGTGCGTTTCTCTGCTAGCGTCTCGTACTCGTACCCGTAATGGTTTACCGGACCCATTCGAACTCCATCAACAACTTCTAGTGTAATCTACACAGAAAAAATGAGGCTAGGGCTATTTTGATCACTCGAAATCCGCTCTACCACTATGGATCTATCACCAACAAAGCCTAGTCACACATCAGAGACCCCTAGATCATCACTGCATACTCCGTCTGACTGGCGCGTTCTTCAAGGCAGAATGAATATTGACACAGTGGATCCTTTTATTTATAAAATTGACCCATGAGGATAAACGGGGTGGAAAAGAATACAAAATAAATAGTAGACCGGCTTTCGTTGGTATCTATTTCATGTTCTAGTCTTTCCATTCCTTTTACTAACCTTCCATCAACGCAAACCCCGATACCCTCTGGAATACTGCCTTAGTTTCTTAAACCAGTGTTGAAGATGGAGGGATTCAAGCTGTATCATTACAATCCCTCTGCTGGGGCTGCAATTGCCTTCACAGCCCTGTTTGGCCTCACAACCATCGTGCATATCTGGCAGCTGGGTCGAAACCGAGCATGGTACTTTATCCCGTTTTTCATCGGTTGCCTCTGTGTGTATATTTGATCGAGATATTTCATATCCCCGTACTAATTGAAAAATTCTCACTAGTTGAGACACTCGGTTATCTGGCGAGATACATCAGTGCAAAGGAAACCCCGGACTGGACAACAAAACCGTACATCGCACAGAGTCTCATGTTGCTTTTGGCTCCCGCCTTCTTTGCAGCTTCCATATATATGATCCTTGGTCGTATCATTCGTCTATTGAACGGGGCTTCGTGCTCGCTGGTTAGGCCATCATGGTTAACCAAGATATTCGTCACGGGTGACGTGCTTTCATTCTTCATCCAAAGTGGAGGTAAGACGGTGCTTTTACCCCCGCAAAAATTGTTGAGGTCAGTGTGAATCAAATTCTAATCTCTGTCACGATTCTTCAGGAGGTGGCCTACTCGCTACTGCGAAAACAAAATCGAAGATTGACCTGGGAAACAACATGATCGTCGTTGGACTTTTCGTGCAGATTGTCTTTTTCGGGTTCTTCATTGTGGTGTCTCTGGTTTTCCATCGCCGCATGCTCAAGACGCCCCTCCATGCCGTGGGCGATACCGGGCTTCCTTGGGCTCGCTACATGAAACTTCTCTACGTTGCTAGCGCTCTGGTCATGGTCCGGTCGATATACAGAGTGGCAGAATATGTCCAAGGAAGTAATGGATATCTACAGAGTGAAGAATCATTTGTCTACATCTTTGATGCGACATTGATGCTCATCTGTTGCCTGCTTTTCAATATCTTCCATCCCAGCGGCATTCTTTCTGGCTACCACAAAGCCCAAGCAGACCCAGATCTTGAAATGCTTAATAACAGCGGGTACAAATGATACAGCAATATTGCCATGCTTCAATGTCTTGGTGGCGTAATGGGTGCTCGTGCCAGAAAGGGGAATCTGCAATTGAAGAGGATTGGAAATATCAGTCGCAATCTCTGCGCAAGGCCATGGTGGAATAGAAGCAAAGAACAGATGAACAAGAAGACATTTTGACAACAATACACAAATGAATAAAAAATGAAATGTTCTTGGACCACATTTATTCCATTGGATCTCCCTTATCCTCTGGCCATTTTTTAAACAAGTCCTGAAGATGATCGAGGGGGGCAGTAAGCAAGCCAGCGGCGGTCTCGTACGGGGGTTGTCGGATTTCTGGATGCGACCGAGAAGGCACAAATATTTTGGTGCTTCTCAGAGACTCGGCGAGTTGCTCACTATCTTCCAGAGCTAGGTAACTTTCCAGGTTGACGAGCTCAACTGTTTCCTCGCGCATGTGTTGGGTTAAACCGTCCATCAGAACCGTGATAGTGGGCAGAAACCTTGCATCCGAGCAATTCAGGTCTTGAAAAACATCTAGCATTTCTTTGATCTGTATCAAGTCAACTCCAGTCTCTCTGTCTTGCGGGAATGGGACTCACTGTGGAATGTTCACGACGACCTCTGTCGGTGGTTTCTTTACCATCTGGTAACACCTTTTCAATTGCTGGATGAACAACCAATTCCTCTGCCACAGCGTGTTGGGCCAGCTCCCAAGTGAATTGATTCTGGAATCGGGTTTGCTCGTCTGCGTCTTCCGAGTTGACGATGGTTCTGTACAAGCTCTCTAGCTCGCGGTGGTCCTCCGTGATTGCCTCACTGATTCGCACCATGTTGTATACGACTTTTGCGGTCTTCCATGTATTCGCGGATGAGTTATGCCCTCTTATGAAGCCATCGTGACGTCTCACGGCTGCTTGATGATGCGATTGACAGCGTTCACGGAATAGGCTTCCGGCATCTCAATTTCCCCTAACAACATTCCTTTACAAATATCATAATTTAATGTATGTTGATGTTTATTGCGTATTGACTATTGGATTTTAAAGCGATAAATCGATGGACCTCACTATTGACACAAAAATCAATCCCTTCTTCCTTCACTTTTCTCGTTATTTCTCTGTTAATTTCTGCGTTCCATAAAGGAGAATTTTATGGTCATGATCTCTATATATCCACCTTAATGCGAAATTATTGTGTATGAGCGAGTGAAGCGACAAGGGCCTAGTGTAGTAAAATTGATAAAGGGGGTTCGGCCGCTGTCTACTGCCGTAGCATAGCATGTCAGACCGCGTTGAGAATCACTTGTCCCGACGCTGACTTCCGAACTCTAGAGGTTGTGGCTAGCTATAGTAGCTATCAGACCATATTTGTTTCTGAAAGGCCCATTCTACAACTCTGGAGTGACTTGGGGTTGGATTCAACGTGAAAACATCGTCCCCTCAGCGCAGAGTTGCAAATCTACTCCACGTTCGCATCAACGCCGACCCGAAAGAACGTGCAGTTTTCACTTCCCTGGAAGGCTCACACTAATAAACCCAGGAATTATTCGAGCCTCCGAAGATTTTCCCTAAAGAGCCAACCGACTCGGCGTACCGCCGAGGTCTCTTGCGTTGTTTCGGATCACTGTGACCCGATGCCCGCTCCACCGAAGTATACATGAGAAGTCCGACATCTGCGGGGGATTGACCTGAGTGCATACTTAAGTGGCATACCTGAGTACTTCAGTCTTCAGTTCGAATCTGCGCCAACATGATCTGCTGACTGTCCTCACTTGAGATTGAGCCGTCTGCTTCCATCTCGACGTTAGATTCTTTCTCATCTTTCACATCTTCCTACAGGCACCCCAGTGGGTGATCTTCCCAATTGACAGTCCGCAATCGTTATCCTGGCTAAGGAAAAAAAAAATGGATATGGAGGTCGAGCACAGAAGACTGGCGGATTTGATCCACACTCAAGCCGAAGCTCATTCGCAATCGCGGTTCTTGGTTGCCATCGCCGGCATCCCAGGCTCGGGGAAGACCACAACGGCCGAGGCAATAGTCAACCACCTGAACCAGTCAACTACTTCTCGTGCTGCAATTCTGTCTATGGATGGGTTTCATCTTTCCCGCGCTGCTCTGGACGAGTTTCCTGACCCGGCAAGTGCCCACGCTCGCCGCGGCGCACCATGGACCTTCGACGTGAGCCGTTTTGTTGCCTTCATCCGTCAGCTCCGCACTTGGGCAGATGAGATGCCCTTGGCCATCCCATATTCCGAGACGTGGTCATCTGCTGACATGCTCCACGCGCCCTCCTTCGACCACCAGTCGAAAGATCCCGTGGAGAACGGACTCACCATCACGCCGGATGCTTCAATCATTATAATCGAAGGCAACTATCTGCTACTTGATGATCCTGGCTGGCGAGAGCTTGCTGGGTTGGTGGACTACCGTGTGTTCGTTGACACCGACCCACAAGAAGCAAGGGGCCGCCTAGCTGCGCGACATCTACGAGCTGGCATTGAGAAGACACTGGAGGATGGATACCGGCGAGTAGATAGCAATGACTACCTGAACGGCATATCTATTCGAGAGAGATTGTTGACGCCGGACATTGTTGTGAATAATGGGATAGTAGTCGAGATTTGATGTCTCGTCTTGCGTCCATAGGTCTCTGCATCAAAGCACCTTGGAATCCCGGGGTGCCCCTGGTTAAAAACGAGTCAAGGGGTGCAAACGCTTGCAAATGGGATGTTAACCTTATGGCAGTATACAGTGGCCTAACCTCATAGATCAATTTCACTATACCTAGACCTTTGTTGCTTTGCGCGCCATCCATACACAATAAACCTGGGCTCAGAGGTGGTTCTAGAAATCTTGATCATAGACCTCGAGGATTTTCCGATGTGGAAGACAGTATTAAAGAGAGTGTTCAGGAATGTTACTTGGACACCCTTTGAAGTCTTCGGGGAACTGAATGCTTTACAATTTGGGGAAAGATGAAGAAAGGAAGTATTTGAGAACAGAAATTATGAATTATATACCAGAAAATAATTATACAACAAAAAAACTCCTGTGCACCACACATTTTCATCATTAGGTACTATGACCACAGGCTCACAAACTCAGGCAGTGATAGTCAGTCTCTTAACATTCTCCCACACATTTCCGGACCGTTTGAACACCTTGTCGGCCATGTATTTCATCTTCTTTCCAGTGGGGCTGGCAATGAAACCAGCCTCGACAAGGAATTGCACATTGCGGCGGATGGTAGCCTTGACATGCTGCTTTTGGGAGGGTGAGACAATGTTGGCGTCTTGCAGGGGCTCACCACCCAGGCGACCCTGGAGGGCGTCGAAGACCTGCGATACTGGCCACAGTGGGTGCGAGCTGGTGTCTTTTTGAATAGACTTGCGCATGGTGTCCATCCAGGTGTTGTGATCGACCTTGCGAAGAGGGTACTTAAGTTCACCATGGAAGATCTCCCAGAACTCCCGCTCAGTGATACCCTCTGTCATGTAGGTGACCGTCCTCATGGCACCTGCAGGGCAGAAGACCTGGCCGATGGTCTCTTCGGCGACACGGGTGCTGCTGGTGACATACATCCAAGCGTTGGCGTAATCGTCGCTGAAGGCGCAAGCGTCAACAACACCGGAGGCCAAGCGCCAGACGAAGTCATCAGTGTTGGCGACGCCCTCCTCGGGGGTTCCCAGAATCAAGCCAGGCTTCACGATAGCAAATTGGTTGGGATACTTGGCGGCAAATTGCTTCACCAGCAGCTCCGACAAGTATTTGGTTTGAGCGTAACCGTTGGCGTGTGCAATCTCGTTGGCAATGTCCTGGTCGTTCTCCCCGACGCTCCAGCGGGAGCCACCAGACACGTAAGAGAGGCGAGGGCGGGCTGGAGAAGTGATGGCGGCCTTGATAAGCTCAGCAGTGGAATTGACGTTGGCAGCACGCAAGATCTCAGTTCCTGCGTTCCAATTGACGGCGGCACCTGCGTGAATGATACCGTTGACAAGGCCGTCATTGGGGCTCTCACCGCTCAGAGAGGCCCATTGTCTTGGCTTCAAGCCCAACTTGGGCGAGGCCAAATTGCCACACCAAACGTCAAGCTTGGTCAGATAGTAGTCTGACCACCACTGAGCACGCACGGCGGCGTCCTTGATGCGGATGAATGCATCAGAGGGGCTGCTTGCGCGAACGTGGGCGATGACACGTCCCACGTCAGGGCGGTCACACAATTGCCGAAGAATTTGAGTGCCCAGGAAACCAGTGCCACCAGTGACAAAGACAGTCTTTTGGGGCATGGAGTTTTTGATGATGTCGTTGACCAAAGCAGAAGCCTCCTTCATCGCGTCGAAGGCAGGCAAGGCCTCCTGGACAGTGCCAGACAACTCGGCATCGATGAATGCAGCGAGACCACGAACAGTCATCTGGCCATCAAGAACACGAGATACGTCCACCTTGACACCATAGGTCTGCTTGATGAAGCTGGCCAAGCTGATGACCTGAACGGAGTCAATACCCATCGACGAAATGTTGAAATCGCGACCGTGGAGAGGGCTGTCTTCGCGATTGACCAAGCTCTCAATCTTCTTGCTGATGGCGAGAGCCTTCTCCTCACTGACCCGGAGAGCGGATGTTGTTGGCCCTTCCCGAGTGATTCCAAGAGTAGGCTCGAAGTTGGAAGGGAGCTTTGCGAGCCACTGATCCACCACCTTGCGATCAATCTTGGTGGAAGAAGAGCTGGGGATCTTGCGAACAACGATCCAGATGATGGGAATCATGTGAACTGGAAGTGTCTCGGACAGGCTGTGTGTGAGGGCAGAGAGCTGGAAGCCCGATCGTTGGAAGTCGGTGGTCGGCACAACGCTCAGGTCTGCGCCTGCGGTGGATGTGAGTTCAAGGATACCCACCAGCTTCTGGGCGTACAGGCCTGTCTTGGGATACGAGACGACAGACTGCGAAACATCAGCGGGCAGGTTGAGGTGGTACTCAATTTCACCCAACTCGACACGTTGACCGCGAATCTTCACCTGAGTATCCTTACGACCAATGAAAAGGATGGATCCATCAGGCGCGTACTTGACGAGATCGCCGGTCTTGTACAAGCGCTGGGACCGGTCGCCCAGCCATGCGGGGGCAGAAACGAACGCGGCCTCCGTCTTCTCCGGGTTGTTCAGGTAATGACGGGCCAAGATGTTGCCCTCAATGAGCAACTCACCGATAGCGCCAATAGGAGCCAGCTTGTTGTGATCGTCACGGTCAGTGATCCAGCTTGCGGAGCCGACCGCAGTTCCGATGTTGTTTGAGGCAGTTCCGGGGAGGACTCTGCGATTGGATGTTGTGCAGACACAGCACTCGGAAGGTCCGTATCCGTTGACGAGTCGCACATATGGTGTCCATGCGGCAACGTGCGCGGCACTCATGGCCTCACCAGCAAGGGCGAGAGTGGACAAAGTTGGAACTGTGCTAGGATCGATTGTGTTGACAAAAGAAGGTGTCAATACGGCCCAGTCAACATTCATACGGGTGATGGCTTCCGAGATATTACCACGTCGCTCCGACTCAGAGGGGACACAGACGCATCCCCCCTGGACCAATGTAGAGAGAATCTCGAGGATACTGGCATCGAAAGCGTAAGAGGCAAACTGCAGGACACGAGTGCCCATCTGAAGGCCCTCTTTTTGAGAAAGGGCAGCAGTGCAGAAAGCACGGTGCTCGATGACCGAGCCCTTGGGAGTGCCCGTGCTGCCGGAACTAAAGATCACATACGCAGCGTTCGAGGGGGCGACTGGCGTCGGGGGTGTTCGAGGGGTGTTGAGCTCACGCATTCCGGGGCCGACTGCAATCGCCTTTGCGGCCAAGCCGGGGGCGCGACTCAGCTGCTCTTCAGAATAGAGTACAACGTTGGCCTTGACGTCCTTGACGACATTTTGCATACGGCTGATGGGCTGGGAAGCATCCATCGCGACAAATGCTCCACCGGCCTTGAGTGTTGCCACCATAGCCACAATGGTCCACATCGACTTTTCGAAACAAAGGGGGACGAAGACATCAGGGCCAACACCAACATTGATGAGGTGGGCAGCGAGCTTAGATGACAGGCTCTCCAACTCGGTATAGGTCAGCTCGCCATCCCAGGCACAGATGGCTGGAGCGTTCGGCTGGGAGAAGTTGTTCTGAGAGATGAGGCGGTGGACACACTCATTGACGGGCTCAGCAAGGTCGCTATTCCACCGGAGCAGATCATTTCTGTCCTGTGGACTAATGATCTCAATTTCAGACAGCTTGCCATTGGGCGCCGATGCAAGCTGGTGCAGGACGTGCTCAAATTGTTGGACGATGCGGACCACTTCAGGACGGGGCAAGACGGCGTCGTCGAAGTGAACATGGATCTGGATGCTGGCGTCGGCCGCCAGACTGCACTCCAGAGTGAGTGCAACAGTACTGAAGTTGGCCTGAGGAGCCGAGAACGGCTGCATTATGCTGTCTTCGGCGACGGAAGTGGCAGGCTGAATGACCAGCAAGGACTGGAAGTTGCATGCAGCTGCGGCACCCTCTGCAACACGCGCGATGTTTTGGAGACCGTAGTTTTGGGCCGAAGTCATTTCCACGGAGTGGGCATTGATCTGTTGCAACCACTCACTGACTTGCTGTTCGCCGTCAACTTTAGCCTTGATCGGGACAGTGGCAATGACAGCACCGACGATGTCCTCAACACCAGGAACAGATGCATTTCTTCCACTCAATGTGCATTCGAAGACGGTCTCAGGGGAGTCACAGTAGCGGGCCTGGACCAATGACCAAGCAGCACGGATGAGAGTGGCGCTGGTGAAGTCTGACGGTCCCTTGCGGTGGAGTTGAAGAGTGTGCACAAGGGAGTCATTGGCCAGAGGCTGATGACTCGCAGAAGGGAGCGAAGGGAATGTGGTCATGTCGCCCTCAGCAAGCTCAGATCGCCAGTACTCTTCGGTCGTCTTGTCGGAGTTCTTTTCCACAATCTCTTTGATGAAATCCCGGAACTGGGTACGAACAGGCGGAACAACACCCTGGAAGGCCTGGATTAGATCGTTGAAAATCATCTCCAGGGACATGCCATCATAAATCGAGTGATGAATGGTCAACACGAATGTGTTCGTGGGGCCGGCGATAATGCCAAAGTGTGCAAGGGCATCTCCAATCTGCATTGGAATCTTTTCATCGAGCTCGATGTATTTCGCCAGATCTGTGTCATGTGCCCACATGATGGGAGCACGGTTGACAACCTGAACAGAGCCATATTGGTCTGTCTCGACAATCCTGGTCCTGAGAACGTCGTTGTTATCCACGATCATGCTCCACACCTCCTTGAAACGAGACACTGTCACGCTACTAGGAAGATCCAGAGTGTGGCGAGCGACATAGGAGCCCGGGATCTTGGCGGAAAGGGCCATCAGACCCATCTGGAGGGGACTGCAAGGGTAGGCGTCCTGGAGCAGGCCAGCCGGCAAGCCAGTTGCTTCCAAAATGTTGGCACGGACAACCTCAGTGTCCTCGCCGAGCAGATCGAACGGAGTTGTGACAGGCGCCTCGGCGGAGCTCGCAGCGGTCATGACCTTGGCCATATCGCTCAAAACGAGGTTGCCTAGAATATCTCCAACCTGCAGTTGCAATCCCTCGGCACGGCAACGGCGGGTGAGGTTCATGGCCTCGATCGAGTCACCGCCGAGGTGGAAGAAGTTGTCTTCCGCACCGATCTCATCCACAGGGCAATGAAGGATATCAGCCCAAATCTGGCGCAGAGCCATTTCGGCAGTTGTCGTAGGCATGCGGCGCTTCGTCACTTTGCTGTTGCCGGCCACGGCAGCCAACTCGGTCAGGGTGAGACTGTCACCAAAAGAGGCGATGAGGCGGCGATCGGTTTTTCCAGAGGCTGTCAATGGCATGTAGGCCAAAGGAAGGAAGACAGACGGAATCATGTAGGGTGGCAGTTGGAGGCTGAGCTGCTTGGTCATCTGCGCTGCCAAAGAGACCACAGAAGCTTTGTCCTCTGGGGCAGAGTAGAAGGTGTGAGGGAACTCGGGACCAAAGCCGCTCTGGTTGGAGATGAAGGCAGCAAGCATCGCCTTGCCACCAGGTCGAACCATGGCCACCGCGGTCTTGACGGAGTTGTTGATGGCACGCATGTGGGCCTCGATTTCGGTCAACTCAACACGCTGACCACGGATCTTGACCTGCAGATCTTTGCGACCAATCAGGTGCACACGCCCGTCGTCACCATACCGAGCCAGATCACCGGTCTTGTAGAATCGGCGAGTAGTTCCGCTCTTCGAGGCCCAGGCCGGATTTTCAATGTAGACAGCCTGGGTTTTCTCGGGGTCTGCAAGATATCCTCGTGCGAGCAATGGGCCTTCGATGACAAGTTCACCAACGGAGCCAATTGGGACGAGACGATCGTGGTCATTGGCATCGACAAGCCATGATAGACCGCCAGTGGCTCTGCCGATACAGCTTCTAGGCGTGTCTTCAACCATGCGTCCGATCATGACAACGCTGCATTCAGATGCACCATAGATATTAATTAATTGTGCCACCGGCGCCCATCGGTCGATGATGTCCTGTGCCACCGCTTCACCGGCCACGAGCATGGTATCGAGTGAGGGAATGTCCTCGTGGCTGAGAGAACGGGCAAAACTGGGGGTGAAGATCGCCCAGTTTGCTTCGAATGATCGAATAGCCGGACGAATGTCGGTGTGTCGATCGTGGTCAGATGGAATGCAGAGGCATCCACCGAAGATTAAGGTTGTAAATATTTCAAATGTGCTGATAATGAAGGTGTATGCGCCAAATTGGAGAGCGCGGGTATTATTAGAGATATTCATGGCAGAGGCGTGGTGTAGCGCGCTGGAGGAAACAGAGGCGTGATCATGGACAACACCCTTGGGCTTGCCTGTGCTGCCCGAGGTGAACATGACAAAGGAAGTATCCTTCGGCTGTGAACGAGAAGTGAATTCCACCACCGGGGCAGACTGAATTTGGGAGGGGTCAAGGACAAGGACTTGAGGGGTGATGTCCCGCACAAGCTCCCTGTTCGACTCAGAAGCAACCACGGTGTGGGCTCCCACGGAGTCAATAATCGTCTCCAACCGCTGGCGCGGGTGCTTAGGGTCGAGTGGCACCCATGCGGCACCAAGCTTCCAGATAGCAATCATAGTAACAATGGTCCACATAGATTTCTCAAAGCAGATGGGGACCAGGTCACCGCGTCGAATGCCGACGGACTCGAAATATGAAGCCACCTTGTTTGCGGCTTGGTTGAACTGGGAGTATGACATCTCCCCATCGCAGGCGACTAGCGCCTGTGCATCAGGGGTCTTCTCTGCGGCACTCTCAATCAATTGATCGACACAAACATCGTGTCCCTTTGGAAGGATGCGGTTCCAAGTTTCGATCTGCATCATGTCCAGTTCACTGGGGTGACACACAGTGGATGCAGTCTGATATGGGTCCAAGCACACACTTTGAAGGTAGTCGGCAAATGTGCTAGCGATATATTGTGCCTGTGAGCGAGAGACGGTTGGTTTGTGGAATACCAAGTCCAGTTGGGTTAACGAGGCATCAATCTGGATGGCATAGTCAAACTGAAGCTTGTTAGTGGTTTGGTCGAGACGGTTGGGGCTGGGGATCAAAGCTTACAGTCTTCTCATTCACCACGTCCGTTAAGGCCAGCTCACTCTTGGACTGTGAATCTTTGAGCCAAATGGCCGAGTTGCATGGCTTGGGCTCTAATGTGGAAAAGATGTCCAGAGCTTCGACCACGGACACCATGGACTCGGCCTGAAGGAGACCCTCCTCTTGGGTTGTGTCAAGAACGGAAATGACGGAGCTGTCTTGCTCCAGTCGTGCCAAGGACACAGATGTGTTGGTCCGTTGCTGCTTGCTTGATCGCGGGTTCATGCCAATGCCAGCAAACATGACGTTGTCGGCTCCAGAGTAGGAGCGCAAGACTGCCGTCCAGGCAGCCTGGACAACGTTCAGTGGAGAAACATCACACTGTTGGCAACAGTCATAGATTGCAGACAATTGCATGGGCACATTCAGACAGCCCACGGTGGACTTGGTCTCGCGCTTAGAGAAAAGACCGGATGGGAGATGTGATGGAGTCACGTCAGTCACCAGCTGCGTCCACAGCTGGCGAAGCCGATCAGCATCGTCGATGACTATAGACGGCATCGTGAACAAGAACAAATAAACTCAGAATGATCCACGACTAGGGATGGGCCAGTCTGGCAAACTATTAACAAAAACAGCAAAGGGGGGGGAAAAGAGAGACTTGAGGTGGAAGAAAAACAGCAGAGACGAAAGCAATAAGCAAGAGCAATGGCCCACTATATTATGTGATCTTGGTCCGGTTCCTCCATTTGCTCATTGTAATTATTCTATTTTTTAATTCATTATTTTTCTCTTTCGTTTTCACATGGGACAGGAGATGAGGATCCGATTGATTTTTCCGGTCCAATTCTATGAGGCACTTTCCCACTGCATCTCAGATCTGTGTCCCAACTCAGAGGTACAGCGAGCTCCACAATGCCAGCATTGGCATAGACGAACGCTGGTTCGTGCAGCCGCCCAACCAGGAGGCGTGGAAGAAGTACTAGTTTGGAACATCATTGGGACTAGGATATCCACCTGCATCTCCTTCCGGCCACATCGAGGGTGGATCATGACCCCATTCTGACGTGGATCGATAGGCGGGATGTAGCCGAGTCACTGTGCTCGTACATCGGAAGGCAAAAAGGGTTGACAAATTCTGTGCCGTGCCTGTGCCCGAAGCTGCCAACTGGATCTGCGCGCATCTGCGAGTGGGTAGGAGTTATGCTTTGATGTCAGGTACCATGCTCCACTTTCAATTTCTCCCTTACAATCGGAGAAACACCCACGATCGTGACACACCCTGAACCATGGGTTCTCCGCGTACCGTACACTGTAATGAAGCTATGGTGGAGTGGGTTTACAGGATGAAGCTGAAGATCGTGCCGTGTGGGTTCGATTGTTATAGTTACTTGGCCCAATCCGGTTAGCCTCATCGGAAAAGATACGAGACCCGAATTTCACCGTGTACGATACAAGATGTCAGGTATACGTATTACCTGTAATACAGTGCACTTGTTTTTAGCTTTCCACGCTTTTCGAGATATCTTTTTCCGGTTGAATGGATTCTCAGCTCATCCACACGTCATGTCCTCATCATTTCATGCGCCGACGTCCAGAATACTCGTACAGAATAGTTACTAGCGACTACCAGGACTCCGTACGGGAACATCGGTTTCTCTTTTGTTCTGCAAGGGTCTGTTGTTTTCCCTGCGGTACGCTTATGATTCATCTTGTTTCTCCCATTAATTTCATGTTCATCATATTTATTTCTCTTGATTTTTTTGCGTATCCAGGGGTACCGCATGAGCCCCTTGAAGGGACGCAGTACGGAGTAATCAAACCCATCCATTCACACCGTCTTTGTACCTGATGAGACACCTCAGATCCATGTGTAAACAACAGTAATTTGAGTCTGTTCTTGATCCCTTGCCGCCCCACTCCAGCCTCCACTCGATAGACTTTTCCGGCATCTTGCTACGGAGTAGGCTTTGTTGACCTTACCGACGATCTTCTCCTTTTAAGCGGTCTGATTGCCGCCCTGAAGCTGAAAAAGAACTTGGCAATGGGATCCACCCACTTCCGGCCCTGTGAAAATCAATAAACACTGTCATTGTACGCTGTCCAATGATTACGGCCTGCATTTTGTACTGGCTGCGCACATAATAATCTACCGCATACAATGTACTAGTACATTCATTTTCATGTTGATATGTAAGTACGTAGTAATCCTTGCGCTGAACCCCAGGTGAAGCCATATCACCTCGCCACTCTGAGATCTAATCCAACACTTCTCCTCGTATGTGGAGCTCTCCGTGGCAAAGTAGAACTTACAAGGTCTCAGGAGTGGAGGCGACTAGTGCGGACTGATACTCGTAAGAGGTACCAGTTCATCCGGTTCGAAGTGTAATGCATTCTCCTGAGCCTAGTGCATCGGATCTACAGAGTAGAAAGAACTCAATCTCGGTGTGGTGGACGGGACCATATATGTCAACAACTATGTACTCGTACTCCGTACCCCTAGGAAGCAGTATATAGCTGTCAAGATTCCCCGGGAATGTATTGCGCTCTATCATCAAAAGTCGTCTTTTATTTCTCTCTCTCACGAATTCCTTCACATTTATAGCGTCATGCCTAGCGTATCCACATCTCCTCTCTTGGACACCTCAGACATCGAGCTTTTGCGGCGAAAGCTGGCTGACGACGTCCGCATCGAGCGTTATGTTCCTTTAGCCCCTCCTGCCTTGGTGCAATACGAGATTCCACACACCGCCAACAGCCTTCTCACTGTCCTGAATAGTCGCATCGAGGCTCGCGACATCATCCGTCGAAATGACGATCGACTTTTGGTTCTAGTCGGTCCCTGCAGCATCCACGACCCGGAGTCTGCTATCGAATATGCATCCCGTCTTCGCCTTCTGGCGGATGAGCTTCGGGATGACCTCTGCATTGTCATGAGGGCGTACCTAGAGAAGCCTCGCACAACCGTTGGCTGGAAAGGCCTCATCAACGACCCCGACGTCGACGACACCTTCGACACCAACAAAGGCGTGAGGGTGTCCCGCCAACTCTTGGTCTCGATTACGGACCTGGGCGTTCCTGTGGCATGCGAGATGTTGGATACGATATCGCCTCAATACACCGCGGATCTGATCAGTGTTGGCGCTGTGGGAGCCCGCACAACCGAATCGCAGCTGCACCGCGAGCTGGCATCTGGTCTTTCATTCCCAGTTGGTTTCAAGAATTCCACAGATGGCTCCGTCGGTACAGCTGTAGACTCATTGAAATCCATGCGTGGCCGTCATCACTTCATGTCCGTCACCAAGCAGGGTGTTATTGCTACCACAAGCACCAAGGGTAACGAGGATGGCTACGTCATCCTACGTGGTGGTTCGCGCGGAACAAACTTCGATGCTGCATCGGTTCAAGCCACTCGCGAGCTCCTCCGCTCCAAGAATGAGCGGGAAGTGCTCATGATTGACTGCTCTCATGGTATGGCGATCTTTCTACCTTAAATCTACGTTTTTACTGACACAATCAACAGGCAACAGCTCGAAGAATCACCGAAACCAGCCCAAGGTCCTGAAGGTCATCGAAGAGCAGCTTCGCCAGGGTGAGGATGCCATCATCGGAGTGATGGTTGAGTCAAACATCCGCGAGGGTAACCAAAAGCCACCCTCCAAGGGCCTAGAGGGCTGTGAAAAGGGCGTCAGCATCACTGATGCATGCATTGACTGGGAGACCACGGAGCAGTCCATGCGTTCCCTGGCCCATGCTATCCGAGATCGCCGCACCCGGGCTTCTACTGGCAAAAACTAAATGGCAGTTTCAGTACGGAGTACCTGCCCACTCATACTTAAGTAGTATTTAATCATAGCTAATCAGATAATCATTAATTTACAAGTTACACATAACTTTCTAAAGTTACTTGAGTAAGTAGAATACGCATGATGTACAAACTCGAATTGCCCGTGGTAACTTTACATTGGCATTAGCGCTTTCAGGGCTGGTGGTGGATACATGTATATATTTTGGTTGGGGCCGAATAGACGGTCACCTCTAGAGCTCGGGACTTCAGGATTGGTCAACTTTTAAGTTTTAAAGTTCTAAAATTTAGAAGCGCCTGCAGGCAGGGCCTGCACATGTGGACATCACTGGATATATCGTTCCGATCTATCTATAGATAGATGGACTGCGGCTGAAGGGAAAATTGTCCACCATGCCACGGGGCACCACAAGAAGAGACCATGTAACCTGTGTGATCTCCATTTTCACAAATTGGATTCCCATGCCCTGGAGCCGTATCCCGCAACCTGAAAAATCATTTTGGGGCCAACAACCTTGCCCAGGTGCCCATGTGGGAGGCAGAGCCCGTCTTTACTTCAGTAGAACTTGGAACATGCACCTAAGTAAAACGGCTGTCCAAAAAAACCGGAACTTTGAAAGTCTTTCAGGCTCTCGGTTCGTATCTTCCAACTTTAGAAGTAGATTATTTTGTCTACAAGTGTACACTTTTACTTTTAATCTCAGTATCTACACATGTGATCAAGTAAGGAAGAAAGCGACTATGGAGTCAACGTGATTCCTATCACTGTATAACCAACGAAACATTGAAGATAACAACCTTTCCAATCCAAGATTGGAACCCAACTGCCCAGGTGCACAAAGCGTCCAGACTGATCGATCATCCTCCGCTTCCAGTTTCTGTCTCAGTGTTCCGGCCCACTTGTCGGTCAGCCGTTGCCCGATTCGTCAAGGGACGCAAATTCAGCAGATACACACTTACATCATACTGCATGATCAATGGTCTCAACACAGGCGGAGGAACGAGATGTTGTTGGTAACCTCGCCGTCGTTTACGGGGTCAGCGTTGCCCTTCTCCGGGATACCGGCGCGCTGAGTTGTTAGCATGGCTCACCACTGTGGACTCGGGAATGTGGCTGGCTTACTCTCTGTTTCTGTGACTAACGTCAACACCGAATGGCAAGGTAAGCAAGGCTGATCAACTCGACAGGGCTTCTTACACACTGTTGAAGTTAGCAACGGGGAACTCTTATCACACATGGTGGAGGGAGTCATACAAGCTAAAAGAATTTAGCAAGTGATTCACATCAGTTTTTCATTGTGAATCAATGACCTACGTTCTGTAGACAGTTAGTGGATAGGAATGTCAAAGGGCCAGACGGATATGATGGATATGCTTACCAACTGTTTTTCAAGCAGAAGCTAGGGTTAGTTGGATGACACGGCAAAGACATCCGGAGCGGAAAAGCCAGGGAATCTTACAAACTGCGAACGTTAGTATGGTCCAGGGCCAACAAGGTCTAGAGAGAAACCCACGCTCTTTCAAAACTCAGTCAGCATCTTTCCATGGTCAGTCAGACTAAAGATCGACGTGTACTCACAACCTGCATGCTTGTTAGTACAGTGAAAAAAACCGGGTAACAGATCGATCCACTCACATTCTGGTTCCTGTCAATCATCTCGGGTTCATTAGATTTCATGCAATGCAGAGCCACTCACGTTCTGTCACTTGGTTAGCGGGATTATATTGAAGGTGGGTAATGAACTTACTGTCTAGAGACATTGAAAGTGCTGAGGTTAGTGGAGCTCAGTCGATCCTCGTGAGATGGTTACATACCACCTTTTCAACGTCAGCAACGGTAGACATGAAAGGTTGTAGGGCTGGAAGAGGGGTATACATACAGTCTGATACCAATCGTAATGCCTCGTTAGTTCTCTGGTAGGAAGCTCAACATCATTCAAAGTTACTCACGCCCTGCTTGGTCAGTACAACTGGCCAAAATCCAGAGTGACAAGAACTCATACATTCTGGGAGATGTCAGTATCATTAATCCAAATCATCGAGCAACCAACTTACATTCTAGATGGACGACCGTCTTGTCAGCAACCCTTGTCTTTGGTTAATAGTATGGAATCGAGTTCATACAACCTGGCATTGTTAGCATCATACCAAAAGCAGAAAGGATCAGATGAACCCACAGGCTAGATAGGCAGATCAGCCCAAGTCAGCAAATCAGGTCCAGCCACTCGTGTGGATGGAGTCACATACAGCCTGTGCTGTTAGTTCGAGATCTTGACCAGACACTGGAGGAAATCTCACCACGTCACCGTTCTAGGTAGGGATGATCCATTAGCATAAGTCTCAGCCGCACCAGGCACTTGCGGAGTGCATACCGGGTTCAAAGTAGTTCTCGTAGTATGCTTGAGACCTGTCGGAGCTCCCACACACCCGGCGGCAAGAACCGCGCTGAACCAGATAAAACGCATAATTGGCAATCTCTCGGAACGATCGGAAGAACAAATCAATAAACGAGTGTAAAAGTGGGAAATAGAAAAAAAAAAAGAGGGTCGGAGGGTCTGCGAAGGAAATGGCGAAATGAGAGAAACTGGAGGAATCAGAAAGGAGTAAGGAGCATGGAAAATGGGAGAGACGGGAGGTCAGAGATTTTCAGTTTGCATTGGCTCCATCTTGCATCGCGTCCTATGTCGATCTTGACCCGGACGGGAGGTCTGAGCCAGTGAGATGGCCATGTCGCTTGAAGTGGATCGGGTGGACTGCAGTGGATATAGATCGCGGCATCTGTGCCTGGTTCTCCGAGAGATGACTTCACAGGTCCACCAGAAAAAAAAATCATAACATTCAAACGCTGGGAATTTCAGAAGAGCGGATACAATTTACTCGTACGAGTACAATGGGACTGGCTTCTCACCGGAAATGCGTTTCCACGTCTGAAGATGGGTGTGGATATCCGCGCTAAAACGCCACGACTTTAGCAAGGAAGCGATGCGGTGGATCTCAAATCTCCAGAGAACCTGTTCAGTGGGCCCTCTTCAGGGGATCTCAAATACACACTAAGCAGGTTCCACTTCTCGCTTTTCAATCGCTGTGTTTGGTTTCTTCTACTTTAAGTAATAACTTAATCGACATTAATTTATTTTAGAACGTAAGGGGCTTTTTGGGGCTTGTTATGTTTTTACCCCAAGGTTATATATACAACACCTTGTTGAAACGAAATGCTTGCAATTAATTAGTATTGTACATTACATAAAGCCCCATACTGACTAGTTACTCCATAGGCATTCCGTATGGAATACGCACCTGGGCATATATACAAAGTAAGGTCGAACATTGAAAGAAAATGGCCCATCCTAGCCCCTCTTCAAGACCCTGAGAAGCCTCTGCCGATAGACTGCGAAGAACTTAGACCCGAAATGGGCAATGAAATAGGCGGCCGTGATGACTAGCCCGTAGACTGAGAGTCTTTTCCCCAGGCGCAAAAAGGCCGACCGCACCACAGAGGCTGATTTGTTCTTGAACACGGCAGCATCATTGGCGCGCGGGAACGATGTCGAAGGGATTGGCTTGCCCAAGAATTTACAGAGGGGTTCCCATCCCTCCTTGGGGTTCCATTCGAGAAGGTTATCAGCCGGGACGACTTGGCGAACGTGATCGTAGTGTTCAACGAAAGCCTGGCGCCCATAGCGCTCGAAGTCGCCGCGGAAGAGTCCGTCAAAACCGACGCGGCACATGCGGTTGCCATTGCCAAAATTCTCTGGATCAATCCAGCCCATGAACGTGGCAAGTGGACTGTAGGTCTGTGTCATGATGGTCTGTTTCATGGAGCGCACCCAGTCGTCCGGGTCGCGTAGAGTTAGAACCACCTTAGCGTCTGGGTAGGCTTGCGTCAGTTCCTCGACAAAGACAGCGCCGGGAAAGTCGGTGATGGCCTCGACGTGGCCTAGCAGCTGATCCCAGTCTTGACGCCCGTACGGCCTTCCCCCATGGTACTTGCCCCGAAAGGCTTCCGTCCACATATCGGCATCCTTGGGATTCTGCATAATGGATGTCATATGATACGTCTCGTATCCCAATTGCTGTAAGCCCAGCCATGTTGCTAGGGTGTCCCAGTTTCAGCGTCTTTGTGAGGGATGTGAGGGATTCATAGTCACTGGTAGAACTCACATAGGGTACCGGTGCGGCACAGTCCCAAAACTAGGACTTGCATAGGCTTTACGCGCTGGCATGTTCGCCGGTCAACGTTGGACTGTACGAGCACGCTTTCGGTGTCCTGCATATTGTCTGAATGGTAAGCTAACGACTGTCTGTCGGTTGACGTGTTGTTGGACACTGCCCAATCTAAGGATATCTAAGGGTATTTGGGTCCCTTGTGTTAAGCGAGAGATACGGGTGTACTCCGTGCTCCTTAGCTCATCCGCATTACAGCTGGAGAAGGTCTCTACGAGTATCAAATGAGAGATGGACGCTGGGTCCGAGTCTTCTGGAAGACGGCACCCAAGCCCGGCACCTAGAGACGGCATACGATTATGTATGTATGAGACTGCAATCGTACGCACCAGTTCGAGACCCCACTAGGCATGCTCGGGGTGGGGGTAATCAAAAGAACAGTGGAGTTGCATGAATAGTCTGGAATAACCAGAATCGAAAGTGGATGTGTAGGAAGAGGCTGGGTCTGGGCTCCACTAATCGATGATGATCCTCATAGTTACCTGATTTGGGGCACACAACACGGGTGATGGTTCCGACCAGAGTACGAAGTTATCTGGTATTGATGACAACTTGGATGTAAGAGCTGGCAAGCCTACGCATAGATGAAGAGAACGAAGTGTCGTTCACTCAGGCTATGAATGTCCCGGAAGTGACAGCTGTATCCGGATCGGCAAGATGTCGATCGACGTCCGATCTCGTACTCGTATGAGTACAGTAACAATACAAAGTATTCTTACAGGTAGCTCCATTACAATTACACGGTATCAAATACCATACACATGTACATTCGATACTGATATACACGTCATATACATCTCCACCGCAGCTTCATCTTTCAACAAGACCCATTCAAATCCAATGGTTTTGTTGTCTCCATTAACTCCATACATTCAGGTACCCCCGTCGGTGGATCTACAGCTGTCTCAGCTATGCACCCCCTAAATCGGGTTCTCTAAATTGGTTCCAAAAGGTCGGTGGAATGGAATTCTTCCATTTCTAACCGAGGTGTGAATGACCTGAGGGAAAAAACTTTGCAGATCCAACGATATCGAAGATCATCTTAATGTTTACCTTTGTGCCTCTCACAACTTTGATTGTTCTTCGTCATTGCCCGCACACTTACCCCTTCCATCACTTTAATTCTATGTAATCTTGGCCGATATATCGCCAACCCTTCTTAATATTCTTTGTTCATCATGTTGCACAGTGTGTCGGGCTCCTTGGATACCGCGCCATGCACCTTTCCATCAGAAAATCTCCCCGGGCGGGGATTTCAAACCATCCCACTCGACCTGTCTGGTTCCAGCTCGAACGCCCACGAGCTGCTACTCCAGGCGTGGGCAGTCGTTCTGCGATACTACGTGGGCAGTGATATGATCGCATTTGGCAGAGTTGATGGCATTGACTCGTCATCGCGACTCGCAGTTTGTCACGGCGACATACCTGCCTCTGCGACACTCGAAGAACTAGTCGCCTCACCATTGTCTGGGGAACCCACTAGTTTGTCCCTTTCAGAATGGATTTCCTCAAATACCTTCAATACGCTGGTGTGGAGCGGCGCAAAGCCCTCCCTCGAGAAATTGGAAACAACTTCGGTAAGTGTCTTAGTTCCACGTTCAATTTGCAGTGGCTGATTTTGTTAGTGCTGTCTGGCCCTCCTAGCCTCCGAAACCCCTTCATTAGCCTATGCTTCGCATGCAATTGGCAAACAAGTAGCCACCGCGGTAGCCGAAGCCGTGGTCCATGTGGCCAATATAATCACGACTGAACCTCAAACCACAATTGGCGCAGTAGATCTCTTTGGCGCCGCATCATGGTCTCAAATTCAAGAATGGAATTCGACCGTTCCCAATATGATTGAGGTGTGCATGCATGATCTCATCGATGCACAGGCGAGATCACGCCCCGAATCCACCGCACTGGAATGCTGGGATGGAACCATATCATATGCGCAACTGATGGACTATACCTCTCGGCTAGGAAGCTTTTTGGTCACGCAAAATGTTGGTCCAGAAGTCTTTGTTCCGGTCTGTTTTGACAAATCACTCTGGGCTGTAATCTCAATGCTCGGAGTCATGAAGGCTGGTGGTGCCTTCGTGTGCATTGATCCGGCACAGCCAGTCGATCGCCTTGAAACTATCATCAGTGAGGTGGATGCGCAGGTAACACTGGGTGCCCCGGTTTACCGTGAGACGCTAGCTCGCTTGGTACCAAATGCCATTGCAATCGATGAGAATTTCATTCTTGGTCTTCCACCCTCTTCTGAGCTGCCTCGCGTATCTCCGAAAGATGCTGCATTCGCCATCTTTACTTCTGGTAGCACGGGCAAGCCGAAGGGTATCGTGCATGAGCATCGAACGATGTGCTCTAGTGCCAAACGCCACGCTGCTGCGTTGAATATCAACAGTGGTACGCGTACCTTCCAATTTGCTGCATACACCTTCATCGTCAACACCTTCGAGCTTTTCACGCCTTTGGTGGAAGGTGGCTGTGTCTGTGTGCCTTCCAAGGAGGATAGGTTGGGACGCACCACTGGTGCGATGCGTGATTTGAACGCAAATTGGGCGTGCTTAACCCCGTCTTTCCTGCGCTCGATCAAGCCCGAGGACGCCCCACAACTTGAAACCCTTCTCTTGGCTGGAGAGCCGGTCCAGCAAGACAACTTGGATACATGGCGTCATCGGGTGAAGATGCTCAACATGTATGGTGCTTCGGAGGCCTCGATTTGTGTCGCTGGTGACTTATCGGGACCCGTTGGGCGCTCTACCATTGGAACCGGAGCTGGCTGCACAACTTGGGTTGTAGATACGGCTGACCACGATCGTCTGGCCCCTCTGGGAGCAATCGGCGAGCTAGTCATCGAGGGCCCAATCCTCGCTCGTGAGTATATTCATCAGCCTGAGAAGACAGCCGAAGTCTTTATCTCAAACACTCCGTGGATGGAAGAGATCCGTGGTGCTCTGCCCTCCCGTGCATACAAGACTGGAGACTTGGTTCGCTACGGTACCAATGGCAGTATTAACCTCGTGGGACGGAAAGATATGCAAATCAAATTGAGAGGCCAGCGCGTTGAGCTTGAAGAGGTCGAGTTCCATCTGCGCCAGATCATTCCTCGGGGAACTGAGGTGGCCGTCGGTCTTGTTAAACCTGTGGACCAACCCGACCGCCCCATGCTCGCCGTGTTCGCATCTGTCAAGAAAGCATTCGGTGACGGTTTCTACCCCGTAAACGAGGATGTCGCCGTGGACCTTGAATCCCGCATGGAGGGTTGGAAGTCTAAGCTCGCCGACTGTGTTCCAGGATATATGGTCCCTTCCACCGTCGTCAAGCTCAACCATATGCCCTTGACCGCGTCTGGAAAGACAAATCGCAAGGCGATTGGTGACTTTGCGTGCACACTCACCATTGCTGCCCTGACCGGGGCTGCTAAGAAGGAGCACAAGGATCCAGCCACAGATACCGGCAAGGTGCTGCGCAGCATCTGGGCGGAAGTGCTGGATCTGAAGATAGAGTCCATCTCCGCCGATGACAGCTTCTTATTGCTTGGCGGAAATTCTATTGATGCAATGAAATTGGTCAACCTGGCCCGTGATGCTCAAATCGGCCTCTCCGTCGCGAATATCTTCACCTATCCCGTGCTTGACGAGATGGCAGAAGCGTGCTCGCAGCTGCTTGTCCAATCGTTCGAGGACATTCCTTTTGGCCTTGTCTCGGGTGACGTTGATAACCTTATTCAGCAGGCTGCTGTACAGTGCAAGGTTAGCCCGTCGGCGATTGAAGATCTATATCCCTGTACTGCTATGCAGGAAGGTCTCATGGCTTTGTCAGACAGCAGAGAGGGTGCATACGTGGCCCAGCACAGATTATCCCTTGGCCCCTCTGTTGACCTGAACCGGTTCAAACAGGCCTGTCAAAAAGTGGTCGACTCCCATCCTGTACTTCGTACGAGCATCGTCTACCCTGAACAGTCCAGAGCCTTGCAGGCTATCGTCCAGGGTGACATTCAATGGCGTATTGCTGAAGACCTGGAGAGCTATGTGAAAGAAGACAAAGCCTGCCCAATGAGTGCCGGACAACCCCTTACTCGTTATGGTCTGGTACCCAATGGCGAGGAATGGACATTCATCTGGACCGTTCACCATGCTGTCTATGATGCCTGGACACTTGATTTGACGTTTGATCGCCTCGACAAGGCCTACAAAGATCAGCCCGTTGAGCGTGATACCTCATTCAAGGAATTCATTCAACACGTTATCAACACCGATGGTGGGGCATCTGAGAGCTTCTGGCGAGAGTACCTTGCTGGTGCCACTCGGAATGAGTTCCCCTCGGCAGTATCTACCTCCAAGCAGCCTGTTGCTGACTCTGAAGTCAAATACAACATGACACTGAACAGGACTGATGGCCTTGCTGGCATCACGCTTGCCTCAATGATTCGTGCCGCATGGGGAATCCTCATTGGATCCCACTCCGAATCAAACGACGTTGTCTTTGGCACCATTGTCTCCGGTCGCAATGCACCCATTGCAAACGCAGATCAGCTCTTTGGTCCCGGTATTGCCGCTGTACCTGTCCGTGTCAAGTACGAAGAGAACAACGACGCACTGACCATTCGCGAGTTTGTCGGCGATGTGCAGGATCAATCAACAAAAATGATCGCATTTGAACAGGCTGGTCTGCAGCATATCAGACGTGTGAGTGCAGATGCCACCGCAGCCTGTGACTTCCAAACCCTTTTGGTCATTCAGCCTTCCAAGCAAAAGCACGTCGCAACCGATGAGATTGACCTGCGAGCTGCCTCCGAGGCAGATGCAAACTTCGGTACCTATGCTCTTACCCTAGAGTGCAGCCTCAGGCCCGACGGTGTTGGTTGCTCTGCCCATTATGACTCCAGCCTGGTTTCTCAAGGCGCAGTTGAGCGGATCCTGGGCCAGCTAGAGAACCTACTTCACCAGATGTGCTCCTCGTCCACAGAAACAAAGTTGAATGAGCTTGTCTTCATCAGCACCAAGGACCAAGAGAGTATCCGTGGATGGAACCATCATATCCCGGCACCTATCCACAAAACCATTCACGAGATGATCGGGGAGCAAATTGCCGAGCGCCCGAATGATGAGGCGGTTTGCTCTTGGGATGGCTCTCTCACATATGCGGAACTGGACCAGCATGCTTCTCGTCTTTCCAGGCGCCTTGCCCAGTTGAATGTTCAACCCGAAAGCTTCGTTCCCTGCTGTTTTGAGAAGAGCCTTTGGGCTATTCCAGCCATGCTAGGTGTCATGCGCGCAGGGGGTGCATTCCTCAACCTAGACCCTTCTCAGCCTGCCAATCGGATTCAGCTCATGATCCGGAAGCTCAAATCTCAGACCATTGTCTGCTCCCCCAAACAATATGATCTCTGCCGCAGTATGGGCGAAGAGTTGAACATTGTTGTCTTGGATGCCATGACCCCCGAGGAGTCACTTCCGGAATCAACAGTTCCTGTTGGTGTGAAGCCTGAGAATGCTGCCTATGTCATCTTCACATCAGGAAGTACCGGAGAGCCCAAAGGAACTATCATCCAGCACGGGCACTATGCCATTGGCTCTGTGACCCACGCACCTGCTATGCTGATTGACAGCAAAACTCGAGCTCTTCAGTTCGCATCATTTACCTTCGATGCTAGTCTGGTGGAGACGATCACCATCCTTATCATGGGTGGTTGTATCTGTGTTGCATCCGAGGAACAACGAAAGCGTGACGTTGCTGAGGCAGTTCGCGCAACAAGAGCCAACTGGGCGGCTCTGACGCCTTCGTTTGTGAACCTTCTGAACCCCGAGGATGTCCCATCAATCAAGACCCTGATCCTGGCTGGAGAGGCTATGTCACAGTCCCACATCGATACCTGGGGAACCCGCGTACGACTCGTCAACGGATACGGCCCATCAGAGTGCTGCGTCGCGTCTACATCCAATATCGACGTTGTGCCAGGTGTCAGCCCACGCAATATCGGTCGCTCGTGCTCGGGTGTGGCGTGGGTTGTGATGCCTACTAACCACCACCGTTTGATGCCCGTGGGAAGTGTTGGAGAGTTGGTCATGGAGGGCTGGAATGTGGGCCGCGGGTATCTGGATGAGCCGGCCAAGACTCAGGCCGCGTTTGTCGAGAACCCGTTGTGGATGGAGTTGGATGGCCAGCCGAGACCCCCCGTTGTTTACAAAACGGGAGACTTGGTGCGTTATAATGCAGATGGCTCATTTGACTTCCAACGTCGCAAGGATACTCAAGTTAAGCTGCGCGGCCAACGTGTTGAGCTGGGAGAGATCGAGTATCGCATCAAGCAAAGTCTTCCCGAAAAACCTCATGCCGTGGTGGACATCGTCTGTCCCAAAGATGCCCCTGATCAACCTCGCTTGGTGGCATTCATTCAGGTTCCCGCGTCAGAGGCGCGCCGAAAGCCAACTTCCATTTTCATGCTCAACCAGCCGGAGTCGATGATTCCTGAACCAAACCAACGGCATGTGTCCTCTGTTTCTGGGCTTGAAGACCGACTCTCGGACTTCCTTCCTATGCACATGATCCCCAGTGCATATATCCCTCTGTATCACATCCCCAAGATGCCTTCCGGCAAGGCAGACCGCAAGACCTTGATCCGCCTTGGCAGCGGGTTGACGCATCGTCGGATGGCCGAGTACTCGGGAGCCACTGAGGATGCCCGTCCCCCAACAACTGAAATGCAATTCACCATGCAGGAGCTGTGGGGAGAGACTCTCAAGATGCCTGCTGCGCAAATCAGTCTGAATGACAACTTCCTACGATTGGGTGGCGACTCAATCACTGCCATGCGATTGGCTTCTGCAGCGCGCACCAAGGGAATCCCGCTGTCCACGGCCACCATCTTCCAACATCCCACGTTGGAGGCCATCAGCGCCGTTGCTGAGACTCTTTCGCATCAGCAACGGCCGCAGAGCTTTGAACCATTCTCCAGTCTCAAGTCAATCCCCAAGGATAAACTTATTGACGACATCATTACCCCTCAGCTCGGAGTGCCGGCTTTCCAGATTGAGGATGCTCTTGAATCCACCGACTTCCAGTCTCTTGCAATCAACGGTGGTCTCAATCAGACCCGTGGCTGGAGCAACTACCTGATCTTCGATTTCGAGGGGCCAATTGACCTCCGCAGATTGCAAGTTGCATGTGAACAACTTGTCGCTCACCATGCCGTTCTTCGCACTGTGTTCTTGTCCACTGGATCGGAACTCATTCAAGTCATTCTCCGCTCGGTCGCCCCGGAGTACAGCATCCACATCCAGGATGAGGAAGACCCCACCGAGTCTCTCATTCGTGAAGACCTTGCCAGACCACCCCACCTAGGCGAAGCCATTGTGCGATTTATGCTTGTCAAGGATGATGCCACTCATCACAGATTGATCATGCGCATCTCTCATGCCCAGTATGATGGAAGCTCCATGCCACATCTAATGCAGGACCTGCGGACAGCCTACCGTGGCGAGGACGTCCCCAAGCGGGCTCAATTTGCTGACTTTGTGCGCATGCAACTGCACACCAGTGAAGGCGCCCAGAGCTTCTACACGGATATGCTGGCTGGATCTACTATGACATCGGTTGTCTCACACACCAAGTCATCAGTTACCAACGTACTTAACACTATGCTGGCTGAGATGGTGCCTCTGGTGGCTTTCAAGGACCACAGCATCACGGCTGCCACAGTGATAAAGGCAGCCTGGGCACTTGTGCTGGCGGATATGGCAGCAACCGCAGATGTTGTTTACGGACACATGGTGTCGGGGCGTAATTTGCCTCTGGACGGCGTGGAGTCAATGATGGGCCCATGCCTGAACATTGTGCCAGTGCGTGCCAATATGACAAAAATGCACAATGTCCTCGATCTTCTGCGTGCCATCCAGCAGCAACAGACCGATACGATCCCCCACGAAAGCTTGGGTTTCCAGCAGATCATTGACCAATGCACTGAATGGACCCCAGCGACACGGTTCAGCTCGGTCTTCCAGTACCAGGACTTCGGGAGTGAGGAAGCTATCCCTGGTCAGCCTGTGCCTTTCGAAAGTGTTCTCAAGTGCACCCCGGGCTTCGTCTGTCCAGCCCCTGATGCGTGTGACATGTCCATCCTAGCCACGCCTGTTGGTGAACAGATCCGCGTCGAGATGATCTTCTCAAACCACTCCGTCTCGCGTGAGTTTGCGCAGGGAATGTTGGACACACTTTCTGCCAAGCTCAAGTTCATCTCCCACGATGTCGAAGCCCCATTGGCGACACATGAGATGTGCCTGCGGCAACCCCAGATCCCTCTTCCTGAGCCTGGTAGCAACAGCAATGGACTCAGCGGCGTTCTCAATGCCGTGGTGAATGGACTCGGCTCACAACCCAACGGTACCAATGGAGTGGACGAGAGTCAGCATGCCCAAATGGACGGGAAAATCGATCTTTTGGCATCGGTCCGCATCAACTGATTTGTTCCAACTTGTCCAAAAAAGCTTTGATTTGATTGTTTTACATAAATATTTCTTCCTGTCTTTTGTTATGTTGGTGTTCACGGCTTAAATAATGAATCTGGTGTTTTCGAAGATTTTGAACCCTTTACAACTGCTGTAGCTACGAAGTGAGGCCCTCTTTTTAAACCTTAGAACCTCTTTTATCATCTTAGCCCCTATAAACGCCGACTGGGCGATTGGGCAATGCGTCCCTAAATGCACCTAGAGCCTTAGGTCTCCCAACAAAAACGTATGACATGGAGTAAGGATAATACCTGTATCAAAACAATGCCATCGAATTCCCAAGCTTTCCAAGGTTCAAGTTCGGGCCTAGCAAGTCATCCATGGGTTGCTTTGTGACTATAGATGGTAGTGCGGAGGTGCCGAAACAGCTTGTTCCAACGTTTGCACCGAGGATCGAGGCACCTGGCATCGCCGGGAACTTTGAAAAATTCAAAGTAGATGTCGGATGTCTAGTATTGGCCATGCCCAACGGAGTGGAGGGGAAAGAAGTTTTTCTCTGGTCCCGGAAGAAGAAAGATACAATATGTTATGTCTGATGTCCATAAATTCATTTGGGGAAGCAAAACACAAAACTAGCATATCTCTAGCAATGAAATCCAACAGGTGTAATGTTGAGAGCTTGCTACTGTGCAAAAATCGAAGCTCTCGTTGTCCGCCCATCCAGTAAATCACACGCCAAAGCTGGGCCGGATATTTCCACAAGCTCCGGAATAAAACAAAAAATAACCAACATGCCAATCCAAACGCCGAGGTAGAGAACGGGATCGTTAAAAGACCTCTACCTAGAGATGAAACCAACAAACTATATGCAATGTAAAAAGAGAGGAAGGATGTATCGTCTTAATCAGGTGTCACGGACGCGAGCTTGTCGCTTTGCGGTGCCAATATGGGTGTTGTGGACTTTGGTGGCGAATTTCAAGCTAGTCAATGTCTCCGGCATGTGCGCCTGAAGAGGGCTGACCATCACGAACATGAGTGTCTTGGAGTTACCGCCGAGTGAATATTGGAGCAAATAGGTTAGCTGATACATATGGGTTAGCATTATACGTGTTGATAGTGGCCCTGGGCGTACATACCTTGCTGTTTCGATATGGGATGTGGCCACCCTCTTTGCCTTGGCCAAGGGCTGCGATAACATCACCCAAGGAGCTGAGACTGCGGTTGATGTTCTGTGTCTCTTTCAAACGCTCGCCTGTCGCTCCACTGTGGCTTAAACGCTCACTGCCTGCCAAATCGACTAGGTTGAGAGTGCCTTCACTACGTTCACCGGTGATGTGGTTTTCGCCGGTCAACTTCAGAATGAACACAGAGTGAGAGCGGGACGAACGTTCATTAGCCTTGGTCGCCGCGACTGAGCGGTTGGCATCGGCATTCTGGAGAATCGTTTCGACCATCTGAGGAGAGTCCAGGTTTACCGTCGTGATATCGGTTATCGTCGTCTTGCCGCGCTGCGCGTCATGACGAATCTCGTGCTTCTTCTTGTCCAGCTCGTCGGGGTTGCCCAAGAGATCATTGATATTTTCATTGTAAACTTCCACGAAGTTACCGGCCATTGTGTATCGCCAACCCTTCTCTTCGAGCCCTTTTGCGGTTTCATAGATCTGGTGAACGGCTCGTGGAATCATTCCATCGACAGAAGACATTGTGTGTGTCTTGCCACTGCCGGTCTGGCCGTAACAGAATATGCAAACGTTGTAGCCATCCAGGGCGCTTTGAACAAGCTGGCTGATCTCATCAAAAACCTCGGCGTTCTTGGTTGATGGGTTAAACACACGATCGAACGAAAAGGTATTGTTCTTTCGGGTGACCCCACCCAAGCTGCCTTTTTCTTCCGGGCCGATGATGTTAATTTCCTTCGCATCTTCGGTTTCATCGGGGTATTGCATAAGGGTGAGGTCGGAAGAAGGCTCATTTTTCAAGGAGGGACGCACTCGACAGAACACCCGAATGTTGCCCTTGAGTTCCTGTACTTGATTGTGAAGCTTGCGTCGGAGTGTTTCCTCTCTCCTGAGCTTCTCTTTGATTGCCTCCGTTTCGGCAAAGGCGTCCCTCATTTGCTGGCTGCATCGCTCAAAAGATTTTGATTGCTCTTCGCGTCCCCCTTCAAGGAACTCGATGTGTGCCTTGAGTGCTCGGATGGAGGACTCCAAAGTGACGCTGTTGTTGCTGACTGTCTCGAGATTTTGCTTCAGTTCCTGCACGGTTCTGCGTTCGCGATCCATATCTCCTTTCAGGATGCGTAACTCATCGCGCAAAGTTCCAAGCTCACGGTCCTTGCGCCCCACTTCAATTTGTAATTTCTGCGTGTCAAGTGCAGACTGCGATGTTAATTGACCAAGGGCTCGGACCCGGGCAGCCTTCTCATCTTCAATCTCACGTTCAAACTTTCGCTGGAGCTCGCGGGTCTCCTCGTGGTGTCGAGCATTGAGGCTCGCCACTTCTCGGTCGGTGCGCTGCTTCGAGGAGTCCAATTCAATGCGATGGCGTTGGTCTAGGTCATCCACGGCGATTTCGTGATCTCGCTTCGCGTCCTTCAGCGTCTGCTCTGCAGCGGAAAGCTGGTTTCGTAACGAGTCTAGCTCCACACGCTGGGTGAGGGATGCTTCTTTCAGCTCGTCTCGAGAGGTTTCGAGTTCGGTTACTAAACAACACAGTTAGCGCGATTTGGGCTGGGGGCTCGCCTTGGTTGACTCACTCCTTGTCTTGTACAAATCCACGGTCTCCTTCAAGCCGGAGCTGGCTTGTCCTTGCTGATTCATTTGATCCATGAATGTCTTCATCAACATATCCAGGTTCTTTTCGCGGGAATCCTGATCCCATTCGGGTCCTGTAACATGGTCAAAACTTCTGAACGAGGAATCCTTGGTCAAAAACACGGGCTGCGATGATTTTTTAAGAAGTCGCCGGGGAGAGAAACATGAGATTCTGGGGATCTCAGGGGTTGCAAAGAGCGAAGATGAAGATGCACATGTCCTGAGTTCGAGTCGCTCTGGGGAACCATCACAGGGGTCGCGGGGAAATGGGGTACTTGGTATCACAGCGACAGTCCTGATATTAGGGCGATCTGGAAGATCACCAGGTCGTTCTGAGATAGCAAGTGCCGCCAATTTGCGGCTCTCATCCCACTCATGTTCCAATCCTGGGGAGGTGTATCCAACGGGGCAAGAGGGGATCCGACTGGGGGTCAAAAAAATGGGGGGCATACCCTTTCGTTTCCCTAATACGCTGGGAGATGTATCTTCCATATGGGTATCCAATGCACTGGCCGCGCGCGGGATGGATGCGCCAACGGGTCTGCGGGCGTTGAAGGAGGTTTGCGGTCGCGACATGTTTGAGGTTGGGCGCGTCCCTGGGCCGATGGTGGATGAAAAGTGACCGGTGCGGGATGCGGCTGTTGTCGATCGGGTCATAGTCGATGAGGAGTATGAATTTCCCCGACTATGCGTTTTGGTCGTCTGGGGAGGTTGTCGGGCGACGGACCCTGCTCTCCTGGATTCGGGATTGGTGGCCTTGGGGCGAGTTGCTTCCGGGGGTGTCAGTTCTTGTTGCGCCATGATTTCTGGTGATTCCATACGCGACATGCTCATGGCCTTGTTTGCGATTGTGCCTGGCGCCATGATACCCGAGCGAGAGTTAGTCATTGCTGAGCTGGCCTCTCGCAGCCCAGCCTGTGGCATGCGCATCCGAGTTGACGCCCTTGTTTGAATTTGCGGCTATCGGGGGTCAATTTCATACGCGATCGCAAATGTGGGGGAAGCTGTTACCATGTTTTCACCGTCCATTGTTGGATTCGCGGACCGCCAGGTGACCGGCGAGTAGAGTATCCGGGCAAGAATAGAAAACTCACGACCAGCCACTGTTTGGGTTGGTCACTTGGACTCCAATGATCAATAATTGAAATGGAAGGGTGTGAAGTGACATGCCCCGAGACGTCGCAAACTGGTTTCTGGAGAGACGAAATGCCCTGGGGTGCGAGGTAAACAAACAGTATTGCACTAGACTGGGTTGGGCCTAGCGTGGTACACTCGCATGGCACGTGACCTCTAAGTCGAATGGCTTCACGTTATGCGGTGACTTCTCGAGGGAACAGAGGAAGTTAAGTTAGATCTGGAACTAAAAGGGTGGAAGCTGGAAATAAAGTATTCTCATCATTTACTTCTCCCCAACAACCCAAAATAAAATTGCATGTTTCGTGCTCACACTAACATTTGTATACAATCATCAGCGACTCGACGGCACGTCGTGGGGCCTTTGTCGCCTCCACTCGGATTCCCGAAACGCCGGCCCCAGTGACCCCCGAGCTTCTCCAACGTCTACTCCTTTTCTCCCCTTTTCGTTTACTGTACTTATTCCCTTTGAACACTCGGTTTTAACCATGTCCGGGCGTTTTGTTCGTTCCTCTAAATACCGTCAGTCTTTTGTTTCCGCTTCCATTCGCGCATTCTACTGACCGTTACAGGCCACGTCTTCGGGCGTTCGACGAGAAAGGTATTCTTGGCCACCGCTCAACACACGACCTATACTAACTAGACCAGGATCAATGCTACGATAACCTTCGAGTCTCGCGCAATGCCTGGGACACCAACCTGCTCAAGGTTTGTTCCGCCCCCCGCCACCCCTGACGCGGCACGATGAACCCGGTCTCACAGCGCAATCTAGGTCAATCCCAAACATATCGCGGTCAATTGGGAAGCAGGCGGCGGCGGTGCATTCGCCATCATTCCTCTGGAAGAACGAGGCAAGCTCCCAGAGCGCATCCCTCTGTGCCGAGGCCACACTGCCGTTGTTCTGGACACCGACTGGTAAGCAATTGCTGCTGACACCAAATACCGCTCATGCACTTATTCTCTACCTTAGGAACCCTTTTAACGATGATCTGATCGCCTCTGGCTCCGATGATGGCAAGGTACGAAACCCCACTAGTCAGCATAGGCGCGACTAACCGGGTCTAGGTCTTGCTCTGGCGGGTTCCGGAGAACTTCACCGTCCGACCCGATGTAAACGCCGATGATGTCCAGGATCTCGCCCCCGTTGGCAAACTGAGCGGTCACCCCAAGTAAGACATACCGATCGCCCAACTTCTTATCGCCTCATCCTTACCCCTCATGCAGGAAGATCGGCCACGTGCTCTTCAACCCCGCGGCGGAAAACGTGCTGGCAACGGCCTCGGGCGACTACACAGTGAAGATTTGGGATATCGAGGCTGGCAAGCCCAAGCTCACCCTGAACATTGGCGATATTGTCCAATCCCAGTCATGGAGTGCCAACGGCTCCCTGATGGTCACTACCTCGCGTGACAAGAAGCTCCGCATTTGGGATGTGCGCCAGGAACGTCCTGCACACGAGACCAATGGCCACACCGGTGCTAAGAACAGCCGTGCGGTTTGGTTGGGAGAACGCGATCGTATTGCCACAACTGGTTTCTCCAAGATGAGTGATCGCCAATTGGCTCTTTGGGATATTCGGGCGGTCCGGGAACCCATCAACGGTTTCAAAACCTTGGACTCCATCTCCGGCGTGTGTATGCCGTTCTGGGATGACGGTACCAACTGCTTGTACCTGGCTGGGCGTGGGTAAGTACACAAATCATAACCCTTGTCCCTGGCCATTTTCTGACATCCAGCAGTGACGGCAACATCCGATACTTCGAGCTTGAGAACGACAAGTTCGAGTTCCTCTCTGAGCACAAGTCCGCCGACCCGCAGCGAGGTGTTGCGTTCATGCCCAAGCGTGGTGTGAACATGCACGAGAACGAAGTTGCGCGAGCCTATAAGACTGTGAACGATCAATATATCGAGCCTGTTTCATTCATCGTTCCCCGTCGCTCTGAGAACTTCCAGGACGATATCTACCCCCCGACTACTGGAGTTGCCCCTGCTATGTCCTGCTCCGAATGGCTGGGAGGCAAGGAGGCAATCCCGCCTAAGATCTCCATGGCTAGCCTGTTCGATGGCGAGGGTATCAAGGAGGTTTCTGGGGCGGAGGAAAAGCCCACTGGTTCCATTGAATCCCCTGCACCCCAGGCTGCCGCCGAATCCCCCAAGGCAGTCGAGACACCCAAACCTACCGAGGCACCCAAGAAAGCCTCTGAGCCCAGTTCGCCCAAGATCTCCGAGCCTGTCCCCCAGCCCACCCCTGTTGCGCGTCCCGCTCCATCCATGAAGGACCAGGGTGCCTCTATGGCCTCTATGGTCGACAAGTTTGCTGACGGCGAGGAGGAGGGCAATGTTTCTGACGATGATGACTCGAGCTTTGAAGAAGTCCCCAAGCCGGTGGAGCGTCCTGTCCGCTCCGCCGCCGCAACTGAGACTTCTTCTCCCCGGGTCAGCAGCCCGTTGAGGCCGAAGGAGGTTGAGACCAAGCCCCAGCCCATTGTCTCTGTGAGTTCAGCGCTTCCGACGCCGAAACTGCCATCTGCTAATTCCCATCAGTCTCCTACCATCCCATCTCCTGCCAGCGAGACCCCCTCCCTTTCTACTTCCGTTCCCAAGAACGACATTGAGGAGATTAAAAACTTGATCGCCCAACAAACCAAGACGATTGCTACTCAGGCTCAGCAAATGCAAACTCTGACCGCTGAGATCGAGGCTTTGAAGAGCAAGCTGAACTAACTATCTTTTCCTCTCTGAAGACGGCTCTCGGGGCTGACTCCATGAGCTACAGCCAGACATATCGTGTGTTGAATTGGAATCACTTGTCTGAATTATATGAGCCGGTGCAGTGTGTGGATAAGTCTTTTTTCTATCTTTTTTAGCGGAATTGTCAATACATTGACCCATTGGAATCCAAGATCCAGATGACATGCCCAGGTGTTGTTCACAAGACCTAACCCTAGTACAAGTACCTAGGTAAGCACTTAAGTAGTAGACTCTGGAATCACATTTTTCGAACGTACTTAAGTACTTAAGTAGACTGACTCTGTTAATAATCCATGGATAGCGGAGCCCCTTCAGGTGGATGCACATTACACCTAGGAGCCGTGCCAAGAGAGAAGGCTCTGGATACCTCTACTTCTAAAGTTAAGGCTAGGTATCGGCTCCTATCCAAAGATATGAGTCTATGGGTAGAATCATACCCTCCAAGATTCACCTTAGCCTATCTGTCCACTTGAGCAGTTGCCTGCGCAAATTCTAGGGTTGGCATACCTTGCTCATGTGGTTCTAAAGTTATTCATTATATATCTATATCACTCTCCACTCATACTTAGAGCCTTGGAGCGCCATCCCCCCTCCTGAAGTCCAAGGCTGTTGTTCTCCATGTTGAGCTGATTCAGTCTCCATTTCCAGGAGGTTGCCTCCTAAAGCCCTGAAGAGAGGCTCAACAAATGCAACACTTTTGGTGCTGTTCTAAAGTTGATAGAAATGGGAGCCGAGAGTCCAGATGACGGCCCCCGGGGCCCGGGGACGACCTGACTAATTTGATGCCTAAAGATGCCTCGGGACTACCCGAAGCTCACACTTGACACAATTTGAGCGCCCTAGGGCGTGGTGGGTACTTCGTAGATTGGTAAGATTAAGGTAGTGAAGGCTAGGCATTGATTGCGGCCAGAGTTCTGCAAATGAGATGCAGCCATTAGATCTATACCCAGCAGCCAAGCGGTCTTGCCCCACAGCCCACGCCCTTTGCAACCTACGAGTAATTGCCAACACGGAGCAAACCCGACGGCTGAACATTCCAAAGTTTTCATAAGAGCGAGAAGACTGTGACCTTCGCAAACAATTTGAGGGAAACAAATCGACTTTGCCTGAAGTCATTGCTTAGCCGACACTGCGCCATGAGTGACTCGGCCACTTTTCAAACTTCCGTCGTTCAGCACGCTGGTATTCCTTACTTCACCCCCAGTAACAATGCAGGTGCGACGATAGATGCCGGAAACCCAGAGACCCCGACAATTTTCAAATCCCTGCAGATCAGAGATGTGACGCTCAAGAACCGGATCATGGTTGCGCCAATGTGCATGTATTCAGCCGAGTCCAATCCATCTTCGCCTTATATTGGAGCTTTGACGGACTACCATATGGCCCATCTTGGCCACCTTGCCCTGAAGGGCGTGGGATTGATCATCATAGAGGCCACCGCAGTCCAGGAGAACGGACGGATCTCGCCCAATGACTCGGGACTCTGGCAGAATGGCACCGACTCGGAGCAATTCAAAGGTCTCCAGCGTGTTGTGAACTTTATTCATAGCCGGGGTGCCAAAGTGGCCATCCAGCTGGCGCATGCAGGGCGCAAAGCCAGTACTATCACCCCATGGCTATCAAAGCAAGCCGGGAAACGAAGCTGGAGGGCTGATACGAGTGCGAGAGGATGGCCCGCTGATGTCGTTGGGCCATCTGGTGGTCCAGAACAGATCTGGGCTCCCGGAGATGGCTTCTGGTCTCCCCGCGAGCTAAGCACCGCCGAAGTCGAGGAAGTGATCGCGGCATTTGCGAAAAGTGCTTCTCTGGCTACCGCAGCGGGTGTTGATATAATCGAAATCCACGGCGCACATGGCTACCTGATAGCCCAATTTCTCAGCCCCGTGACAAACCATCGAACAGATAGGTTTGGTGGTTCTTTTGAGAATCGTGCCAGGATTATCAAGGAGATTTCAGCCCATGTCCGGTCCGTCATTCCAGAAGGAATGCCTCTGTTTCTCCGCATCAGTGCTACAGAATGGCTTGAGCATCTAAGACCCGACTCATGGGATCTTTCCTCTTCAATCAGGCTTGCAAAGACACTCCCGTCGCTCGGAATCGATTTCCTTGATGTCAGCTCTGGCGGTAACAGCAAGGACCAGAAAATCGACATGCCCAATGACTATCAAGTTGACCTTGCGGGTTCTATCCGCCGAGAACTCCGTGCTGAGGGACAGAACACTTTAGTCGGGGCCGTGGGGTTGATTACAGAAGCCTACCAAGCCCGTGAGATTGTACAGGGTGCGCACAACGACGAGGCAACACCGGCGGTGGCTTCGGATACAAGGTCACATCCTAAGGCTGACGCTGTGCTATTGGGCCGGCAATTTCTACGCGAGCCTGACTGGGTATTCAATGCAGCCGCAGCTCTTGGGGTCAAGATAAAACTGCCACTTCAGATTGGCCGTGCCTTCAGCATGTAAATTTCTCGCAATACATAGCTTCAGAATACCTGTAGACACTTCAAAGGTTCTCCATACGCAAATATTCGAGTGATTTACCCTGCTCCATGGATCCTAATCTCCAGGTACTCTAACTGAGAGATAGATGTATATTTAGGCTCGCCAAAGGGACAGAACTAGAAACAGTGCTAAGCCAACGTGAACAATCTTGATCACTTAGGAGAATGGCGTGCTTTATGTTCAATTCGAGCTTGTTATGACCAAAAAACAATGTCTATTCAAGGGAGTAGCCCTGGAGTTGTCTGTAGGGCGTCAAACCCGTGGATAATAAGGTTCTGCGCCCTAGGGCGCCGAGACGGCGAAAATCCGTAGCATTCGGGATCTATACAGACACTTGCCATATCCCGAGTCCTCCAAGCCGAGATTTGCAGATACTGAAATTGTTTTAAATTTTGCTTCTAAAGTTCCAGAATCAACAGATCAATCATTCTAGGATTGAACATCTCTTACTCTTACCTTGTAGGGTTATCTTGCAACTTGGACATTAGAGCACGACACATAGCCTACAGCCCTGGGTCCCGGATATTTCTGCATTAATTGCTATTTGTAAAGTCACGGAATGGCGACGCCACGTAGGCTAAATGCGGAGTCGATGTCGCCGAAAGGGCGCCCTAGGCTTTCTTCTTTTTCATTGAAGACCAAAAGTGGGTGAATTAGGGATCCTACTTAAGTAGGGGGTTGGTGCTTTACTGCCTGATGGAAATCTGCTATAATTGAAGTTTGATAGCTATACCATTCACACATCCTACCTCCCCTGGTATCATTTCTCGTTATTATTAAGTTTCTGGCTCCCTGCCATACTCGCCATCATGGCAGCCCCAATCACCCTTGTCGTCGGTGCTTCCCGTGGGATCGGCTATGAGCTGGTTCGACAACTCGGGCAGGACCCTACTGAAACTGTCGTTGGGTCCCTACGAAATCCGGAGAGCTTTCAGCCTCCCCACGATCACGTCAAATATCTCGCTTTGGATCTTACCAACTCGGCGTCGATCACCAAAGCGGCTGCGAATATTGAGGAACTCGACACCCTGATCATCAATGGTGCTATCGGTGATAATGAAAGGCTGAGTTCTATTCCCACGGCGAGATTGAGTGATTACCTGGACACAAATGTGGTGGGACCGCTGCGCGTGGCCCAATCTTTCATTCCGGCTCTACTTCGTCGACCAACCCGCAAAATTATCTTTATATCTTCATATTGCGGTTCATTCGGTGTTCAAGTGGACAACCTATGCGGTTGGGGAGGTCTGTATGCCGTTTCCAAGGCAGCGGAGAATATGCTTGCTCTTCAGCTGCACCATGAGCTGAAAAAAGATGACTTCACGGTGATTCCAATTCATCCGGGCAATGTGGCGACAGACATGGGAAACATTGGCGGTGGTGGCGGAACACCAGTGGACGAAGCAGTGGGAAGAATTCTCACGGTTATTCGTACTGCAACACAGAAGGACTCGGCCAAATTCTTTAGCCACGATGGGTCAATCCTGCCGTGGTGAGATTCTATGGCTGTTCACGAAGAGGGTTGATCGTATGTACAGCGAAATTTGGTTAGTCTGATGAGAATCGTGTGAAGTCAACAACCTGGTATTGATTGATGGTTACTGTTCTATCATATTGACTTGAAGGCTTAAGCTAGTGCGTTGGATCTGATACCAAGGTTGTATTTTTGAATGTATCTTTATGCCGAGATAGTCATCCTAACTAATATCCATGGATTCAAATCCCCGCGCCCGAGTGGCCATGATCACTGCCCAAGCCCAGCTCGATAGAAAGGCACCATAATGTGTGTTAACAGACAGTTTGAGGTGCCATGGCCCAGCAAAGTTACGCTGTTCTTGTTAGACGGATAAAAAGCGGATCCACGACACAACTAGAGCTCATCCTCATATTTGTAGTTAATGCGACGGCCCGCCACCACCCGGTCCTGCCGGCTCTCACGGCGACGGCCGGAATTGGCCTTCTCCCGATGCTGCTGCTCGCGCTGCAAACGCTCCTTGTTGCGGGCCTCGCGCTCAAGGGTGTAAGGGTCTTTTTCGGGCTCGGATCTTTTGATCGATGTACCGCTCGATTGGTCACCAGTGCGAGTCTCATCACGCTTCACGCGCCGGGCTTGGGGATGTTCGGTGCCGTTGACAGACTGGGAACGATCGCGGCGGGATCGCTTGCGATCTCGCTCGCGTTCCCTAGGGCGGTCTCGACGATCCCGGTCACGGTCTTCGGCTCGGTCTTTGTCGCGGTCTTCGCGGCGACGCTCACGGTCTCGGTCCCGCTCGCGGTCCCGACGGCGAGAATCTCTGGATTGGCCGTGAGATCGGTCATCTTCACGTCGGACACGGTCTTTATCAGAGCGTCGACTGCCACTGACTCGACTTGCGAGATCGTGTGACCCAAGGGCTTCAGGGCTCATTTTGGCTCGGCTGCTAGAACGATGCTCTGGAATGATATCCAGGCGAGAAGATAATCGAGAATCTCCGTTCCGACTTGAGCTGCGGCTGCGGCTTCGACGACGACGCGAACGCTGTGATCGATGACCGTCTTTACGATCTCTCTCCCGTTCGTCATCCCCATTCCTGCGTCGCGAAGACCGACGGGATGATGTTCGTGACGGAGAGCGAGTGCGTCGAGCATCGGATTGGAGTTCGTCCACCCGATCCATGCGTCTGGGTTCTGCTTCCCGACGAGTGCCTTGCTCGTCTTCTGTACCGTGCATGGAAGGAGAACGAGGTCGAGAGTCAGGTCGGGAGTCAGGTCGCAAAGGTGATCCAGGCTGAGACTCGGATTGCACTGGGGCACTTACCCCGGTGTTGGGGTCACTATGTCAAGTCAGAATCGGAGATAGGGACGGCATACGCTATGGGCGTCCGACATAGCTCGAATAGATCATACCTAGGATTACTGGCTCGACCCGGAGCCATGCGTTGGCGGTAAACACTGGTGTTGGGAAGCCCTTGTCTCATCGCACGCGGGGCCGCTGGCGCCCCTTCCACCCCGGGGCCCGGAGGATTTCCATGTCCATTACTGCCATAGACCGACTGATCGTTAACAGTATGTCCTTGTACATGGCTATCGGAATTCATAGAAACTCCCTCTTCTGGATTTCCGTTCGGTAAATTACCCTCGCCCGCCATAGCGCTTGGATTGCTAGAATATCCCGAGTTAGCGTGGTGGTTGTATCCCCGACCAAAGCCCTGATATTGACCTCGGCCTCGACCTCGGAAGCTGCCACGACCATAGCCTCCATAGTAGCCAGACTGATAATTCGAAGGGTAAGCGGACATATTAGACCCAAACGCTCCTCCGTAAGGACCCGTGCCATTTGCGAATGCATTTGGATTGAATTTATTTTGGGCGCCTTGCCACATATTGTTGTTTTGGGAGGGGTCCCATCCTAGAGATCCATACATGCCACCGTTGTAGTTCCCAGAGTTCATACCCATGCCAGTCATGTTCATTCCGTAGTCACCGAACATCCCCTGATCTGCCATCGGGTCCATCCCCATGGGCATTCCTGACAAGCAAAAAAGTTAGCAGCCGCAAGGCCCGCGATATGAAGACTTTGACTCACCCATAGTGTTCGGGAAATTGAACATGCCCGCCATGTAAGGGTTCATGGCATTTCCGTTCCAGCCCATTGGAAAGTTCCCACCCATGTTGGGGGTGATGGTAGAATTGGAATCCTCTGGAACATCTTGGACTGGAGCAGATTCCCCGTCCATGGTGGATTCGGCAGGGTTCTCGACCGCGGGTTCGAGGGCAGTTTCGGTGCCATTGGTTCCGTCGACAGCTCCCTCGGACTAGATTTTAAGATCAGCAAACGGGGATCGAGACCCATGTTGCAGCAAGTTCATACCTGAGCTACAGGATCGGCTTCATGAGAAGCATGAGCAGTATCAGTGGAGTTGGGTTCAGCCACACTGGGCCCAACTGTGTGAGTGGGTGCATCCCCCTCCGGAAAGACCGCCTCTGAGACCTCTGAAGTCGACTGTACAGGTTCTGTGGAAGCGACAATATCCGCAGTTGCACCTGGGACCGGCTCTTTACCCTGGGAAGCAGACTCAGTCGCGCTGGCGTCCACTGGAGCGTCGTTAGATGGAGCTGCCGCAGATTGACGGTCCTTCTCCCGCTTCTTCTCTTCTGTGCGCAGGAAGGCTTTCAGGGTGGTGCGTAAAGCTTTGTTGGGTTTACAGAGATCCGGAGAGACCGGGGTATGAGTGCAGACGGGGCAGGTGTCGGAAAGGGAAGTTTGGCCTATGAAAGAACGTCTTAGCTATTGGCGCAAACTCAAGAGGGGATACACATACACGTCTCACATATGGACTGGTCACAGCAGGGGAGCCGGAAGGCATTCACTGATAGACTGTTGCAGATGGCGCATCTTAGTTTGAAGGGAATCTCGTCCTGGGCCAGGGTGCTGGATGGTGGGTTAGCAGAGGAATTTACGAGATCAAGCAGAATGACATACCTGGCAATGTCCATGAGACCGGGGGCATCCGCCACCGCCATGGCTGGAATAAATTGAGGCCTTGGGAGATCGTTACGACATTTGCGCAGGCTTGAAATATTTCGGATAAAGTATTTTGCCGGAGTTGGCGATGACGGAGAGTTGGATTGTGCGGAGTACTACTCTATAGCCTCTGTAGTACTCTTTGTGCTTAGCTACGAGTGCACCCTCAGATTAGATCAAGTAATTTGGCGTTCACAGACCAACAGCGATACTCTTGGTTTCAGCTGTTCGACTCGACGAGGTTGCTCTGTCGTCATCGGGTGCCTACGAGGCTACATAAAAGAAACGCACTATTTTATCATTATCTAGGGAGACTATACGGTAGAAAACAAAGGAGGACAGGTGTATCATTGAACATCTTCGGAGATTTGATCACAAACGAACATCAATTGAACATAAACGCGAGAACAGATGAAGTAAAGAGATAGAAAATCAAGGAGAAACGGGAAAAATGTCCCAATACGGTACAGTACGGCAGTACTTAAAAGAGCCCTTTCGTCTTAGAGCTTGGGCCCACTGCACTATTTTTACTTAACTATTTTTCGTTTATAATGGACTATAGACCACAATCCCCCGATCTCTCTTTTCCTACTCCCTTCTTCGCGTCCGACATGGCTCGTCGTTCGTCGCGCATTGCCCAGTCCGATACTCAGCCCACCTACGAGATGCCCGAAGACATACATCCTCTGCCCGAGGACGAGTCTCACCTACCCTACCCACCCTCGTCGCCTCAAGCTCAACCCGTCCAGCCGATTGCGCCTGAGATGGATGACGTGCCTCCTGGCGCGGGGATTGAGGTCAAGACCAAGTTCCCCGTTGCGCGCATCAAGCGCATCATGCAGGCCGACGAGGATGTGGGTAAAGTCGCCCAAGTGACCCCCATTGCTGTTTGTAGGTTTTCTCACTCTACCCCCCTCCCACACGCGTTTCGAGACACGCGCAAGATCTCACCGACTGAAAATTTGCTGACTGTATCCCTATAGCCAAGGCTTTAGAATTGTTCATGATCTCCCTCGTCACCAAGGCCGCCCAAGAAGCCAAGGACCGCAACTCGAAACGTGTCACCGCCTCCCATCTGAAACACGCCGTCGCCAAGGACGAGGTACTGGACTTCCTCGCCGACATCATCGCCAAGGTCCCCGATCAGCCCGCAGGCCGGAAGCACGAGGATGACGGGAGCGATCAAAACGAAGGTCGCCGGAAGCGTGGGGGCAGGCGACCCAAGGAGGAGAGCGATTGAAATTCCTCCTCGGAAATGATTTGACGACGTCCTAGATGGGATCGGGAATTTGGCGCATGGGTTGGATCGTTTTTATATTTGTCTTTTACTTTCAGGCGTTACACGGTGGGGGAGGATCAGATCCGGAGGCGCATTCTCTGTGAATACTTTTGGGCTCGAGGCACCTTGTGTCTGCGGAGTAGTTTTCTCTCTCTCTCTCTTTTTCATTTAATACATGAGCTACAGAGTAGATCATGCCTAGATAATCATCCCAGTTACTCTGTCTACCTGGTCAAAAGACACACCGGGTATACGATTTTCAGTGATCTACCAACTTCCTCTAGAACCACAAAACCAACTTCCAACTACCAAGTCCCTCCAGGTCTATAATTTGCTCTCGGGCGGGGGACGAGGACTTGCAGATGAACAATTGGTGCACTAACGTGCGGCGATCAACGCGATAAACAACGTCTCCACCTAACCCTCGACCCCATCACTCTCTCACAAGATCATGCTGCGAGAGAATGGACTTTGTACGTATCCCTTGCTTTTGCGCATGTCATATACACTAACTTCCCTCAGTGGTCTCGTTTGATCGGCGGCTCACGCGCGCTGTCCAAGTCCAAGGCCACATCCCCTACAGAGCGACTGACGGCCTTTAAACGCGCCTGCAACGCTCTTCAAGTACCATACCCTCAACACCCGTCAGCTTGTCCTTAACTGATCGATCGATAGCAAATATGGCGTTCAACCAATACCCCCTCGGGCGAGCAATCGGTGGCCCACGCGCGAGCCTACATCGAGCGCCTCAACTCCATCTTGAGTGAAGAATCCCGCGGACCCGCACCACACCCCTGTGTCGCCTATGCAGCGTCGTCTCAGGTCTTTGTCACAGTCACTAAGCTCGCTCTTTCATTCTACGACGATGGCGTTCTTAGATCAGCCACTATTTTCTTTAACACCCTGATTGATGCAGAGGTCGACGGCGTTGTGGATAACCGACTCTTCGCCCGAGCACTGGTAGATCTGGTTCGGCGTGCGGAGAAACCCTCCGATGAGATTGAAGGTCGACTCGTGGAATTGCTCTTTGGAATCGCCAACAACATTCGTCTTCAGCCTGTCATCTTGCCCGCGTGGTTTGTCCCTCGGGTAACCCCGGTCTCCCAGGACAGCGAATCCCAGGCCCCGAGTGGGACGGAATTCGCAGGGGCCACCAGAAAGGATGAATTTCCACTGTTTTATCTCCTGGTCGACTATGTCCACAGCGAGGGCCGCGCCGGCGATTTTGCGCGCACGGGATTGCTATATCTCATCGAGACTGCCTCGCGGTCAAAGAACCTAGAGCGGTGGCTAATTGAGAGTGACCTGGCCACGCTCATGGCCACCGGCCTCGGTGCACTTTACAGCCAACTGGGACAGTAAGAATTGATTTCCCGGTACCTCCGAGCAGAGCACTAATCAAAGTCAGCCTCTCATTCACCCCGGACGAGGATGTCCCTCATGTTGTCGTACTATCCGACCATGCCAAGCAGGAGACGGCCTTGAAGCCGACGCTGGGGCAGGCAATGGATGCCTTCATGTCGTACCTGCTTTTCTGGCAGGACACCATCGACCATTGCAAGTCCGCGGAAGTGAACGATACTTTGCTAGACCATTTCCAAGTGCTATTTCTAGAGCAATTGCTGTGAGTATTGATGACGCTCTGAAGGCTCAGTACTAACAAGCTCAGATATCCCTCATTATTAGAATCATCAGATGTTGCCGGCGGATCGACGGCAGCGGTATTAACATACATGTGCCGCATCTTAGACTCGATTGAGCAAGGTGAATTGGTCCATCGAATTTTACATTTCCTATTGGCATCATCCCCTAGGCCAGAAGAGCAAATGGATATGTCTGCGAGTCGACGGAAATCAATCAATGTGCTCGCTGCACTGGCCTCCGAAGCAGCCCAGCCGTCCCCATCTCTCTTCAATCTGCGTGATCTCTCCCTCCTGGGGCTTCAGTCCTCAAATCGTCAAACTGTGCTAGCTACCTTGCGCCTCCTAACCACCGTTCTCCAACGACACCATCCTTTTGCACGGGCGCTGATCCATACGATTCCGTTCCAGCCTGCACAGCAGCGCTCAGTGGGTGCACTGAACTCTGAACTCGAGCAGCTGTTGGCCATGGGAACCTCACTTGTCGATGATCCCACATTGAATGAGTCTTATGACAATTATGTCGCAGACGCAACGTGCGTACTGGAGTCCCGATTGTGCCTGCCTGTGCCTTCAATGGAGGAAGAGGAGCACACAATCCATCTCCCCCTAGCAATCCAGCAAGATGACCCCATCGTGCAAGCCCTTTTGGGGTGCCTTGAGACCTTCTTTACCAACAGCGTCATAGTCAACCTGGCGCTGACAGGCGTTTTCATGAGCCTGGCGTCGTCGCATCTATTCTCTCTGGATGGATGGGTGCTGGTTGACCCCAATCAGTATGATTCGCGGCCATCTGAGACCAATGACCATTTTGAAGACGTTCGGCGGGCCTACCAAGCACCGACTTGGCCTGCGACAGCCACGCCCACCTTGACCGCGGCGTTGCAGAAGCTTGTGAGCCAGATCCATCAGTGGCAGCGCGAAATTCCAGACTTCGACATTCTTGTGGCTGCTCGACGCGAGCTCCTCCACCATGATGATCGCCCACAAACTCCCGATAGATCGTCAGAGTCACCCATGCCTCCGAAAGACCGCTCGTGTCCATCTTTCCCCGGATCCCCGGACGCCGCTACACCAGCTTCCCGCGGTCGGTCACCGTATCCACCCACCCCGTCCGAGATCACCGATCGGGAACGGGCCGGGTCGTCTAACGCTCCGACCGATTCGCGCGAGTCCTCCAATACCCGAACCGTGGTCGCTGAGGCTCTTCGTCAGCGTCTTGCCACCCCATTCCCGCCTGCTTCCGCCGATTCATCCGCCACGGAGGAAACATCCAGCTCGGAGGAGACTCCCGATGCCATAGTCGCTACTTTAGGGCATGTATTGACGAACGTCGTGATCCTTTATGAGTTCCTCTTGGAGCTTTCGGCGGTGGTACAAGTACGAGGAAGTCTCTTTGAAGAAGCTGGCTATGTTTAATGTTTACAATCAGAGGAATCAGGGCTGATCGAACGGAATATGTAATAATCGAGTCACTGTATATTCCGGAGGATCTATAAATGTAGTTGTATAGGTACCTAGGTACATTATAGCGGAGATAAGAAAATAAGAATTTACCCCTAACCCCCTAAGTGCCAAGACCCCCGTGCCGGATCCGCTTACGGCGATTGGCAAGCTGCTTCTGTAACACCTTGACAACTTTCCTTCACTATGATTTGAGCCTCTCTCTTTTTCTTCTCTCTTTCTTGGTTTCTTGTTCATCCCTTCTTATACATATATATCGGACGGTATGACCCAAAATGGTACGTCATGATCCTCTCAGTGAGGACCGCGAAGACGAGCCATTCCTCGATGCCAGCGTCGCAGGCCCAGCCCATGGCCCAGCCCATGGCCATGTTCCCTCCAAGCCGAGCATTGGTAGCCGCCCAGTGGAGGCCAATCCCGCCAGTTCGATCAGCTTCCGGTTCAAAGTGATTCTGTTCTCCATGATCCTTGCCGTGGAAGTCGGCTTTGCTTTTCTGGAAGGTCCCATGGTGCGGATCATGGAAGCGATCGCATGTCGTCAACATTTCTTGGGCGCCGATCCCACAAAAATCGGGGTAGACGGGCAGGTGCCCGAAACCCTCTGCAAGATCGCCGAGGTGCAGGCGGAACTGGCGGCGGTCAAAGGGTACCACATGTTCTTTGATGGAACAATTTGCGCCCTACTGGCGATTCCTTACGGTCTGCTGGCAGATCGGAAGGGTCGTAAATCTACACTTGCTTTGTCTCTCCCCGGATTTGGCCTGAACACAATTCTGACTCTGGTCATATTGTGGTTTTCGGACATTTTCCCTCTGCGCGCACTCTGGTTCACTGCCTTGACATGGATGCTCGGAGGCGGTCCCGTTGTCTCATTTGCGATCATCTGGACTATGATGGCTGATGTGACCACCGAGTTGGAAAGGTAGATCACATGCCCGATTTGGATCAGTATCCGCACAATGTACGGAGTAGATGCTAACGAAGTTGTGCAGAGCCGATATATTTTTCCAGTTCGCCATCGTGTCAATGGGCGCCGAGTTCTTTTCAGCGGCTCTGAGCTCCTATTTGATGAGCCTGAACCCATGGATTCCGTTGGTCATTGGATTCGGAATCGTAATGAGCGGAATGATGCTCATCCTTATCCTTCCGGAAACGAAACATGCACTGCCGTCTCGGGAGCCTGTGCAACCTCACGTCGAGATGTCGGAAATACGGGATGCCAGCGAGCCAAAGCTCGATCTGCACGAATCCAGTGCGCATGACAGATATCACGACGAGCCCGACATCAATGGCGATCGTGTAGACGAAGCTCCATCGTGGAGTATTCCATCATACTCGCACCAATCATTCCTGACGAAGCTTCGCGCGAACTACCGCTTCTATCTGAAGCCATATTTGTTCATCCTGGGCCGCAAACCGGTGCTTCTCCTCCTCACCGCGTTCTTGGTCTACCGCCTGAGTCGGGGCTCATCGTGGTTCCTGGCCCAGTACATCTCAATTCGCTATTTCTGGACACTCGCCGAGTCCAACTTCTTGGTCGCATGTCGACCTTTAGTGTCCATTCCGCTGTTCTTATTTGGCCTCCCTTACTTGAAAAGCCGAGTCCTGAGCCCTCGCCGTTCAGCAACCGAGAGAGACCTCTGGCTGGCCCGGGGCAGCATTCTCTGTCTAACCTTCGGCACTCTTGGAATTGGTCTTTCGCCATCTATCGCGACCGTGATTCCCAGCATGATCATCCAAACCTCAGGATCGGGCTTCTTATACCTAGTCCGCTCGATCATCACTACCCTTGTCGAGCGAGACGAAACAGCTCGTCTCTTTACGGCCATTGAAATCATTCAATCGCTTGGGAACGTGATCGCAAGTTTGACTATCACCACCGTCTTCCAGCTTGGTCTGCATCTCGGCGGGGTTTGGATTGGGTTGGCATGGATGATGACCAGCAGTCTGTTCTGCTTAGTTGGATTGGCTATCTGGTTCTTCAAACTGCCCCCTAGTCCGACGCCAGAGTTTGTGGTGGAAGATTACGATGAGGATGATAGAGCGTGATCATTTCACAGCTGGGGATCTTGTATATTACTCATGGCTTTTGCTCGCATTGAGGGCGTTTATCTCTTTTATTCTGCATACGGGGCTTCATATAGGTATATAGAAAGATACAATTACTTAACCTCCAAATCCCTCACTCCATATTTCCCGAGGCTCTTCCTGTTAGATTGTATAGATCTTTATCGATCAGAAATTGTGGCCTCAGGCCTCAGTATCACGTGTCAGCTTGCAGCATGTGAAGATCATATCTCCAACTGGTGATGGTTTCTCCGGCGTGTCAGCATTTATCGAATACGCTCCGAGTTCAAACTGCATTCTCCAGGGTTATCCCGGCAGTCTATCCGCAATATCCAAGGCCGAAAGAGGTGCCATTGATTGAGCCCGAACTACAGCAACATGGAGAGATATTCCCAATTCCGAGATCGAGGTATAATGCGCTCCCAACAATTATCCCAACCCCTCCAGCAACCAGGCTGACGACTATCAGGGTCCGGTATTGCGCCCTTCCTCCCGATTCCAGGTGATCCACTGGGTCTTCAAGCGCCTTTGCGCGTATTTTTGTTCTGCTTTCGCCTTCCACTCTTCATCTTCGTTACTCTTAGCTATTTTCTGATACTACAATGGCTTCCGATTGGCTCGCTGGGTAAGAAAGCTGCTTTGTGGTGCATTCTTGGAGTTCCCAGCGTCTGGTGGGTTGACTTGCAAGTGGATGGGGTGCGGAAAGGGTGTGTACTACTTTATCCCGCGATAGCGAGCATCTGGCTGACAAGCACCTACCAACAGCTCCTTGAAGCAGCAGCAAGCTCGATTGCCGCAGCCCGGCTCTGTCATCGCCTCCTCCTTCACATCGCCCATCGACGCGATATATTTGGCAGCTATCTTCGACCCGATCTTCACAGCATCCTACCCCAACACCCGTCAGGTCGAGCGCATTTCCCTGCTCCAGGCTGTCTTGCGAGCTTTCGCCACCCCTTTGACCGAACCGAGTCCCAGTGCGCGGATGGTGGATGTATCGACGCTTGTTGAGAAGCACCCCAACCGGCCCATTGTTCTGTTCCCAGAGTGCACCACAACGAATGGCCGTGGGATCCTAGCCCTCGGGAAATCTCTCCTGAGTGTTTCCGCCCAGACCAAGATCTTTCCCATCAGCCTACGCTACACACCTATGGATATTGTCACTCCCCTTCCTGGGAGCTACCTGAGCCTGTTGTGGACGCTACTCAGCAAGCCCACACACTGTATCAAAGTGCGCATCGCCGAGAGTGTTACGGCGAGTCAAACCGCACTCGATATGCCACCTGCACGCTCAACCCGCAAGTCGACTTACAGCACTAACTACTTGGACGGCATGGACCAAAACGATACAGAGGAGAGCTCGGCCAACGAACAGGCCTTGCTTGGAAATGTGGCGGACTCTCTTGCCCGCCTAGGCCGCGTGAAGCGCGTCGGGCTGAGTGTCACAGAAAAGAAGGAATTCGTTCGAGCCTGGAAGCAAAGTCGTTCGACGTGGTGAGCTCAGTACATATCTCTTTCGGAGCTGTTATAGAACTTACCAGCCATGATTGCGCCCCAATATTACCCGAATGTATATCCCACTTAATTGACTTGCAACGTGTTAAGTCAATTCAGGATGGCAGTATCTATCTCGGCTATTCAATTGGTTAGACCTAGGTATAGACGCCCTCTGGCGCCAAGGTAGGCCAGGTTGAGAGCTCCATGATCAACCAACTCTACTAACCCCATTCGACCGAGCTTAGTCTCACTAGCACCCTTCCAAGGTTGCCAGGGCTACTCGAATAATTATTTACGCAACAGTAATGCACTTGAGCATGGGCCTGAAAGCAGCATGGTCTAAAGCGTATGTGTATGTGGCTCTGGCCTAGAATGCGGCCTGAGAAGTAAAAGGTCGGGAGTTGTCAAAAACATCAACCTTGAATGCAGTTACTCCGGACAACTAAGAAATCCAAGACAAGCCGTCTTCCAAGGTTCGCCATGTCAGGCCAATACTAAGTACGAGAATCGTACTTAAGTAGGACAATTCTGATGTATCGATTTTGTACTCCCAGCGTATAAACAACATAGAGTATGTACATGTTTGGGGCAAACCTGCGGTGAGGGTATCATGTAGGTATTGTCGATATCATATGTATGAGCAGACATATATACATGAGTTCGTCTTCTTTTGACTTGGAAAGTAGTACAAGTAGCCTCCGGTGTGGTCAAGGCTCCTGGCAAATGTTGCGAGTACTGCAACTTGTCACTCATCCATATGTGGAGCTGGACTTCTAAGGCATTCCCGCAGAGAGTACTCCATACCTAGGTACTAGATGTGTATTCAAGAGAAAGCAAACAGAAGCCAGTAGAACAAAAAGGAGGATCCTGAATTGTCACTTTAATGCCCGTGTTGCCCAGGCACATAACCTGGAAATGCCAAAGATCTCACTATCCTCCATCTAAGTATTGGTCTTGCTTCAACTTGAGAAGTATTCTCCCGTTAAAATTCCCGAGAGAAGATCTCTGGATCAGGCTGTAACTGGTAACAGCAAGATGGAAGCTCCTCTCATCCTCCTTCCTCCACCATCATTACTCTCTATTTTCCGTTCCTGGCACTATATTTCATTCATGTTTTTGATGAACCTTCTCCTAGCAGCTACTGCGACGGCTGTTGCTCTAGCAAGTCCAACCGAGGAGCTCAACTCATGCCTCGGGCATATCCTCACCCACCGTGAAAACATTGCAGTCTCAGGCGACACGTTCTACCAAAGGTGGGTAAATCGATATAATCTAGATATCCCGGTGACCCCAGCAGCAGTGACTTTTCCAAGGTAAATGATATATCTCAATGTGCAGATGCATATTCTCGCTGACTCCAAACAGGTCATCTCAACAGGTTGCTGCCGTTGTTAAATGTGCGGCGGAGAATGGATTTCCAGTTCAGCCAAAGAGTGGAGGACACGGCTATGGCAACCACTGTGCGATTCCCCGAGCCAATTTTCGCGTACGAATTTTACGAGGCGGACTAACGTGGAACCCACGACAGGTCTTGGAGGAGCAGATGGCGCTGTGGTCGTTGATCTGAAGTATCTTCAACAGTTCTCTATGAACCGCAAAAATTGGCAAGCCACTATTGGAGCTGGAACATTGCTTGGGGTTGTAACAAAACAGTTGCACAACGCTGGGCGGCGAGCAATGTCACACGGAACATGTCACGAAGTTGGCTCTGGTGGTCACTTTACAATTGGAGGCTTTGGACCAACCTCACGACAGTTTGGCACCGCGCTGGATCATGTGGTAGAGGCTGAAGTTGTTTTGGCCAACTCCAGCATTGTCCGTGTTTCCGATAGTGAGAACCAAGATGTGTTCTGGGCCATTAAGGGTGCTGCATCTGGGTTTGGGATTGTCACGGAGTTCAAGGTTCGGACTGAGCCGGAGCCGACAACTGCAGTGCAATACACCTACAGCTTGAAAGTTGGCACCCCAAAGGAACAAGCAGCTCTGTTCAAAAGATGGCAAACCCAAGTTGCCAACCCCAGGTTGACTCGGAGATTTGCCTCGACACTAACTGTGCTTGAGCATGGTATAGTCATCACCGGTACTTTTTTTGGTACTAAAGAGGAGTATGATACCTTGAACATGGACAACCAGTTTCCAGGCACCATTGGCGGTACAATTTTCATACACGGCTGGTTAGGGCTTGTCACCCACTGGGCTGAGCGTCTGGTGCTAGACTGGATTGGTGGTATCCCAAGCTTTTTCTACGCAAAGTCCTGTGCTTGGACACCCGAGGACCTGATGTCCTCCGAAACCATTGACAGGCTGTTTGACCTTATTGCCACTGCCCAAAAGGGGACCCTGGCATGGTTTCTGCTATTTGATCTTCAGGGCGGTCGTACAAATGAAATTCCAACTGGAGCGACCTCATATGCCCATCGCGATGTCCTTATTTGGATGCAGACATACACAATCAATCTGTTTAGACCAATCTCGCAGACACAGAGAGATTTCTTGGGCCAGGTCAATACACTGGTCACTGGAAATGAGCGTCCCTATGCTGCCTACCCCGGCTATGTTGATCCCTTCCTGGAGCATGGAGCCGAGGCATATTGGGGAGAGAATCTTCCCCGGCTACGACGGATCAAGGCAAAGATTGACCCTAAAAACGTGTTCCGGAACCCCCAGAGTCCTTTACCAGCTGAGATCTGAAAATATCTTTTCATACTGAGTGTGTATCTACTGTCGACGGTTGGCAACTCAAAGATACTCCGGCTCGTTTCTGGAAAACATCTAGAATTTGTAACTGTATTTCTTTTTGGTTGAACAAGAAAGACAGGCGCAGCATTCAAAGTGGACTCTTGACGAAGAGATAATGCCTGAATTCGACAAAAGAGGCATACAGTAGTGGGAATGATTTCAATATTTTTCTATAGATAGCTGGTGCCGCACCGAGACGCGGAACCACTCCGCTGTTCTACCTCTACCTCGTCCCTTCAAAGACTCTTCTCCCCTTGGCAATCCAAAATATTCCACTAAACGCTAGGACTGCACCAAAGACCACGGCCGCGTAATTCATATTCTCGGGTGTAACAGGCTGGTATGGCGGGAAGAAGAGAAAGATGACAATCACAGAACTATAAATCATAGCCAGCACATTCATTATAGGTCCGAGTACTTTGCCAAGGTTGAATGGGCCGTACTGCAAAGGTGGCCCGGTCATGCGGCGTGACAGGTGCAGGACGATGGGTATCAGGTACGAAACGTATAAACTTACGACGGAGAGAGAGACGATTGCGTTGAAGGCGGTTGTGCTTCCAATATTAATTAGACCGAGGAAGGCCATGAACACTGTGCTTGAGGTTATAGCGTGGAGAGGGAGCGTGGAGGATGTGTTTATCTTCGGTGGATTAGGTGAGGTTTAGTCTGACAGGCCCACAAGTATTGCAGAGAGGCTAAACGACGAACCTGAGCGAGAAACCGAGAGAATGGCAGACCTCTATCCCTAGCAAATGCCCAAGTTGTCCTTGACGTCGACGCGAGCAAGCCAAATGTGGACGCGATGGCCACAGAGATGAATGGCGTCATGAGAGCGGTGGTTGCTGCCTGAGAGCCCGTGGTGTTATAGAATATCTGTATGATAGGGAATCCTAGGGAACTTTTGAGGACGCTTTCTGTATCCCCGAGGCAAAAGAGGAGAGCGAAGAGAAAGGCAAGGCCGAGCAGACTGTTCAGTGCGATGGTTCCAATCATGACACGGGGTAGGACGACGGATGCATTGTGCATCTCTTCGCCTGTGGATGGGAGGGACATCAGTTACGACAAAGGAGTCAAAAAGATTGAAAGAGAATTGGTAAACATACTCAAATGGCAAGCCCCATCGTACCCAACCAGCACATAGCTCGCACTCAGCAATCCTAGAAACCAAGCAACGCCATCATTTTCCCACCCAGAACTATTCTCAAATGTTGTAAAGACGTACTCGGCGCTTTTATGTGGCGCCAGCACAACAAGAGGGATGATGACGGCGATTAGCGCGACGATATGAAAGATTAGGATACCATTCTCAATGATAGGCATTAGTCTAATCCCAACTGTGTTGACCAGGAAGGCGAGGAACAGAATCGTCCAGTATATCATCGTGCCGTGCCATCGCTCAGACTGGTAGTTGGCATATTGGAGCACCACGAGGCCCTGAATCATCGTCCCGCCGAGGAATGCTGCACTAGCGGTAAATGCTTGCCACCCGAGCGTCGTTATCCAACCAGTGATCCAGCTACATAGGCGAGCGTAGCGTGGGGGTGCTAGAATGACCGCCCATTGGATTTGGCCAGCGCTGGTAGGGGAACTAGGAAGACTATTGTTAGTAATGACAAGCAACGTTAGATCAGACCCGAGGAACAAACAGAGACGCCAATTCTGCGAGTGAAAGACAAGTTGCCATTGTCCCAACGAGAGCGAGGATGTATCCATAAAGTAGTGCCACAGGTCCGCCAGCAGTTAAACCTCCTGCAAACACGCCGCCCATGGCCTCCCATGTTGCCATGAGCGTGACGCAGACTGCGAGCACATTGAGAGTGGAGAACCGTTTCTAGTAGACAGTCATATTGTTAGCCGACTGAGTGAAGAAGAATTGATGAAATTCTAAAGTTGGCTTACTTGAAATTCTATCCCTGTGCCTGCAGACACGGAAATATTCCGCTCAAGATTGTTCAAATCATCAGACTTCTTCTGATCTGTCATGTTGATTCGCAATGTGGTTTTGGATCATACGGGCCATTGGATTGTAGGAACCGGGGACAGGTTTATATGGCACATTGCGGTTATCAAAAGCCAGTTCTTTCATGACACCTATCTTATAGATACGCTGATCTCTACAGTATCAAGGGTGTTGGGCCCAATGTCTCGCAAATTGCTGGTGCTAAGCGTCCCACTTTTGGCGAGGCGCTCTTGAGTCAAGAGGCTAAACGCAATCCGGCCAAGTAGTGCGATCTCATGCTCCTGGCCAAGACACGCATATACCGCTAAGCCCTTTGTGGGCATCTACAGCGAAGGAGATCTAAATATAGTGTCGAGGTATTCAGTCGGTTGAGGCCCGCGGTTCATATCAGCTTTATCAAGGCTCTGGATTTACCCCATTTGGACCGGATGCAATATAAGAAGATATTGTTCAGCGATTGGCTGTGTACCTAGGTAGTGCTTTGGCCTATATGTATTTTGCCTAGCCAAAGAAAGTAGACAGGTTTTCCTCCATCATCACGTCCATCCAGCTAACAAAAGTTTGTTGTGGGTTGATATCCGCGCGCATCCACACCCCCTCCACAATCTGTTTGGCGTGGCCCACCGAATCTAGACCTACGTAGTCATGTAGTTCTTTTATCTTCTGCATCACAACAGACCTCCAATGATTTATACTTGTGTCCTGGCTGAATAACGACATGATCCCCTGGCTTGGGTCTTGGCAGGTCAAAGGGAACAAAGGCACATCAATTAACCTCTCTGGGTCTGCTTGCAGAGCACTCCCCGCGAGGATCAACGGGAAAACTTGGATTGCTTTTGTTCGTGACGTGTTCGCGATAGTTGCAAGAAGAGTCAGGATATTTATTGCAAGAGTGACCAGTATGTGTCTGAAATAGCCTTGAGGCCGGCAGCCGTCCAAGCTAAGCAGATCCGGAAACAAGCGATAAACCTCAAGAAGTATCGACAATTGATACACTTTACCAATAGTTTCGAGGTGAGTGGGTGGAGTGAAAGCATCGCCAGTATCCTGGATTTGGTCTGCTGATAAAACCACAAAAGAGCGTACGGATACTTCGATCTTCCTCGCCTGGCCAAGAAGAGAGTGGTGCATCTCCCCCTCATGAATTGGGGTACCGGAGAGGTGACCCAGTTTATGTAGAAGATGCATCTGCCTTGACAATGTTCCCACTTGTGCCAGGTGGATAAATAGCGGGGTGCTTATTCCGGTCAGGGGATGAGAGCGACACCCCTCGATCTCCGCACAACTCTGCGAATTCCAAACATCCCACAGATAATCCACAGTGGCTAGATTCTGATTGACGTGAAATGAGGCAAGGGACTCCCAGAAGGCCATCACACCGACTAAGAACATCGTTTGCGGATGACCAAGGGCGAGAGGGGCAGGCCCTGTGCCGCTGCTAGTGATCCATTTTCTGAAAAGTGACCGGGCGCCTTGCAGATGAACTAGATCTAGAGTAGATACATCGTGCCAAGTCTGTTGTCGATTAGCGAAACGTCAGGCGGTCAGTAAGTAGATGAAGACTCTACCTAGGTAACTTACAGAGGTCATGCCGAGGATAATAGCAGATAGAGTCAAACCAGTAGCATTAGAGTGGCTAAGTGCCGATAACGCGTTGTCGCTATCATTGGTAGCTTGCGAGATACCCCAGGACAACTGCGAGATAGCCTGCGTTCTATATTTGAGTGCGTATCTCGACCGATGCTTTTCACGATGATGTAAGTGGGCGGCGGACATTGCGAGCACCGAATTAAGAAGAGCCGATGAGGACGGTATGAGCCCTTGAATCAGGGACCGAAGTGGATTCATGGACGAGTCAAAGATCGATAGAATACCACAAACTCGAGAAAAATAGTATCGCAGCAGTCTATCGCTTTCTAGTTCTGTGTGGACGTATAGGCTGGAAAATGTTGTTTCCTCTCGGTTCCCTCTCTCACTCCACATACCCAAGGAAGTTGAAGGGACATGAAAGCTGGTGTTGCCAGAATTCTCTGTGCTATTTTCGGCCCTGTCGCTTGTAAGGTCGTCAGTCACGGAGTGAGAGGCTGGGATGGAGGTGCAGGCAGTCAGATTGGAGGCAATCGCAGCTTCCAATCTCGTCGCTCCTTCCAAAAACCAGGGCAAGGGAGTCTCAGTCGGTGGCTCTTCGCTCCGAAGTTCCATTGGCAAGAGCACTTCATATTTATCGGACCATTTCAGCCCCCTGTTATACCCAGGGCATTGCTGTCCTCTCTTCGCACATCCCGAACACTGTGGTAACTTTTCATCACATTTGACACGCTGAAATCGGTCAGACAAGGTCGGTTTTCAGTCGCAGCTGGGGTGTCTCACTCGCGCTTTGCAAGTCTGGCATCCCGCTTGGATTGTTTAGTATCCTCATGTTTTGGATCATGATGAATCTTACCGCGCGATTTGATCCTTCTGCGAGAATTTGAAGTCTTGTCTAAGGGCATCTTTGCATATTGATGCGATGGGAATCAACTCCAAGAACTCTTATGTTTGTACGGCGGAGCATTTCCGCCTTTCCCGCTTTGTCATCTCCGATAAGAGATAAGAGAGATAAGACCCGAGATAAGAATCAATTGTACGCACTTCCAAGGTTCCTATTGGACTATGTGTCTAAATGTATGGGTTCACCTGGACAATAATCAAATGTGCGCCTCCCGTATAACCATCCCTGCTGCATTGGTCTCGGCCAAAACGGTGGCATACGAGCCAAAGGACATGTGAACCAGTCTTGCCGGCTTCGGATCCCAGCAGAAGAACCGACCCGTCGAGCGCATATTCTCAAGATCAACAACGACAATTGACTCGACAGGCATGATCTTTTCGGTCCAAAACAGCAAATACAACTTGTCATCCAATTTGAGCATCTTGCAAGGCTCTGTATCTGCAAGTCCCTTTTCCGTTCCGCTGAGGCAGTGCCAGGTGAATGTCCCCTGGTTCAGGTACACATGCTCATACGCGTCCCGGGGCGTGTATCGGTAGAGGATGTGCTTTCCAATGAGATCTGCGGTGGGTGCAAAGGGTATGACATTCGCGTATCCTTCAATCGAGGCATCGGTGAACTTGGTCCAAGTACGCTTCTGTCCATCTTCTCTAACACGGAATCCAGAAAGTCCGACAACGACCTGACCAGAGGTTAAACTGATGAATAGACTGACTTGTTCTTCATAGTCGGCCTTGTAGAAGTCAACAAAGAAGATGTTTGGTCGCACTTCGAAGGCTTTGTACTGCGCGGTTCCTCTTTGCTTGGTTTGCCGTATTTCCCATTCCAAAGTTTGGGCATCAACGAATTTGTGTGTAATGCATGTCTGATCCGGATCCGCAAATATAAGGGCAAGGGAATTCCCAGTAAGCTTGTGTGACTCAGCCATGAGGTGCTCGCGGAAACCGACTGCAAGGGATTCCAGGTTCGGCCATTCAGAGATGGGGATGTAGCCTGGGGCCTCGATTGAAGAAATGGCAGCCATGGTAAGAAGGTACTGACTTCTCTGTCAGTCACCATCAAGGGAGAACACTATGGAGTCTTTTTACCTAGTTATACTTTCTCGTCTCAGATGTTGGAATGGTTGGCAGATGTAGAACAACCTCGCAAGGTTCTCGCTTCGTGGTTTTATACATGGGAATCCTTTCAGAGTGCCATACAAAGTACCAGCTACTCAAGCAAGCTCAGACCTGTTTGGTGATGGACATAATGATCGGCCACTTGAGCATGGTCCGAATGTTCCACCGGCCTCGCACTTTATGTCCTAAAGAGGTTTAGGGTATGTACTACCCGGCTCTTTGGCGCCCCCCCTTGGGGGGCTTCCCTAGCATACTCGTAGTAGAATGGCTAGTGTAATAAAATTCATCATAAATTAGTTCTCAAAAATAAAAAAGTAGTCCCTAAGGAACAAATCAACTCTTTGACACTAAGAGAATAAGATAGGATAAAGTTCTTTATTAAAGTGACTTACAGTATCTATAGATGAAGATAGAGAAAGTATTATTCGCTACTTAAGTACTGTTCCATGATTGAATTCGAATCTGTTTCACTGGTTATAATTTAAACATAAAACCAGCTAGATACATATGTACTCCAGGCTTAAACCACTTGCTCTGTCAAAATAGAGCTATATCCTCCTTTGTCATCATCATTCAGCCACTCCACAATACCGGCCAAGTTGTCCAAGCCTATAATCATATGCAGAGAGCTTTCGATAGGGGAGTAGAAGTAGAATGATGAAGGCGAGCCTGCTTCAAACAAATACATATTATTACCAGTCCATCCCTCCAGCGCGTAGAGTGGCTTCAGATTGGTTTTGTCGAGATCAGCAGACTCGAAGAAAGTTTCCATGAATCCTCCTTCGCCCCAATTTTCCTCACCACCTAGCTGCTCAAAGTCATTGGTCCATCCGATCGGCGGGTCGATATTCTTCAAAAGATAAGTCTTGTCAATATGGAATCGAATTCAAATCAGCCTTGATGTGTGATCATACATTTCCGGCCCCAGCGATAAGCCTGCCATCTACTTCCTCCACGCCTTGCGCAGTACTCATTATCAATTCAAGTAACTGGAACGGTAGTGGAATCGGATTTTTGGTAAATGGACTAGGTAGAGTGAGAGGATGTTGAGAAAGGCAAGAATGCGTGGTTTGGTAGATAAGAGGAAATGCTGGATGATTTCCCCTTTTATACCTCTCTTTCAAGAACCCCACCTTGAATATTCCCGAACTCTCTACTGCTTATTGACTACGACTAAGTTCCAGTTGTCAACCTCAGATCGACGGTGGGGTAACTATATACGTCATATCTTGGTGACGTGGGTCTGGAAATTACCTACATACTCGTATGTACATAGGTAGGTAGTGGCTAGATAAAACAGACAGATGAAGAGAGAGCGATCTAAGCCTGCATCCTATGTAGTATCTGGAATATTGAAAGAGAAAATCTTAGAGTGGAAATGGGGGTAGAGAGGTGTTGAGTATACTACTTAAGTATGATGCAAGTCACCCCAGAAGCTCTAGAGTAGTTCGTCTTAGCGAAACCATATCAACTAATACCGGCATGTGTAACTTTTCTTATACTCATCCCTCCCGTCCATTGAATATTGCTTTTCCATCTACTACACTCACTAAATGAGGTTTGCAGCTTTAGCCTGGATTCTGTTTATTATTTATAAAGTGGTGATAGACATGCGTGGCAAGCTGAATACATACATAACTTAGAACTGTGGGGTGGGCCCACCAAACCGGTTCGATGAGGCTGGGATCAACGCTACCATGGGCTTCTTATGACGAGATACAGATCTATGTATAGGTTTTATGTATCAGTCAAATTAGTTATGCCATTTAATTAGTCAATACAACTTACTCTCATTACCCGCCTAGAGCTGATTGGGTTGTGTTTACTCAGATCATAAAGGATCTACTCGTAGTACACGCAAGAAAAGTGATTGATGATCTTAATTTCTTGATTGGTTACAACCTGGCTGCTGTGTGCCCATACTGTGTACGAGTAGTACAGTGCATGGGCCAATAGAAGGGCTATTGAAGGAGGGTTATACATAAAGAGGGATGTCGTCTGGCCTTATTATTGTACTTATCAAATAAATCACACTATGTATGTATGTAGTATCTTGACGGAACCCAGCGGTTTTTCGGCCCAAAAAGTGGAGCCCTGCATAGTTCGCATTTATTGCAAACTATGTCGAAGCTAGAAGGCAAAGTAGCAGTTGTGAGCAAGTTTTACGAGGGAATGGCTCGTTCCTCGTACTTAAGTAGTCTGCATGGACGGTCCTTTTTAACTAAGCCGTCTAACAGGACTTCTCATGCCTTCCAGTTTGTAGGTCCATGATCAATAGTCTTCGGACTTTGATGGCCCTAGAACCCCAGAAATTGAAGCATAGGATCCTTGCATGGTCGTACTCACCCCTGCTCTGCTGCCCATTCCTCACTCTGACGAGAATACCAGTCCCATCGAAGTGCCCACATCTCCTGATATAAATCCCTGGAGCACTGAAAACACAACCCGACCTTCCTTTCCACTTGTTCTGGTGGTATTCCAGAAATGCCAAGATGGTCCGCACGGAAAGGGCTCCCGAGACATGCTACTCGGTAGTGCAAAGGTATGCCAAACTCTGCGCAGCGTGCAACTCTGCCAGAGCAAATGCACCCACAGAGCTCCCACACGTCATACATCTGAACGCACATACTGGGAGAATCTGTGGTATTTTGAATTGAAATCTTGGAAAGTGTCTTTGGACAGCTCTAGAGGGATACGAATCTGGTCTATGGCTGCGTAGCGTTGTCTGAGATGTAAATAGCCAAACAACTGGAGGTAGGTATGTAGAGGAGGTGCTGGAGATTTATACATCCATAGAGACTCAGGTCCAGCAAGGTATCTAAATCATTTAAATGCTTCTGTTGCTTCAAAGACATTGTCAACTAGTTCTTTGTTTCTGAGGGCAAAGACCGTAGAGATGGACAAAGACAATAACATTGTGACCAAATGTCAAGAATTACCTGCTGCAAAACCAGAACACTGGGGTATCTGAAAGATGAAATTGAAAGAGTGGAATGCGTATAGGTCGTTAGGTGGATGATGCACAAGATAGTTATCTCGTACTCAGAGCAGCTCGAGCCATAGAATCAATACGTCGGGAGTACAGATCCATGAAATGCATGACTGGATCGCCAAATACAACACCTTTGAGGTCGGCATCTACGATGCCAAAAGCGTCAACATTTTCCTTTGGGGGGAGAGCAGGAGGAATCCCCGGACTGTTGGAACTACCAGCCGGCGAGATAGCCATCGGTCGACCATTCAATTGATCTCGGGACCGAATAACAACAAGCCTACCTGCTAGTGAGAGGGTAGACCTAGGTATTCTCCAATAACTAGGAGCAGTCGTGTTCTTCCGGTCGTACAAGGTTAACAGCGACCCCGGTGCCGGTTTAACATATAGATCCAACAACGAGAGAAAGTAGCCTTTGTCGGCCCGAGCCACCGGGTCTCCCTCATTGATGAAGGCAAAGAACATGGATTTTGATCCGTTCACCCCATTAAAGGGATGGAAAGGGCGGATTGAGATGGGTGGGGCGCCGAAGGTGATGCAGTGTATTCTTTTGAAGCAACCCCGAAGATGCGTCAGCTCTGAACACACAGCGGGCGATTCAGAAAGAAGATGCAAGTAAAGCAGACTGGCAACGGCACCACCTGCAGAATGGCCCGTGAAGATCAGCGAATAGGCCATACGGTTGGGATCCTCCTCGAGTAGGTTCCGAAGCCGAGCCGCCACAGGTGCGACCATCTTTCGTGCTACAGATAGGAAGCCCGAGTGACAACAATTTGACGGGTCGTCCAAAAAACCTTGAGGGGAGGTCGGTGCCGTGTGCACATTCACAGCCCAGTCCATGAAGCTCTGAGTGCCTCGGATTGCGAAGACAATTGTATTCAAATCGTCCACTGGAAGCGACTTCACAACCATCGCTTTGGTACCTTGGCGCCAATCCGAGTTCACATAGGAGTGTTTCTCATGTCCAGAGGGTTTGTCGTAGACACGGCGGGAGTATTTGGCAGCGAGTTGGAGAAGGGGATATGTAGGGAGATAACTAAAAAAGTATCAGTGAATTGGTTTTTCTCATTACCTAGATGAGGATACTCTCACAATTTGAGAGGTATCAGTTGGGGTGGAAGTCGGGCATTGGCGTAAAGATACACCTTGGAAAAGTAGTCCACCGAGCCCGCAGGCTTCTTTCCCTGACGCTGGGCCCGTCGGTCTTTCCTTGCGTCGGACTGAAAAGGAACCGTACACGCAGCGACTAAATAACCATCGCTTATTAGCGCATATTGAATTTTCATACCGAAACACCACTCACTCAGCTCATTCTCTCTTCCACAAAAAGACCCTAGATCGATTGAAGTAATGACTTGATCCAACAACCGGCAGGTAGCATCATTAACGTTGGCACCACCGCGCAAACTGTGATGCACCAGATTTTCGAGTTCAAGGATGGTCGCGTTTGTTTTTTCGACGGTGTGAGATACGAGCTGGGTCATTGACTGATTGAGATTCGTGCATGACTTCCATTTGGACGGTCTTTGAGGTGGCTGTAAGGTCTCGGGCAAAGGACTGCTGACAGCGCTGACGGTACTAACAGCGCTCGCTGAATACTGATACGGAGATTGAGAAGGAACTGTAGTTGGCAGGTGTACCATGGACATTGGCCCATTTTGATATGGAACTGGCGGTGAAGCACGCAAGGTACTAACGGAACATGCACCAACCGGCGCAATGTATGGAACATTGGCCTGGTTGTACGACGCCCCCGGTGTGGCCTGTGTTTGCTGATGTGATCTTTGCGGGCGCGGCGGTTTTGGTGGTGGTTCTGGAGATGATGGCCTCTTCGAGCGACTTGACCGGCCAAATGCCATGCTGTATAACGAGTGTGAAGCGCGATGTCACTCAGAATTCGACAAAGAATCAGTGAGCATGGGTTTAGCCAAGGCACTCAAGGACCATGACGGAGATGCAGGAGTTATGCAGGTTTCTCGCTTTGATTTGCAGGATACGAAGCATCCGCCACGCATTGATCGTGTCGGTCCCCACTACGCCCAGTCCGCACAGCCCCAAGGGCCCGAAACAGCAAATCAGATCGTCGCCTGAAAGCAAAGCTTTTGAAATCACAGCTGAGTGTGAATTACCCCATATGCCGTACGGAATACGGAGTACGGGGTATACAATTTAGTTTGTATCCAAGCTGATGGGAAAAGGGAGTGGAGTCCCAGAGGCTATACGAGTACGGAGTAGAGAACATGCAGCCTTTCCAATAAATTATCTTGTATTTCGGCCATTTAAAAAGCGTATGCATAAAGTATGTAAAGGGTATAGTATAAGACTGGTCTAGCCATAAAACACGTAGAATTCATTACTTAACATAACGACCCCGAGGGGTCATCGTGCCTCGTGAGTAGTCAAAAAAAGGGGTAGTGTGTCAAGAAGAGAAGGGCAAGCAGAGAGCGCATGATGCAAGAGAGAAGGAAATAGAGATAGAAAAAAAAAATGCAAGAAGAGATATGTGCATAGGAGACCCGCTCTATGGCACTTCTTTGTCGCCTCGTTTCAGCTCAGGCACATTGATGGCATCACGCACCCATTCCATGGCGGCAATCTCATCCAGGCCCTTACGTCTCGTGTTACGCTTGAGGAGTCCCTCCACACAGTCACGAGCCCCGTCCAGCCCCTTGCCCTTCTCGGAGTCCCACTCCTCATCTTCATCCGCGTATCGGTACCAGGACCATTCACAACGCGCGATGCGATGGGGAGTGCGGGCACGAAGCTTCGCGGGATCCCCACGAGTACCAGGAAGGACATCGAAGGGGAGGCGGTTCTCCATGATGGCATAGAGCAAGACACCGAGAGCCCAGGCATCGGTAGCCCGACCATCGTAGGCTTGTCCCATCAGGATCTCCGGGGCTGCGTAATCTTCACTGCCGCAGCGGGTTTGCAGAAGGGGGCTTTCTGGGGGTTCTGGGATACGCCTGGACAGTCCAAGATCACTGAGTGTAACCACGGCACGGTCATAGGTGCTCCAGTCTTTGACATCATCCATCACATGAGCGGGCATGGTAAGCAGAACATCTTGGATGGGAGGTTAGTAATGTTGCCTGCCAGTCAAAACAAAATGACCACTCACTTTCCAGCTTAATGTCCCGATGGACAATATAATTAGAGTGAAGATAGCGCACGGCGCTGATGAGTTCGGAGAATATACGGCGGATCAGTCCAGGGGACATGGGGGGAGCCCCAGAAGTCGCGAATTCAAACAAATCTCCCCCGGGACAATAATCCAGAACCAGCAATGCGCGCTTATCATCGCTCCCGAATGCTTTCAACTGGACAAGCGATGGGTGGTTGACCGACTTCAAGATGTCGACTTCACGCTTGAGGGACACTTCGAGGCGACCTTCGTCTGCACCTCCCACGGGACCGTGCTCGATGATCTTGACTGCAACCAATTTCTGGGTGTTGACGGTCCCGTGGAATGCCGCTCCGCCGTCCGATTGCGGCGATAGAGGAATTTCCGGTACAGCTTCCACACGAGCTGCCAGACTAACTTGACTGAAAGTGCCCTGTCCCAGGACCCGGATCTTCTGGTACATACGGGCCTGTTGCGTGCGCACCGAGCGGACCGAGTAGACCTCTTGGGGGGCGGACAGGGGCGGTGGGTGATGAATAACCGGTTCGCTGTCACTGTATCCGCTGCCACTGCTGCGCGGTGGGCTCGGGGGACGAACGGTCGGCAATGTGATGCCTCGGTGGACGGCCAGATATTGCTCCCGATGAAGTCCGTTGGACTTGGAGTCTGTGCTCGATGAGGAACCGATGCCAAGCCCTGGGTTCCCAGATACCGCAATTGGTCGGGGTGGCACTGTGACCCGACCGGGGGGTGCGTAATCACTCAGACTGCGATTGCGCGAGTGGGAGGACTTGTTCGGTGACTCCCGACGGTAGCGGTTGGCCACGGGTGAGTCCTCGGCATCGAGGCCCGGGTATGGTTTGCTGCGCGGGCGGGACATGACGGGCGGGCCAAGCATTTGTGACGAATCACTCAGACGCAGGCTGGATCCACTCCGCGAGGCTATTGAAGACGAGCGCGATAATGACGGAAGATCGGATCTTCGCCAGGGTGAGGCGCCTCCGATTGGGGATGGTAGAGGTGTGATATCGCCCATCGCAATCAATTGGGGCGAGGACATAATCGAGGCGGGAGACAGAGAGCCCGCACTGGAGAGAGGCGCAACGAGGCCACGCAAACTCGGGGTACGATGAGGATAACTGCCGGAGAGTGAGGCATACGAAGGGTCGGAGTCTCGCGAACTGGACGGACGTATACTGGGAAGATCGGTGCGGATCTGCAAGGACGGCAGTGGCGACTCAATATTAAGTATGGAAGGTGAGTCGTCTACTGAAAGAGCTTCCGACTCTTTGTTTGTACATAGACTGCTTGCATCCTGAAACATCATGATTATGGCCGGACTCGTAACCGATGGAAACGGGAGACTCGACGTTGGGACCGCAAACGGGAGGGAGGACAGATGGGGGAAGAAAGAAAATAAGAAAAAAGTAGCTGTCGTAGTGGTAGTATGTCAACTACCCCCGAGGGAAGCGGGGAGAGTAAGAGTCACCCAAAGAAACCAGGGACAAGATAAGAACCCTCGGAGCTCAGCCTCTGACCTAAATGGCCTTAGCGTAGACTGGTAGACCCGTCGAGGGTTAAAGTAGTTGCAGATAGATCATGCGACAGGGAGATGACCAGAACTTTGCAGAACAGACTCTCAGACACACGCCCTCACACAAACACAGAATCAAACCGTGAAACGGAAAAAAAAAAAAGAGCTCATGGGAAATTGAGGCGAATCAAGGATTGATCGCGCCAAGTCAGCTGACCCACCCGATTGGGTTAGTGGCAACGTCCACATGTTCCCCGCAGTGTTTACTTGAGTTTATCTCTCTCACATCAGCGATATAATCTAATTAATATACAGTGTAGATAGAGTGCTTGTAGAATTAGAGAACAAGAAGCTGGAATATAGCAAGGCAACATTAGACAATGTCGACTAAGATACCATCGTAACTCGATGAGATTGACGGAGCCCTCCGTACACTCTGCACTAAACGGTCGAGGCCGTTCGGTGGAGATTGCAGGTTTCCCGAGATTTAGGTAAGCACCTTTAGCGTGTGCGCGAGTAGGGATTTATCGGATCAAAGAATGCTGAGATTTACTCTGCAATTACAAATCTGCAGATGTACGGAGTACAGATGTATGGAGTACGGAGTAGGAGTACCTCATACGTACTGCACCTACTGCACTACGTAGGGATGTGCAGACGCAGGGGCGCCACTGGTAAACTGCATATTTAATTTTAGCACGGTGGCGGCCCTTGGCCCAACCCAATTCGCACACGCTTTCAACTCTTAGGGCTTCCGACTAGAGCATTGCTTCCGATCCATTCCGTTCTTCATACTCGATACACGAGTACGTCTCGTCCAGCCCTACAAGTATACCGAGTAGGCCAAGCTTCAGGGTCTTTAGAACCGGTTCTTCGGGCAAATTAAGTGACCCGCTACCCTGTAAGCCCCCCTCCACTTCGCTGATTCCAAAGGTCCTGTACCCAATACCCCTTGCCATTCGGCGCCTCTGCCGCACTAGCCGCTAAAATGGCCCACGTAACGTCATCCAAAGAACGCGCTGCAGACTGCCGTCCCGCGTTGACTCGAAACCCCTCCATCGTAGGTTACAGGTCAGCGTTAATCAAGGCGATCCAAGAGATTTGGGACACCTCGGTCCGGCCCACCTCCCCCGTCAGCACTGTGCTATGCACCACAACCCTTGAACCGCGTGCTTACTGGCGGAAAAAAGGGGCTGGGAAGGGATCGGCACCTACAGATCCCGCCGATCTCACGATCCGACCGTGCTTCATGTACTCCGTAGTGGGTGCGTCCAGCTTCAGTCCAAAAATCGCCGAATTCAAATTCACCTCCACTCGCCCGGTCGGAGGAACGTCGCAGTGACTTGCCGCGCGCATCCCCTTCGTCGGCGAGTCGGTTCTGGCGCACACCTGCGAGTTCATCGGCGCGTGCTACTGCGCCTCGGATGCCTGCAGAAGCGCGATTTCGGGATTGGTGGCCGCAGTGTAAAACAGCAACTAGATCGGCCCGATCGTACTCGGCACATGGTCGAACAACCTCACTCATTGATCCCAATCAACGTAGCAGAACTGGGAACATGACCCAGAGCCGATTGTCACGCAGGTCAACCAGCACCACACGGGCGCCATGTTGCGCCGGGAGAGATGGGGTGGAGAAGGCAATTTCTCTGGCTGCCCCGGCGACAGCGACGGCTTTTTCACTGGCAATATTGCGAATCGTCTCCTGGCTTGGTCTAGGGGTGGATGTCATCTTAAAACAAAGATACTCGAAGAAACGGTTTATGGGGTTGTCAGAGTTCGAGCCTGCATCGAAGCGAGGGACTCATTGATCTACTTGCATATACAGGGTCAATGATTTCGGGTCACTGTGCTGGCTATGCTGCCGTACTCGGTATGCCCTTCCAATTTGGTGTTCAGTTTGACCGAAACCAGCCGGATACTCTTTTAACTCTCGCTTGGGAGACAACGTGATGTCAAAATGAGCATCCTCTATACCTGAAAGGGAGGCTGGAAGCACAGGCCAAGACAGAGGCACGCCAGGCCAGATGCCGAGGCGAAGAATGTGATTCGCATCTCAGCTATCCATGGAGCGATGTCACCATAGCCTTCGATCACCATGTCGTCCCAAGTCTTTTCGTCCCCCGCAGGAGGCTTCAGAGTTGTGGCTGGCCGACTTTGTTCTCGATCAATCTCTTCAAAATCCTGCGTTGGCGTGGAGGGAGGTACCTAGGGTAATGCCCCGGCCTGGAGGTGGTATGTCTTAATCATCCAGCAGTCCTCAAGTTCCAAGGCTCTTCTCACTGGGCCGATCGTGTGCAACTGGGACTCTTCGAGATATGAGTTCTCAGATGTGGCCTCAGGTAGTCTTTGATCATCAAAATGTGGAATCTTTTGTTTTTGTTTTGTTGTAAGATCCGCTCTGGTAAACAACCTAGTCATGGATTCCAAGGCCAAGGCGGGGTCCTGATGTGCAGCGTAGTTGCTTGAGAGCTCGATCTCTAGGCCCTGGCTCCTGACTCCAGGGCTAGTAGCGATTGCTGTGGAAACCTAAGCAACAGTGAAATTTCCATGCCAACATTTTGACGCAGAAGAGAGAAAAGTAAAGATAGAGTAAGACTGGAGAATCGTTGAACATTGGGAGTTTAGATGGAAGTGGGCAGTGACTAGAAAGAGAAGAGAAAAAGAGGAAGGAGTGCAGACCGAGAAAAGAGAGAAGCCACGATCACGTTGAGTCACATGGCCAATTCGAGGGCACAAGGCTCCTTGGAACTTGGGAACTTCTAAACTTCTCAGCTTCTGAACTTTTGAACTCTTCCATACCCAAGTTGACATTTGACGGACCTCGACCGTTCGTGCTTCAACTCCTTGACTACTCGTTTCGGAAAGCGTTGATGAAACCACCATTTCCTTCAGAATGCTCCCTCCAAAATTCGACGACCTGCCCCCCGTAGAGGGAATGCCAGCAGGCTGTGCTTGGGGTGTCTTTGACAAGGACGGGAAAAAGGATGTCTACGGCACCTTGAATCTGATCGTCCCTGACACCATCAAGGGTGCAGCTGAAGAAGTCCGTCAAGGCCTTTCTATTTCCCTCAAGTGAGACTTTCCGCTCCGAAATCCAGCCTACCATCTCTAACTACCTCAGTTGGCCAATTGGAAGCATTAAAATCCCCGGCTTCTTTCGAAAAAGTCTTTGTCACAATGTCTTCAAGTTGGAAGATCCGTTATCCGGTGACCACTATGGTTTTGACGATGAAGTAAGTGGTTCAATTTGCACAGGTCTTCACGGGCCACCTCGCTCACTACGGGTCTCTTGCTCACGGAATGCCTAGGTCGAGTTCAATACCCAAGCCAGCAGTCAGTGGGATAGCCTCAGTATGTTTGAAGACGTCATTATTTTCTGGAAGGAATGATTAACATTCCAACTAGCTCATTTCATGCACCTGCCAACCCAGCTTACCTACAATGGGACAAAGCCATCGATCGAAACCCTCAAGGCCCCAGTCCCTACCAATCAACTCCCAACACTAGATCGTGAGGTACCCCTAAACTACACATTTCGCACAAAAGGCTAATGCAGAAGCAGACTGGCACCAAAGAGGCTGTGTGACCGGACGAGGCGTGCTCATTGACTTTAAAAGTTACGCGGAGTCTCATGAACTGCACTACGACCAGTTCTCCGGCTTCCGCATTGGGACAAAAGACTTGGAAATGGTAGCCGCATGGCAAGGCCTGACATTCCGGCCAGGCGACATTCTCTTGATCCGATTTGGCGTAACCGAGGCACTGGGTCAGATGAGCGGGGCGGAGCAGGGGGCTGCGATGAGTACGGGTCAGATGTGCGGGCTTGAGGGAAGCAAGGATATGGCGCGCTGGCTATGGGATCAACACTTTGCGGCTGTTGTGAGTGACAACATGGCTGTTGAGGCTATGCCGCCTATCGTTGATGGTGTTGAGCAGCCTTTCCATGAACTTGTGCTGCACCAGTGGTGTCTTGGTCTGCTAGGAATGCCTCTGGGAGAACTGTGGGATCTGAAGGCCCTTGGTGAAGCGTGTCGGGCCAGTAAGCAGTATTCCTTCTTGCTTACTTCCTCGCCACTGAATTATCCCGGCGCCGTTGGAAGTCCACCCAATGCTTTGGCCATCCTTTAAGCATCATTGTGTATACAATTTTCACCATGATGTTATGGCACAGCGGAATTGAGAATTTAGCGTGAGCCCCTGAGATCAAATTCAATTATTCAATCCATCCTTGCCCAGGTGGTTGTGGTTGAAATTCGTGGACAGCAAACGATGAAATCCAATGTACATAAGGACTTCGGGACGGCGTTATGGCCATGGGTAAAGTTCCAAGGCAATAGATGTGTGTAAAAGCGTGCCATTTCGAAGCTCCGGGGCTATATGGACATCAGTGCCAACGTGCGCCATCCCTGCCTAAGTAGTATCTCACCATAGTTGACTTATATTCTTGCCTGACCTTCTAAAGTTGGATGCCAGATCGACATCCTCCGGAGATGCCCTCTGCAGGTCAATGTTGCGGAATTCATACCTAAAGGGGAACAAGCCCACAGCCTACAGCAAATTGAAATGGCATCCTTTTCGTGCGGGCGACTTGTTCATGTGCTTCGAAGTGCCCATGCTTAACCTGCGATTGTGCTCGAACGAATTCCCGGAGCTGGACATAGTATTCGCTCTGGATTTTTTTTTTAAAAAAAACCAAAGGCCCTTCAAAAACTTATTTCGTACTTACTGAAAAGAAAAGCAAGGTTGACTTTCTTTTCATCCGATGAGGTTTGGTATCTCGCTGTCAGGAGGTTTGGAATCCAAGCAGAGAGAGCTGACAGCGGGCAGTTCCACAGCCCCACAGCCCCGGGTACGAGTGTATGGTGCCCCGGGATTCAATGAAGAATTTGGTGCCTACGGAGTGATCTGGACAAACTGAAACAGGAATGAATTTGCATTTGAGCCTTAATCGCAGAAATTCCTGGAAAAAAGTGGGCAATGAAAGTCTACAATATCTGTTTCGTCGCAAATTCTACACTCCAGCCGAGATCCGCAAGCATGAGCATACCTAGACATACCTTAGCATGGACCTCGGGAGTAGGAGGCCAAGTTCAACTGATGACTGAAGGACTGTCTACCCATTAACCAAATTTGATTCAACAACTTGGACGGTCAAATTCCGCAATGGGTGGCGTCGATTCAGAAACCGGCGGTTGCCGACACGCGGAGAGAGAAAGAAAGGGTGAGAAAGCCTTTACTCTTCTTCAGACGCTTGGCAATGCCGAATATAGCAAAACCACGCACCAAGACTTTCACTGGTTGCTGGACATGTCGCGATCGTCGAGTGAAATGTGACGACGAACACCCGCATTGTCGCCGGTGTCGGCGAAGTGGTTGGGTCTGCAAGGGGTATGGACTGCGCCTGGGATGGGACCAAAGTGCCGGCCGCTCCCACCGGCGCCAATTGTGGTCCCTGGCCCCAGATGGGGGCCACGGGTTGTCGTCTAGCACTGTATCTGCACTTTTGGCCGAACTCGACGGTTGTTCGGGGGACGACCATCAACAAAGGGGTCCTTTCTCGGTTTTCTCGGTCTTGTCGGGTCCGCAATCAGAGCAAAGCGCCCACTCTCGGCCTCCGCTGGATATACTTTCAGCGCAGGAATCAGAAGAAACGCATCACGGCCAGACAAATTACAAAAATGCATCATCGGGTGAAAAGGACAGCGAACTGTTTTCGCCATCTACCATCGCGACATCCACTGGCGGCCCAAGCGAAGAGCTGGGGGCAACATCTTCGGAGCTGTCAAATCAGGCAACTGACCAGAGCATCTCTCTTATCAAAAATGGGAGCAGCTATCAAAAGACATGCAAGAAGCTCCTGGGGAAACAAGAGATATTGACATCAAATCTTTATACCATCGGGATTGATATCTCCCTTTGTGGCCACATTAATCCCATCCGACTCCCCAGACCGGAAACAGAGCTGGTCCACCACTGGGTGGTCTTTCTCAGCGGCAATATGCTCCTCATTGACACCCCGGACAATCTATGCCGAACAGCGTTCATGCCTCTGGCGCTGAAAGGGTTGGATGCCTCCCCCAATGAATCGAATATCCACCTCTCGGTCTTTCACGCCATCTGCGCCGCTTCTGCATTCAGTCTCTTTCATCTTCGCCGGGATCCCCAATATCAGTCCCTTGCAATGCATCATGATCAACTGGCACTGCGGCACCTACGCGAAAATCTCCAACGGGCGCGTGGCCTAGACGAGCCCACGCTGGCAGCGGTTCTAACTTGTATCACCGCCGAGGCAATGTCCGGACGTCGCAGCAGGTGGAGAGCACATGTCGCAGGATGTCTCGGTCTTTTGGAGAATCAGGCTCACAGTGATTGGATCCGGAATCCCATCGCCTCTAGGCTTTTGCAGAGTTATTTATCTCTTTCATCACTGTGCAGTCTCCGCATGTCCGAGCGCTTAATGTCGCTACTTGATGGCTCATCGGGTTTGCGACACTACCTCGAACGATCGCATGGTATCACTGCACAGCTGGTGCAGCTCCTCGCTCAAATCACCGTCCTCGTCGAGACACCTACGCACCTTTCTATTGCAGAGCTCGATCGGCTCGAGCTTCAAGTTTACTTGAACTTCCCATGCCTATCCGATCCAGACGCACCGGGTTCCATGATTGTCCAGCATGCTCTGAACTCTTTCTACTATGCGACAGTTGTGTACTTCCGCCGCAACCTGCGGCATGCTTCATTGAGCGATGTTCAGGATCTTATTGAGAAGGCCATATGCGAGCTCGAATCTGTTGATAAGCTGACCCGCGAAAAAGGCGGGTGCTCCTACAATTGGGCCAGCTTTGTCGTTGCAGCTGACTGCGAGCGACCCGACCTTCAAGATCGTATGTTGGCATTTTTCGATCGCAAAAGTCGTCATGGGATTCAAAACATCAACGTGCTCTGTGAAATTGTGCAGGTTCTCTGGAACCGAAGGACAGCGGCTGGGCCGCACGTCGATATAAAATGGCAAGAACTTGCGAGGGAAGCCGACTTTGACATAATGTTAGTATAGGGGACATACCTCCAGGGCTGGGTATGATGAGAAGAACATACTTAAAAACTGAACGAACAACCTTGAAAGCCATGGTCCGTGCAAATATACTTTACTCAATTTCCGGGGCCCCGGGTACAAAGGTGTTCACCACGAATTGTGGTGCCTGTCTGATTCCAGACTGGCAGAAGAACTTCACACAAGTCATAGTAATCAAAGTACACGCATTTCTCCAATTGAAATCCTACGCTTTTGTTGGGGGCCTTAAAGCTCTAGGTCAATTTGAGACATTGATTGATCAACCGAGGTTTGAAAAGAGTCCTGGAAATGTCGAAGTCTTAAATGATTCTAAAACAAACGGAAATAGTAAAACACCCGATCAATGAACTTCAGGGTGATGAAATAAGGTGGTTCATAAGACCTAAGTCAGACTGTTTGAAGTTGTCTATTGGAAGTCCCGAGCATCATTAAAGTACGTAACTGACGAAGACACTTGCAGAGCGCCATAGCCAATAAGTCGCAGGCATGCAAGAGACTTTTCTATGTACACAGAAGAAATACAAAAGTACAAACCCAGTTGCACACCCCATTCCCGACCCACGCATTATGCGAAACATGGAAGCTTTGAGCGCCGGAGTGAAGAGACCCGCAGGGGGGAATAATAAAAAAACGGTTGTAATACATCGCGAGTGAAAGGACAAAGTGAGGTGGCTAATCGTCAGCCGCCAATGTCATTGAAGGGTGGCGGAGAGGGTATGGAGAGTCGGATGACCGAGGAGCGGAGGATGGGAAACTGGCCATGCCAGCTATCTAGAAGAAGGCCCTTCGTGTAACCTAGCGAAAATCAATTAGCAGGCGTCTCGATCCAAATCGCATTGATCTACTTACAGCCCAACCGCCGGCAATGGAAGCCACAATGCCGCCAGATATCATCATGGGCTTAAGTCCACGCGTGCTCTTGAAGAGCATACCGCTCAATGCGCCTGCAGCAATGCTGTTGGATGCATCGTGCTTGCCACGGACGTATCCGAAACCGGAGTTGAAACCGTTGTAAACCATAGCCACAACACCGGCCGAGTTTCCGAGGAACGGACCGCGTCGGGTAACCGAGTTGAGCACACCGTTGAGACGAATCTTGGGTGCCGCCGTGGGGGCTGTCTTATTCAATCCTTCTGCAAGTCCCCAAACGCCTCCAAGAGTGAGTGCGACGAGATAAGTGGTGCCGGCACCATAACAAAGGTCGTCTGACCATCCACGCGAGGGCAACACTGATCGGGAGCCGGGGAGTTCATCGAGGGCAGAGTCTTCGAGGCTGAGGTAATCGAGGGTGTCCTGGTTCAGACCGGCCAGAGGGTGAAGACGAGAGGGATCGGAAAGCGCGACCTCGGAGAGGAAAGATGTAGCGTCTTGCGAGGATGTAGGGTCGAAGGCATCGGGGCCTTGCTTTTGCTTGCGACCACCAAGAGAGTCCCAGATAGACATTGTGAATAGGGGTGAAGGGGGATAAGAGATGGAATTATAAGGACCCGAGGGCAACGGCAGAGGCGGACTGGAGAAGAAATGATGTCCCTGTGTTCGCAGCTCCACTGACCGTCGGAGCCAGCAAAAACTTCGGTCCCGTGACTTCCGCTCAGAGTCGGACAAACGTTAACCCATACCACTAACACTATACCAAATAAGGCAAGTACTATGGCCTGAGGCATCGCGGGGAGCATCAAGAAAATTAATTGAGAATCTTGACTCCATATGAGTCGCACCGTAATCCAAGCCAATGAGGAATTAGGACATGGCAGCTGATGCATCCAACCAGGCACAACGTGTCGCATCAGTCAACATGGAAGACATTGCGCAGGAGGTGCAATTGTTGTCGGAGAAGACCCTCCGAGATATCGCCAAAGGACCGCTGGTGAAATTTACGCTGGCAAATCAAGACACCGAGTAAGTATTTTTATCTTTGCAAGTGCCTTTATGAAGCTAATTTGCATGAATAGAAAAGTGACAAAGGTGTGGCAATCTTTGATCCAAACGCTATCAACAGCTTCTCTGTCGCCTGGACATTCCGCGGAGGCATGCAATGCGACTTCTGCATTCATCGATGCTGCTATCAAGTCCAAATCCGAGGAAACTAAGAAGCTGGCATTGTCGCAAGAGCTCTGGTTGTCAGTCTTTGACATCTGCTTGAATCGGTATGAAGATGCCAAACCGAAGCCTATCAAACTCATTCTATCTTCAATCACCGCTGTCTTGGCAAAGAGCCATCAGGGCACATCAAGAAAAGCAATCCAAACTGCAATAATCGATGCAGTAATTCCTAGTATCGTGCTTGGGGAGCCTCAATCCCGCCTCAAGGGATGCTTGGTGTTCCTAGACTCTTTTATCAGAAGAGATGCCATTTTGCCCAGCGAATTTATCCCGCTACTTCGTGAATGGCTCTCGGCGAATAAGGAAAGATGGGTTTCTTCCTTTAGCAAAGACCATGAAACTTTATCTCTTGGTACAACCGAGACCACCTTGGACAGCGTATCTGGCAACCTGTCTGACGAATTGGCCGCCAAAATATTCGTCCTGGGGCTTTTGGTCCAAACCAACAACAAAACAATGGCAGTTCCAGCCGGAAACCTATTGGCAGTTCTGATCCAAAAGATGAAGCCTGAAACACCCACACAGAAGCTATCAGAAATGTGGGTGGCCCCAGCCAGACACCTGGTTTTGGAAAATGTGGATACTTTGGAAGATCTCTCCAGCAGACTTCTACAGCCACTGTTCACCGTTGATTCCAACGGCTTCAAGGCCTTCCTTGAGACTCTCCCGGTAAAGAGTCTTCTCGAGGGAGACATGACCGATGCGCCTGAGGCAGAATACATGGTTCTGTTCACTGCACTGCAAATCGGAAAAAAGATCAACTTGGTTCATGAAGATTGTAGGTCAACTCAGAAATCAAACCCCCTTCGAGCCCGCTAACATGCGCAGACATCTTCGATTCGGGTAAACTGAAGATTGAAAACAACGATATTCTGATCCTGAAGAGTGAGATCATCGGCAAGTTCTTGCTTCATCGTGAATCTAGCATCCGCATTGCGGCCCTATCTCTTCTGATTACAACATCCTCCTCAATCAAGCCATTCACGGTCGGGGCAACCAAAGCCATTCTGAAAGGGCTTCCTTCCATGCATGCCGAGTCTGAGGCATATGCCCGTGGTGAAATTCTGAGCATGATGCGCAAATTCATTGTCCGCCTCAAAGGTGGTATCGTGAGAGAGGAAGATGCCGGCTTGAAGATCCAGAAATCCACCGGCAAGCCAGCTGCAGGTCACGCTCGAAACGAAACCGAGACAAAGGAGTTCTTGAAAGCATACCTTGATTTGTTACAACACGACTTGCCTCTCGGGGCATCATACGCGCGGCATATTACAGCTCTCAAGTCCCTGAAGCTTTTAATTGACTCTGGTCTTGACCCACGCACAAACATCAAGCTGCAAAAGTCTGAGATGGAAAATCTTTGGAAAGTTCGAGTTGAAGTTTTTGATGCTCGTCTACTCCGACTACTCATCGATCTCTTGTTGGATCCATTTGAGGAGGTTAGACAAACATCTCTCACCATCTTGAACCTTTGCCCGAGAGAGGTTCTGCTTGAATGCTCGCAAAACACGACAAACGTAGGTATGCGACTGACAGATGCACTGTCACGAGCAGAGAATTTGGCAAGCAACACGAGCAGGGCTGATCACGCCGATACTGTTGCTCGGCTTTATCATCTCATTTTCTGCTCTGCATTACCCGGAAACTCCGCCCAAGGAGCCTCAGACTGGTGGTCAACCAAGGCCAAGGTTGTGGACACGATTTTGACTAAGCTGGAGGAACGTCTGCTGGGTGCAAAGAGCTTGTTCAACTCTGTAATGCGCGAGGCGCCGCTGCATGGGTACACGTCGGGGTTGAGGTATGAATTCAATTTCCCTGTTCTTGAACATTCACTCAAATGGATACAGATATATTGTCCTGATGCCAAATTTCCACACATTAATCTCCGATGATTCGGAATCCACCGCGTGGAGATCGGTTCATGGACGCATTGATGCCATATGCGATAGGATCTGGCAAGAGGCCAAGCCTTTACTCTGCATCGATTCACCGGAGGGTCACTCAGACGAGCCTCTGGAAGATTTGGACGTGGGACCCAAAGACGCTCTTTCATACTCGTGGAGATCTCTTCGTGAATCAAGGTAAGTTGCAATTCCCGTTCTGTACAGCTGGGTTATTAACAAAAACTAGCATCCTGCTACACGCAACTCTATTGAATCCGAGCTATGGCCCAAGCGGAACTTCCGGGCTCAACCGCACCGACTTTGCGAAAATTGGGGGAGCCAGCTTTACACAGCTTGCTGAGCTTCGACACCGTGGTGCTTTCACCAATGTTTCCCAGACTTTCGCGACTTGTTGCCAACGTTGCAGTGCCTCAAAAGACCCAGCGATCCGTGAACTTACACGCGGTTGGTACCAAGAAGCCAAGTCAACCATCTTCGGTTCGGCTTCCAAGCTAACTCGTCGCTCTGCCGGTATACCTGCAATGGTCACCGGTATCGTTGGATCTGATCCCGGAACCCCATTCTTTAAAGAAGCATTGGATGAACTACATGAAATCTCGTACCTTCCCGTGGAATACGATAAGGAACGACAGTACTTGGAGCTGCCTCAAGTTCACGCAATGAACTGTCTTAAGGACATTTTCACCAACAACAAACTTGGTCCATACACGGAGTCATTCATCATGAAGGCGTTGACTTTATCCGCAGACCGTCTGGGTTCACCGATTTGGGCGCTTCGCAATTCTGGCCTCATGCTGTTCCGTGCGCTCCTGACCAAGATGTGTCGAGTTATTCCAGGTGCCGGGCCTGGATTTGGAGGAGCATCTGGATCCGAACCGGGCGCTCGAATTACATTTCCAAAGTATCCAGGCCTCCTTGAGTTGCTCTCCGGTCTTTTGACAACAACACAAGGCGAAGCAGCTGAGGGCACTGATATCATCACTGAACGAGTGTTCCCTGCGTTGGAGTTAGTCGGTGACAAAGTCCCCAGCCTGGATGATTCCACCGACGAGATGCTTCGCGGGTTGGTTTTGCCGCACTTGAGCAGTCCTGTTTGGGGTGTCAGAGAACACGCTGCCCGCGTATATGCGTCTTTGCTTACTCGACAATCTATCCCAGAGGCCCTCCGCCGCCTCGCAGTTCTTCCAGAAACTCCCACTGAGAATTACATCCATGGTGTGGCCTTAACTGTGCGTTATGCCCTTCGCCGTTATGCGGCCACAACCGACGACTTCTGGATGGGTGAGTGTATACAAAATGACTCCATTGAATTGAAGCTAACAGACTGCTAGGCCATATCGATGGTCTTTTCGAGACTTTACGTGCTTTATTGGGTGTCCTCTTCACTGCTGGGAAGTCGCCCACAGTTGCAACTGAGCTAGTTGAAATCCTCAACGCCACGCTTGAACGAGCTATTCAAGCGCACGGTGAAGGTAGGTCCATTCTCCTCCGCAAAAAATCATGAAGCTCATCAATTCCCAGAAAAAGTCTCTCCTTTCATTAGCGAGATGTTTGAAGCCCATGACTTGAATGGTATCCTGAGCTTTACATTTGACACTTCTTACCCTGGTTGGAATCTATCGAGCGCCACTCGAGCATGCGCCCTGCTCAGAAGAGCGCTTGCTTGGTGCTGTGTGCTGAAAATGCTGACCTCACAGAAATGGGAGCAGCTCCCAGTTTTCTACCAAGGAGTCTCCCAATTTGACGCCGATGTCGCTCGTTGGGTCTCAGAACAACTCCATGAAACCATTGGGGAAGATGAAAGATATAGAAAACCACTTTATGAGCTATATTCCTCTGTGATCTTGGGATCTGCAAAGCCAGACGTGAAGACAATGGCTGCATCGAATTTAGCCTCTATCTTGGAAAATCTGCTGTCCTCCCAGCCTGAGACCCTATCAACCTTAGGTCTCCCCTGGGAAGCCATCTTGAATGCTTTCAAACCCGAGAAAGAAATTGAAACCTGGAACCGAGAAGCAACCGACGCCGAACTTCGCCTTCGTGGCTGCTTACTGGCAATTCGCACCATTGTGAACCCCCAGCACGCACCGTCGACCTTTGAGACCGATGTTCAGAACTTGACCATTAAGCTTCGCTCAGCCCTGAGCGAGGAAACGGTGAGTTGATACAGGAATTGATTTCGGTTGGAGAACTTACGTACTAACAAGTAATCGTTGTTAGGAATTCACTACCCGTTTTGCTGCAGTCACATCTGTGAGCAGTCTCGCTCGGGCTATCCGACCGGCAAGGAATCAACCATGCACATCGGCCGTCCTGTTGGACGTGTATCTGATCCTATATGATTTGCTTAACGACGACGACGATGAGATTCGTGACGTTGCAGCATCAACCGCCTCGTGGGTGCTGTCACACTCTTCCGTCTCTCCTGATACCGATGTCACTCTGGCACCCCTGAATGCTAGTGCTCTCCTGGCCGACTTCATCATCCATAGTTATACTACATCTCCCGTTCTTGGTAGACGATGCGTGCTGTATCTTACTGGCCAAGAGCCTAGGATCAGTGGGTCAGACGAACCGAAGCGTCTTGTTCCTGTGTCGGACTTGGTCACGGAGTATCGGCAAGACAGCACTGTACTGTTTGAGGAGGAGAAGCAGAACCTTTTCATTGATAATGTTCGCGAGGTCGAAGTGTGGTCTCGTGCTCTGGTGCAGTTACAACAGTCAGCCTATATAGATTCCCCTGTGCGCGAAGTATCAACCTGGGCCCATGAAGGTTTGGCTTACCTGACATCTCTTGTCGGCCCTAGCGCTGAACCAGATGGTCTCCTGGGTTGGGCTTCCAAGCCCGAGATCTTGAGCTTGGGATTCCGTGTCATTGCTATTGCATCTGCTTTGGACCCCAGGGAGACTCGAGGATCGCTTACCCGCTTATTGGAACTAGGCCAAGAGGTATCACTCCACGGTCGTTGGCTCGATATGCTTTCTAGCGCACTTGAGTGAAGACAGGCATGAATATGAATGAATAGATGTTAGATACAGAATACAAGTTTGAGCCCACGTTTGCTGTTTCCCTTTTTACTCTGGGCCTTCCCAACTTTGGCTCTTTCCAATTTTATGCTTCACTTTCTTCCTCTTCTCCTCTCCCCGTCTCCTCTCCTCTTCTCCGCTGTCTCCCCGACTCCATCATCATCACCCTAGGCTTATCTACCCGCTCTCATGCGTGATTTCTCATTGCCTACCTACATCTCCGGGACACAGAGTGTCAAATCATCTCAAATCAGTATCTTCGCCTGAGCACCATGCAGAATAACATTCTAGTTGCCATATTGCTTATTGTGGGGTTACTCACTCCAGTTCTGGGGTGGCTGTTTTATTGCTGGCTTCGATCCCATGTTAACAGCCAGCACCACCAAGGCCAAGTCTTCCACAGAAGGGATCAAGATCGCACACAGGCTCATTGGCGTCAACGAACTGGCGACGAGGGCCCTGCAATCCTCGGGCCCCATTTCACAGAGCGTGGCTGGGTTCGTCCCAAACCCTACGGGGAAACGCGGGACTTGCCTCTTTCACAGTAGGTCAATCATCAGCGATCTGCGAAATACAATGTGGAGGATACTCTAACCATAATTTCTAAGAAAGGAGGGCGGTTCGCACGCATAATTCCCAAACAAGTCCTCGGTCACAGAACCAGCAACCTAATCAAATGTCCAAACGGCAAAGAAAGAAACAGCGAGCGGAGCAAAACCGACAGAAAAAGGAACGACAGGGTCAAATTCACCAGCAACCTGCCCAGAATCAACAGAGCCATCAAAAGCAGAAGGACGACAGGAAATCCCAAAAGCAAAAGCAAAACAAAAGCCAAAAGAAAGATCGCCAGAGGTCACCCCGAGGACAAGCACAAGAAAACCAGGACTATGTCTGGCCAGACACAACGGAAGTTGGTGCTCAAAAGAGCGATAAAGGACAGGAGGATGCATGGGGCAACCTCGGCGGGTTCTTCGAAAACGCAGAGAACGAAGACCAAAACAAGGAGGCAGAAGGTTTTGGGGGCAATGCTCGAGGCTGGGATGATAATGATAACAATGCGAATGAAGGGAATCAGAAAGGTTGGGGCGCAGAGGAGAAACCGTCATGGGGCAATGATAACAAGGAAGACAGCGCACAAGGTGGTTCATGGGGACACGGCGACCATCATTCGAGCAACCAGAGCAAACGCAACAGCAGTCGAAACAGATCCCCGAAGCGAGGCTCACGAAACCCGTCCCGAGGCCGTGGTCATAGTAGCCCAAAGCGAAAGACATCGTGGGATCATAATGACAATGAGCAGCACAACAATACCTGGGAAGATGGCGACAATCAACGAAAAGATTCCACAGACTGGCACAGGAGTCACCATGGGTCACCGGAGCGGACATCAAGGGCTTCCAGGTCCCGCACTCGCTGGGACGAAGACCACCATGGTAACGCAGGTGGATGGGGAGAAGAAACCAAAAAGGGCGACGGGTGGTCAAATGAAGATTGGAATGGCCCAGCAGAGAAGCGTTCATGGAGCCAAGAAGGGAATGTGCACCACAAGAAGAAAAGAGGAAACCACAAACGTAATGACGGAAGCAATCGCCAGAGTTCACCACCCAAAAATCCGTGGGGGGAGTCTAATGACTGGGGCCGAAATGCGTCACCGGATCCTGAACTTCGAAGTAATCCCAAGGCCAAGGAAGACATGCAGTGGTGATGTGAAAATCGGATTTTGTTGGGCTGAAAGAAGAGTATGCTGCATATCTTATTGAGTCTTGTCGACTTTGGCACGCATCTCGGGGTCAGTGTAGCCATCTCTTAAGTGTGATATAACATAATACCAAAGTCCTACCTTGGAGATTCAGCGTTACGTGAGATGCTCACTTGTATGGGAAATTCTGTTCACTGAAGCCCAAGACCCAAGGTCTGACCTCCGACATCCAATCTGGTCTTCTGTGATTATGCTATTCACCTAGGGTTGTGAAAGCAAAAGCCTGGAAGGGAAAAGTGAAAACGCAATTGAAGCCTCCAATTGTCAGCTCTATCACACTTGCCTGGCTCAATCAGCTCAAATTCGATACAATAGGATGACTTGAATAGCTTGAAACAATCAATCTCTGGTACCATTGTATTGATTGTATTCACCATTCCAAGGTTCTGATTGAGCTTTGATTGGACATCGTCCTATTGATGGTATTGTTCATCTGATCTCACTACTCTATTGTCTTTCGGAGACCTAACCTCAAGATAGCTTCGCCCTGTCTTTTTCTCTAATATTTAAGCATCCCCTCCTCTCTTCACATATCCTGTACTTCCTTGCTGCACAGTAAAGTCTAAAAAGGTGAGCTCTCGGAATTGACGCCCCCTCCGAGCGCATCGGTGCTAATGTGATTTGGTCTTTAGTTACATCTCAATATGGCATACTCGTCCGACAGACTGGATCGGGCTCGCTTCATGTTCCCAGGCCTCTTGCAGAGTGCCGACTACCAGGAGTTCTTCCAGCATCTGGCGTCTCCATATGACTTGCGCAGACGTGCTGCCCTACACCTCGATAGCTTCAATTCGTGGCACGACAATGATGAAGATGACAAAGACGCATCCCTCAACTCGTGCGGTGTGAAGAGAAGGCGCTCCTTGCAGAGTAGCGCCGACGCCAGCCCCAGCAAGATCCACAAGGCCAACCACAATCCGGTGCTCAACGCAGGACCCAAGGAAGGTTCTCGACATGAGACCAGTGATTATACCAAGAGTGAAGATTCTTTGCTTCTATCCACCGATCTTTCCTCCATCCCGAGAAAGCAAAAGAGAGGATGTGTCGCCTGTCACGATCTCGACTTGGATTGCTCGTTTGCAACGGACCCTGATCAATCTTCCTACCCTTGCGAGACATGCGCCTTTGATGGAATGGAATGCGTGCCTATCCCAGAGCCGAAGTGGAAACGTTCCTGTGAGGGCTGCAAGACTCGCAATGGGGTCTTTTGCTCTTACAGATATGCCGACTACGACCACTCTCAGCCTTGCCAGCCTTGTGTCAACGTCGGATTCCCATGTGTGGCAGGTCCAGCCAAGCGACCTCCTTTCATCTCCCAGGAGAGCCAATCGGTCAGCTCCGCAAACCCTTCCTCCCCTTGCGATGGTGACGATGACTACGGTGATTACGACGCAAACGAGGAATTCGCGTGGCTTCCTAGCGATTCAGCTCCGGATGTGGATGATAAAGAGTCACTCCCTGATTATGAGGACTGTGGTGACTACACTCCCTCTGCTATTGCAATCCAGGCTGTTTGCTCTAAGGGGCCATCCTTCAACTGCGATGAATCGGATTCTTATCACCCCTCCGCCATTGCGACACAGGCCGTGGATGACGAAGAGTCACTTCCTGATTATGAATACTATGATCACCACCCCCCATCTGTCACTGCAACCCAGGCTGTGAATGATGAAGAGCCACTCGCTGATTATGAGGACTATGGTTACCACACCCCTTCTGTTACTGCGACCCAGGCTGTGGATGATGAAGAGTCCTTCGCTGATTATGAGGACCGTGGTGACTACACTCCCTCTGTCATTGCAATCCAGGCTGTTTGCTCTGCGGGACCATCCTTCAACTGCGATGAATCGGGTTCTTACCACCCCTCCGCCATTGCGACACAGGCTGTGGATGACGAAGAGTCACTTCCTGATTTTGAGTACTATGATGATTACACCCCATCTACCATTGCAGCCCAGGCTGTTTACTCTGGACGACCATCCTTGAATTGCGAGAGATCCCGTGACTACACCCCCTCTGTCATTGAGGCTCATGCTATGGGTAATGAACTGTCATACGATGACTACGGTGACGGCTACAACGGTGACTACGACGATTACTACGACGATTACTACGAACATGATCAACACAAGAACCCTGCTGATCCAGTTCAGCGTGCGAAGGATGAGCAGTCATTGTCTGATGGCGCTGATTATGGTGATCACACACCCTCAGTTGTTGCAGTTCATGATGTTGGCAGTGATGGTCTTGGACTTTTCGTCGATCTGAGTGATGACGCCGCCTCGCCTCCAGAATCTTCGCAAACCAAGTGGATTGAAGTAATCGAGATCTCCGATTCAGACTCCGACAACAACACCGTGAAGCCTGGGGTGATCGATGTAATCGAGATCTCTGATACCGACTCAAACCATGGTACTGTGGGGTCTCCAGGCCTCGACAACACTGAGCCAGTTGACTTTCTCGAACATTCAGACTCGGAATCGGGCAACGAAGGGAACATCAAGGGTCAGCTGGAGAATATCATCGAGATCTCCGACGATGACCTCGAAGGCGAGATCGCTGGCGATGGATCTCCCTACGAATCCGACCAACAACCTGATTATGAATTTGTTTATGATACTGATAGTGAGGATGATGGATTTGACGACAACCTCCCGTGAGTGCCCAGGTCGAGTATGGGCTTTACCTGTGATTTCCCTGCTTGTTCAAGATTGCTGGGGCACCGGGGCGCTCTAGTTACACCGAAACATGTATGTACCAAGTGAGATCAACACCTGGAGAGCTCTATGGAGAATTTGTCTTAAGTAGCTACTCTCGTCCAGGACTAATGGTCAGAATTATGTCTTGAGAGATTTACCTACAGTCCTGTGGACTTTAAACTTAGTTTCTTCTAATATGTTGCTTTCGACTTCCCTGGAAAACTTTAGAAGTAATTGATCCCTTGTAACCTTTGGAACTTTAAACCTTGGAAATGACTTCAGGAGATGCTCTGCTCCCGCTATGAACTCAAAAGGCCTCAAATAAACCGTTCCCGAGGTCAAATTCCTATTTTAAAAATATTGGAATCTTCTCTTCATTCATTCTCAAGCTGTAAATCTCAGCACCACTTCTAAGTTGAGCATGTCAGCTTATGTGGACCAAATAACCATCTCATACTTAGATAACCTCTAGAGCCTCTGGAGCTGACAGTACTTTCGAAATCCAGATCCTGTCCGAGGAGCCTTTTTGTCTACAGGTATGAGGGTTGTTGGTTACAGAGGACATCATGTACGATATTAAACTTTAGAACTAAGGGCATATACTATTTCTAAAGTTAGAAAGTAGCGAATTTCAAGACAGAGTCTCTCCCTAAAGTCCCTGAAGTAGAATCCATATGGGAGAGGGTCGCTGTGTGCTGGTGTAATCTACCTACTGATAACTTAGAAGAAATATATAAAGTAGGTCCATAGGTAAATTATGGAGAAAGAGCACATGTAGACTGAAGGACATTCAGACAGTGCAAAATGAATAAACAAATGACCACATCAATTACTAAATCACTTGCAGTAATGTACAATGCATTCATGCACATTGTCTAGGAACACTTTGCATTGTTGCCCCCAGTCTGCAGACCTACAGGTACTCTGTGCCTGATTTCTTCTTTTTCACGAAGAGCAACTTAGAAGGTGGTTGAATGCTCTATTCACAGCTTTGCTATTCTGTTCACAGGGCTATTCATATGATTCTTTTTCTATTTGTCTATTCACATCTATTGATAATGTTCGAGTTCCAATTAACATCCCAACTCCGTCGCAAAACATACATATACCAGAGACCATCTTGATGTTTCGTTCTTCACCCTTTCCAATCCCAAGATCATTTTCAGAGTACGGAGTACAAATCCAGAGTACTGTTCATCTTTATTTGTGAAAGCTCTGAAGTGCTCAAGTGCTCAGTTAGGGTTTAGTTTCCGCTCTCCGCGCGAAAAAAAAAAAAAAAACCTGACTAAACCTCATTTTTCTGCCCGTCAAATTTGATTTACGGCCTGTCTTCCACAAAGGAGGAGGCTGTTTTGATCCTAATTTCCTTTGTTTTCACCCTGGTTGCCCCGAGCTGCGACACGAGGTGCGCAGCTCACCGTCACAACGTCTTCCCCAAAGCGCCGAAAAGTTTCCCCAGAGCCTCGTCCCAGTCCAGGCCCTCGGGCTCGACGTCACGGCCGCTCCGTTCCTCCATCCCGCTCTCGCCACGAATCTGCCTCTCGCTATAAGAGCTCCTCACTGTCACCGCCTCGCTACGTGCCCGCCCACCTGCAGTTCCAGCCACAGCCTGGTGGACGCTCGCTCACTCCTGCGACCGCGACCGCTGGACTGTCTCTCTCCAGTGAGCATTCCGATATGCCCTCCGACACTCGAGAGGGTACCCCTCCCACAACTAGTGATGGCCGTTCCCCATCTCCCGGCGAGAAGCGCTCGGCCTCTGAGATCACCGACTCCGACCCGGAAGGAGGTGTGAGTACCGTGGGCACTGGGAACGCGCGCACCTCGGGAAACGCCAACCGATCCACATCTCCCACATATCCCACTCCCTCGAGCTCCGGTAACAAGACCGATTCCTCTCCTTCCCGCGAGCAATCGGACTCTGAGACCCTCAATCCCGATGCCTCGCCTACGATCGATGAGCAAGTGGCGGAGGTGAACGAGCTGATGGCCGAGCCCAAGAAAGACGGACAGAAGGGATACGTGGTCTCGATGACTTGGCTCAAGAAGGTGCTCGCACGTATGAGCTCTCATGCCGACCACACAAATGATTCGACAGACAGCGCCATCGGACCGGTTGACAACATCGATCTCGTGCTCGACACCGACCCGGCCACTACCGGTTTCAAGGATGAGGCCGGCGACGCCTTTATATCCATGCGCCCTGGTTTACACGAGGCTGTAGACTTTGTGATTGTGCCGCAGCAGGGCTGGAATTTAATTCAAAAGTGGTACGGCTTGGCCGAGCTGTCGCCAACAATTGTCCGCTATGCCCACAATGTCAGCCAACCTGGCGATCCCGCAAAAATCGAATACGAGCCATACCCGCCTATCCTTTCTATCATCAAATTGTCTAACCCTGCTGCGGGCACCACCCCGACCACATTGAAGGAGAAAGACCTGCGTTCGGCCAAGACATTGACCAGTCGTCAAACCAGTTTTCAGAAATGGCTGAAGGAGGCCAAGGAAAAGGCTGGCATCGACATGTCCACCAAGGTCCGAGTTTGGAAGATCCTCAAGCTTCCTCACAGTACAAACACATCAGCTGCGGTGACTCCTGCTGCTTCCCGTACCGCATCCCCAGCTCCCCCGTCGGCTCTGATTCCCAGCACTGCGGATAAATTGCTCCTCGACCTGAACGCTTTCCTCGGACTGTCGGAGGGCACCCACCGTGTTTTGCTCGAACACGTCAAGGACGAAACCAACAACCCCAAATATAACGGCCGCATGTCATTGGACATCGCGGGCCTGGGTTCAGCAGACCGTGTCGTTCTGGAGGAACAGGTCGGCGGGTTCAAGGGTGGAGAATGGGTCTCTGAGGCATCTGCCAAAACATTGAAGCGTCTAGGCATTCCCGTGGAGCTCAAACTCGACAATAAGCCCTCTGCCCTCACCCTCGCCACCAAAAGTCCCCTTTCGAGCGGTCGATCTACCCCCGTTGGGTGTGTTACCCCGAAGAACATGTTCGCTCGAGGTCGGAAAGGTCGACGACCGAGAGTTCTGGGGTTGGACAACCTCGGCAACACTTGTTACATGAACTCGGCGATTCAGTGTGTGCGAAGCATTGAGGAACTCACCTTATTTTTCCTGAGTAGGTCCATTCGTCCTATTCCTTGAGCATTTGAAGCTGTGTGGTGCGTTCGGTGCTAATTGAAAACACAGGTGGCAAGTTCAAGTCTGAATTGAATCCCGGTAACAAGCTGGGATGTGGCGGAGACGTGGCTAAGAATTGGGCTGGCCTGCTTGCGGATCTCTACAACCCAGATGCACCCACGAACTACGTGCATCCCGGAAAGTTCCGCCGTGCCGCCGGTAAACAACGATCCGAGTTCGCTGGTTATGATCAGCACGACAGTCAGGAATTTGTAATGTTCCTTCTTGATGCTCTGTCCGAAGATTTGAGCCGCATTGGCCAAAAGCCGTACACCACCATCCCTGACTCCACTGATGAGATGATCCACGATCGGAAAGCTCTGGAGGAGTTTGGGAAGACATGTTGGGAGCTTTATGAGTCACGTAATGCCTCCGTTGTCACCGACCTGTTTTCTGGAATGTACAAGTCGACTCTGATCTGCCCCGACTGCCACAAGACTAGTATCATCATGGATCCGTTCAGCACTCTCACCCTGCCCATCCCGCCTGGACCCCAACCCATGTCCCGCAAAATCATATTTGTGCCTCACAAGGGCTCTCCCGTCTCCCTCAATGTCCAGCTGGATGCTTTGGAGAGCCTGAGGAGCTGGAAGAATTTCATTGGCGAGCAGATGGGTGTCGATGGAGCGCGCATTTTCGCTGCGGAAACCCACAGTAGCGCTTTCTGGAAGTTTTTCCTTCACGATGACAGCTCCTTTGAGAGTCTGGAAACAACCAATCATGATGTCCTCGTCTTCTTTGATCTGGGACCTGTTTCAGAGTCCGAGGTTGAAGAGGTTATCGTACCTGTCTTCCACCGGAGAACGGGCCCGCGCAAGAAACAGGCGACCTCGTCTTCTCTCTTCGGTATTCCGTCCGTCCTGCGTATCTCCGAGGATGAGGATCTCGAAGCCATTTACGGCAAGCTTCTACGATTGTCTGATAACATGACTACTCGCGATATCCTCAGCCCTGAGAAGTCTGTATCAGACGATCACGCCGCGGATGACTCAGACACTGTGGTTACCAATGAGGATGATGCGCAGTCGGCTGATTCCAGGATTAAGACATCTTCTGTTGACGGCGAAGATAGCATCGTGGACATTTCAATGCAGGATGCTCAGACAGCCAAGCCTGTCGAGGACACAAAGATGTCGGATTCCGACTCCGGGTCTTCCAATAGCCCCAAGCATCCTTTGGCTGGCAAGATTCAGGCACATTTGTTAGGTCTTTTCGATGTCAAAGTTCTCAGCAGCAAGAACGGTTTGCCTGATGGCCGCACCGTCGGATCCAAAGACTACCCATTGCTCTCTTCTCGCGATGTATCAATTCAACCCTCGCTCAAGGTAAATAGTATCCAAGTGTAATTTATGTCAGGATCGTCTGCTAATTGTTCTAGAATTCCGATTCTTCGTCGCGCGCTTCTGCTGACAATAGTGATGGGTACACCGATACGGATGGATCGGACGAAGAGTCACCATCTGCCACACAGCTCCTTCGCCAGGGCGATGCCCTTGTTCTTGATTGGAGTCCCGAGGCCTACGATGCCCTGTTTGGTGGAAAGCAGCATGACTCCGAAGAAGGTCGTGGTGCGCCTACATACATCAGTCCCAAGAATGTCTACGATCACATCTCGCAGCGTCAAACTTCACTCAAAAAGTCTTCTTCTGTAACTCTTGATGAGTGTCTGGATATCTTCAGCAAATCAGAAGTTTTGTCTCGTGGAGACACCTGGTACTGCCCTGGGTGCAAAGACCACGTGCAAGCTACCAAGAAGTTCGACTTGTGGAGAGCCCCTGATGTCATGGTCGTTCAGCTCAAGCGATTTGGGCAGTTGCGCCGCCATCATAGCAAGATCAACACTGTGGTCAACTTTCCTCTCGAGGGCCTGGATCTAACTGGCCGAGTCCAGGGGCCTAGCGATGGAAAGAGCTTGGAGTATGATTTGGTCGCCATCGACAACCACATGGGTTCCATGGGTGGCGGTCACTACACAGCCTATATCAAAGACTTCATGTCTGGTGATTGGTACCACTGCAATGGTGAGCCTTTTCCAATTTCTTTCAGATGAAACCATAGATTACTAACCCAACCTTGCAGACTCTAGCGCTCGCCTCGTGACCAACCCTCAGACCATGATCGCGGCCAGCGCTTACCTCCTATTCTACCGTCGCCGCTCCGAGCGTCCTTTGGGCAACAAGGAGCTGCAAGAGCTGGTCGAAGCCTACAAGAACCCTCCTGGCGGTGAATCCGGTACTTCCTCTCCCTCCCAGTCTCCTACGGGGGACGGCCAGCGTCTTGGCGACTCTTCCCGCAATGGGTCGTCGAGCGCCTTGGGCGGAGCCGGAGTAGCTCCCCGAGCGGGCAATGGTTCGCCAGTCGAGAACCGGGAGGCGAATGACGAATACTCCACTACCGACGACAGTGACGCAGACTCTGAAGACGGCGAAGGTATGAAACTCACCACCAACGGCCGCGAGACCCCCGGACAGGCATCCGATCCTCTCGATTTCTCCCAGGAACCCTCCTGGTCTTTCGGCAACTTGACCGGCGCTCACGCTATCTCACAGATAACTCCTGGTAATGCGTCACTGGATGAAAGCGGTCTCTTTGACGATGACGAGATTGACAGCAACCTGGCCGTTGGCGACGATGACTTGGACCCGGATACCCGCATGGCCGAGTTGGAAGACTCTCACTCCGTCCAGCCGGACGGCACGTCTTTCGAAGATGTCTCTCACCTCATGGATGATGACTCGGACGATGAGCTTCCCGTTGTGGAATTACGAGTCGGTGACGAGGATAAAATGGCCTCGGACTGAATTTGCAGCGACACGGACAGTTCACAGATGAGAATTGAAACAGCAGCACATCAAAGGATGAGATTCGTTCAAAGGGTGAAAAATAATTCCAAGAAAAAAAGAGAAGGAAAAAAAAAAAAAAAAACGAAACATAAAAAGAACGAGCATGGGGCAAAAAAAAAAAAAAAAAAAAAAAGTCCTTTGGGCTGTTGGGGGGGTGTTAGAGATTGTTTGTGTGCGGTTTTTTCGTATCTTGTTG